CACGACAGCAAACTTGCTCCATTCTTCTTCTCAAAATCTACCCACACGTTCCCAGCTCTCATCTTTCTTCCACCTATCTGAGGATGTCGCACAATACACCCTCATCGCCTCTGGAAACCCTACCCCTGAGATCTTTAACCGAGTTCTTGATTACATCTTCGACCCTGCACAGTCCGAGGTTCCAGAATCGACAACCAATTTCCGCACGTATGTTTTCGACACGGGGCTCTTGCGCGTGAACAAGGCCTTGCATAAGCTCGCAAAGAGCCACCTTCACCTATCACTGTCGTGGATACGCTTCGACATCAACTGGGGCGCCTTCCTCATCGATCCCCACTGGCTTTGTATTCCATACATCGCGATTGATCGTACCGATGCTCCAAGAGTCCTGCCCTTTCTATATGCGGGCGACATGAAGCGGCGGACACCAAACCAACGAGCACCTCATGGCCGGCTAATCGTGCGCATCAAGTTTCCGCAGCCTACGACGCAGGCGCAGAGGGAGATGCAGGCCGAGAGCTTCAACTCCCCGTCCGGGTCGTTCATGTCAGTGCTTGTCCTGGAGAGGGATTTCGATCGTTTCATCGATGTGTTGCGGATGAACGATCTAGCATATTGTAGCCGTGTACTGCCGGATGCAGGCACTTCGTCGAAAGTCCTGTCCATGCGCAGCGTTGAGGGTCTATCTCTGGATATCAAGATCCGAGCCGGCCTCGAGGAGAGCAAGTACAAGCATTTGCTGCGCAGATTCACCATACTCTCTGGGCCTTTTCACCAGCTCACGATAGAGGGACATGCGGATCCTGCTTCCGCAGCGACTCTAGTGTCAAAAGTTGAGATGCGCATGCAAGGCCTGGGTCGTAAGCTACAGATCATGAAAGCGAAGAACTTCACGTACCACCAGGCGATCAAGTATCTTCTGAAACTCAAGTATCAGGGAGACATTTTCCTGCGTATGGGGCACCATGCCAATGCGTACACGTGCTATGAGTACGCTCTCAAGTTTGAGAAGTACTGGCAGGCTCACGATCTCCAACCTGCCAAGCACACATTTTGGCATATCGACAAGGACATCTGCAAAGCCTGGAGCATAGCCCTCGGGTGCAATCTTGCAATGGCCGCCGTCGCCGGTGGTCTCAAGGTCCGCATTCCCTTGGTTCACGGCAGGTCCATGATGCGGAATATCTCGGCTCTTGTAGATATGCGTGCCAGGCGAGGTGGGATAAGCATGGATCGATACCTGGAATTACTGTTCTCCAACGCATTTTGCTTGATCTTGCAGGAACATGACGGGAAGCTGTTCGACAATTGCGCCGTACTATGCCTTCACTCCTGTCTCCAAGCTATGAGCTCAGCGTGGGAAACATTATCTGAATTCACCACACGCCAAGACAGCTCTTCTCCCACGGCAAAGCTTTACAGCTACGCGAAGAAGATAATGAGCATCCCAGGAGTTGTTCGCGTGCGTCAGGCCGAGGACCACGGCAACGGACTTAACGCGGAAATCAACGAGGAAGACCTTACGCGCGAGATCATGGAGCATATAGACGCTATGCGGCAGATTATGCTAGACGCAACGTTTGAACCTATGGTTTGGGGCATACGTAAGGAGCTGTTCCCTAATCCGCTGCTATCTCAGTTACGCGTGTGGCCGGTAGCTCTCATCATGTCCGGTCCTGAAATACCAGTTCGCCCCGAAGCTGAGTCGCGAAGTGGCCCCGAAGCGAACCGACCGGCCGATTTGGACGAGATGACTAAAGAGCTCTATTGGCCGCCAAAACTTGCCAGGGTGGGAGAAGAGGTCTGCATTCCCAATTTCGATGATGTTAACCGCGAGGCGTTGAGCCGGGGTGCGAAGGAGGAGAGACTGTTCATCTAATCCTAATCTGCGGCCAAAGTAGCATGTAGCAATATGCGTCGAAGGTTCGTACACAGACTGGGTGATTAGTCCATCGGAGAGCGACTAGGCTAAATCGACCTCTCGTCCTCTTCTTTTCAATATGACTTGAATGCAATCAACTTTGGCCATTCCATCTTGACCCTTCATTTGCTCTTCCGTGTCCTTTGCACCCCACACATCTTCAATATCCCGCATTACTCTTCGCAAACTAGGGAATCTTTTCGACGTATACATCTCTTCAAAACGATCGCGCACAAATTGGCGGTATGCGCTATCAATGGCTTCACAGCCCGCAGTGAAGAGAGGCCAGATATGTGCAGACGTAAGCGATGAGTCCACATGTACTTGTTGAATATACTCCAGGCAGCGTTGAACATGGTCCATGCTGATGGGATTAGGAGCACCGATGTCGAGCCAGGTGCGGTAGAGGTATATGAAAGCTGCATGGCGGTATGCTTCAGCTGTGCTGTTGATATCTGAAGTCGTGCCCGATCCACTCGGAAACTCCATAGCTAACAGACTCTGCTGTATATCTCGTCCTGTGGCGTTCTCTTCCTCAGACAAAGCCATATCATTGACATCGGTTTTCCGCGCTTTGATGGCGTGTTGCAACTGGCTGATACGTGCGACAGCCAGGAGGACTTTGGCAATACTTTCCATTTCTGGCTCGCCTTCGACTGCCGTGAAGTTGGTGTCATGATCCGCCAAAGGTCGTGCGCCACGAGAGACTGATGACAGTATGTCGTGGTATGCAAACAGGCTGAGCAGGAACTTAGTGCTCGATGGAGTGGACCAGCTATCCAGGTTACCACGCCGCGTGATCATCGCCTTCGCGCCCGCCAAATGGTTTGCAACGGACGCATCGTCATCGTCGCCGAACAAACGTGCAGATACTTGCATCATCAGAACGGTTGCCAGAGCAGGTTCCGTAATCGCCAAATTTGGGTCCTGTATGACGTCCTGCAATTCATGGATGGCATCCTGCTGATGTCGAAAAGCATGTATCTTCCACGACGAGTCGTTGGAAGACAGCGCGAGGTGATTCGCCGCCATGGACAAAACTGTCGATCGAAGCGCAGAAGAATCGTGTACCATGGCCGTCAGGTGAAGCTGGAACGGTGAAGCATAGTCCTTCCTCGGTGCGACTGATATCAAGCTCGAAAGCCGCTGAACCCAGTACTGTAGGAGCCATCTATCGCTCGTCGACATGTCGATAACAAAGCTAGGCGACGCGACTATAGGAAAGCTATGCATCGATGCAGGCGACCCAACAAAATCCCTTGGACTCGTGAAAGGGCCGGGCGTAGATGCAAAGCTTCCCAAAGGAAGACTGTACGTTGACCCAGGCGAAGCATGGTCCCTAGGACTTGTCGAAAACCCGGACCCAGAAGCAAAACTAACCACCGAGCCAGGACTTCTCACCACACTCCGCTCAAGATTTGTCTTCCTCTTCGCGCGCCTCGGTTTCTTCGCAGGAGTAGCGATGTTATCATCCTGCCACTTCAACTTCACGCCATACCCTTTGCACGTAATCTTCAGCCTCATGCAACGTCCGCAGAACGGCTTCTGCTCGTCGCATTTGTAGCCGGCTTCGCGACATGTCCAGCATCCGGTCCGCGTTCGTTTGTGGGTCGCCATGGGGGGAGTGGATCATATTTGACAGGAGGTCATATTACGTCTGGTCCCATTGAGACCGCTGGGCATCCCTCCGATGGCCTTTATGGCTGATTGGATAGCTGAAATTAATGGAAATGGGCACTGAGGTGATGAGATGGGATGGAATGAGGTGCAGCTGGAGTCGCGAGTGAGGCTAGCATTAGCTTTGAGCACGAGTCATGTCATGCGACAGGTATTCTGTATGTGGAAACGACGGATGATAGAACTTTAGTGGGCAAGAACTTGTACAGCCTACTCTCATCAAGCTCTAATTCTACTGATCTTACAGGGGTTCTCTTTTTAATCTCTGAGCAGTCTACGAAAGTACCATATGACAAAATGCAAGGGATAGACTGGGTGCCAATGGCCGTGTTCTTTGAATGAAATCCGCTCATCTCGCCAGACCAGTGAGCTATACATCCCATGTCGACGGAATTAATCGACTGGAATGAAGGGCGCTGTGCTTGGTGATGGCAGAAAAAGTCATTCAGTCTGCTTTGATCATGAGCCGGAGCTTTCAATCTGCTCTGCTCATCGCGCGACCAGTTTCGAGCACATCTAGTACAGGTGGTCGGCCAGCAGGAGTTGACTTCCTGCCGTTGCGACACGACATCAAAGGGACACATCGGTCTACAGCTTCAACACCATTGACGGTGTATGTTTCACTCCTATGACACCGCCTGCGCAACCGTAAAAATGCGCAGCCAGCTCTAATGGAGTACTTGGTTTCCTCTTCGCAACGCTATATCGCAGCCGCCCAATAGGTGATCTCGAATACCCGATACAAAACGCAAAGGGTGGATGAGATGGCGCGGCTGAACTGTCTGATGGTGCGTGAAGAAGAGAAGAAACGTGAGGGCGCGAAAATTTACTTAGGGAGCCGCGACGCGCTAGTGGAAGGGCCAAGGCGCTAGACAGCCGCCGAGGCTAAGAGGTGGAGAGCAACAGCGACCTCGAGATATCACTTCGTCTCATCAATTGCATCAGTTGTTTAATTGCTATAGTCAGGCATTGACGGCTCACAGCTATTTCATTTCCATATATGGGCAGGTCGTAGCTCATACTAGTAAGGTCTGGCTACGTGTGATCTGGTGAAAAATCTCATCGCAGTTCATCCCAGTTGACAGTCACTGGCTATCGATACTATCGATGCTCATTCGTACATGTATCGCGACTGTATCCTGTCTTTCTTCTTGCCAATGACTCCTGGTGTACATACCCCCCTCAAACGTTCTCTTTCCTATGCTCACCGCTGCTCTTCTTCTCGTCTTCATGCACACTGTGTCGATAATTCTCATTTGCAAGCTGCACATGCGCCGCCACCACACTACTATGTCTCCTCACTTCTTCGTTCTCCAATTGAATAAAACGTTCCGGGCGCTTCTCCGCGATGGCTTCTTTGTCGCGGAAGATGAGTAGTGGTGCATGCCCGACGAATATGCGATCGATGTCTTCGAGTGTGCGACCTGCGGTTTCGGGGTAGAGGAAATACACTTGAAGATATCAGATTGGAGACTTTGAGGAGAGGAGCAAGGGGAACATACCTATCGGAATAAACGAAAAGTTGAAAACACACCAGATGATGTAGAATTTCCAATGGAGGCTCTCGATACCGGGCGGCGTGATCTCGACGACTAGACCGGTATGTTAGTATGGTTGCGACTACTACTGAGTGGAAGACCTACCCATGAAGTTGAATATCCAGTTTGTCGCCGTTCCGAGGGCGGCGCCCTTCGTCCGCATTGCCATGCTGTTGATTTCCGTGGGGTACAGCTGTAAGATTTTGTCAGCATGATACTTTAGCCAGGAAAGAAGTGACGTACCCAGGGCACGCCCTGCCATCCGATGCCAAAGAACACATAGTACAAGAAGAAGAAAGCAATCGAAGCCTTCGCCCACATTTGCTGGGTAGTTTCTGCTAGAGATGACATCTCGTTGTATCGAATGCAGATGGTGATGATGCAGTAGCAGAAGAATTGACCGGCTGCTGCATACATCATCATCTTTCGTCGTCCCCAACGCTCGACATTCGGAATACCGATAAGCGAGAAGAGGAGGTAAGACACGGAGTTACATGCAGCCAGAAGTCGAGCCATGTTGTTCGTCAGACCAACTGAAACGATGAGCACCGTGGGCAAGTAATAACTTGTCACATTGATGCCTGACAATTGCTGCATGGCTTGCGTGCCCATACCAAGCAGCATTCTCCTGATGGTGTGCGTGCCCGCTTGGTCCCCGGTCCTACCGCGGAGGAGATCGCGCCATCGAATCGCGTGGTCTTTTTCGTACTGAACTGCCCACTGGATGTCCTTTGATTGTGCAATGATGAACGGATCCGTGACGTCGGTCGCCTCAAGGTCTGCCAGGATCTTTTCTGCCTCATCGACGCGGCCCTTCATCATGAGCCATCGTGGCGACTCTGGAAGCCATGGGACAGTTGCGAATAGGATGATGATGAAAAGGAACTGGAAGGCGAGTGGTACACGCCATGCAACACTTCCTCCAAGGAAACTAGAAGTTATGAGTGAGACCTCGTCAAAATATGGTAGTATGCGATGTGCTTACGAGAAGCCATAGGTGACCCAATTCGACATTGAGAAACCGGCGATATTCATAATCATTTCGATGACGATGAGCTTGCCTCTCCAGCTCGCTTTGGAGGTTTCGCCTTGCCATACCGGTGCGGTCGATGTGTTGATGCCGTTGCCTATCCCAGCGATAACTCTTCCCACAATCATCTCTGGCACACCGAAAGACGCAATCTGTAAGATAGCCCCAATACTCATGATTGTAGTGCCCAAAAGGATGCAGTTCTTTCTTCCAAGAGGATCGCCGATAACGCAAACCAGAATGGCGCCGAGAAAACAACCAATGTCATAGATTGCCGTGACGGTGCTGATCAAGGACGTTTTGCCGTTGAGATCAAGTTGGTCGAGGAAGTCGGGTGTGACGATGACACCACCTGCGCTTCGTGTCAGATCTTTGAACTCTTGCATCGGGCAACATACATACCGAAAACACCTTGGTCGTAGCCGAAGAGTGTCTGAAGGAGGGATTAGTCGCGTTTTTGAAGTTTCTGGCGTACGATGCATACCATGTCTGTCGCGCACGCGACAGTAACCCAGAAAGTGAGCCATTTTCCGGTCATGCCAAAGTATGGCTTTGACAGTGCGAACATCGTGTTGTCGAGGCAGTATACTGCGATCCTAACGACAGTCGAACGTGTCTTGGGTCTCCAAATGCTGTGAAGCGTCCAGACACGCTACATATACTGGTCCAGCCCATTGCGCGGCCATCCCTATCAGCGTAGATCGACACCGGTCCCAAAGTGTCATGCACGCATTACACCGTCTCGCTCACACGAACATGACGATGCCTCATCGTCGTCATTGGCCACTAGCCACCCGCAAAACACTAGGATGCAGCTTTCCCCGCCGCACTGCAACGGTGTCCTAGCACAACCTGGGGTAGCGAGGAGCACGTGAGGTTTGGTTTCCAGCCGCAACGGCCCGTATATTTGTCGATCCTAACGAATACGAGGTGTCGGAGAGATTCTCGCAGGCCGAGCGATGATCGCACTCGTCATTAGAGCGATTTAGAACGCATGATGCTTGGGAATTCGCCTTGAGCCGCATCTTGCGCGACATCTTGCTGCTTTGGAATGTTGAGGGGACAATGCTCTGCATCGAAGACGCGCGTGCATCATGAACCTCGTCCCTGGTAGCGTCTCAGAGGCGACAACTGAAGTCTGACATGAAAATGCGATTCCAGGCCGATTCGAAGTCGAGCAAGTAAAGATTGCAGTCTTGGGACGTCGTGGTTCAAGCGATGGTTCGAACAAGCATGTCAAGCTCCACTCGACAAGACTTCCAAGGATCTAAAACATGCGCAAGTATGTCAAGCTCTTATGGCCACGCACGGTAGAACGTATTCCAAAACAATTACAAGATAGAGTAGAGATACGTAGGACTAAACATAGAATGTACGTCTCTGCTGATAGAGAAGCTGTTGCGCCGTGCATCTGGTTCGTTTGAGATGCAGATGTGAAGGTGACGTCATCGTAGAAAAAATGAGGCTAGGTACGCATCTTTGCCAGAGAGTCAGTTGAAGTAGACGTCGCATATGCAAAGCGAGCAGGCTCGCGTTCAACTTGTGATCACACGAAATTAGTGCTTTTCTGCTGATGATTCCAGTAATTTGCTCCATTAAACCATTGAACTCCACAGTAGCGGAGTTCCCTCGTCAGAAAAATATGGACTAACGACGGTGAATTCTAAGGTTGTAATATCCATCAACACCCCAGATTCTTTGAGTGCCGTGGGGATTATGACCATCTGTCTCATGTCCTAACGCACTCATAAGCAGTAGATGCCCTCCTCCGATGTATGCTTTACCACTGTACCGGACTCATCTACCCTCACGGGCATCACACCGTCCTCAGTCATGACACGTCCCTTTCCATTTCTGACAAGTCAGACAGGTGTATCATGTTGTCGAACACGCCGCGCTCTCGATAAATTTCTGGAACCGTTGATGCATCTATGCGCCACAGAAGAGGCCGTGGATTCTCCGTGAACAAGGGCTTCCATTGAACGATAGTTTCTAAAAGTGTGCTGTAGGCACCCTGATTAATGCACTCGAGTAGAATGCCACACATTATAAAGAACTGTGGTAACTGGTCGCGAGATCTATGATGCGAAGCTGCTGGAGGAACGTCTCCAAGTGCTCCACGCCGATGAGAACGGTCTGTCGAAGTAATGTCGACTTGAGCCAGTGTCGGCGTACATTAGAAAGGCGGTGTTGAATTGCATTGGAGAGCCACACTTTTACCCGTATAACGCCAAGGGGAAGATGTACAGTGTCTTCTGGATCCAAAATTAAGCATGGAACGGTAAGATAGACACATTGTAGCAGCAGGTGCGAGCATCCGATATCGAACACAATACATTTGTTGCTAGTGTGGAGAGTTGTGCTGGCGAGAGTATAGATCTTTTTGTCGGTTCGAAGAACCGCCGTTTCAAGATTCAGTCGATTTGGAGGGCGAAGTGGCTAAGTGCCTGTCGGATCCAAACGGAACCCGGTGGATGCCGGTAACTCTGGTCACAGAAGCTCTTCTAATATGTTCAATTTCAGTTCGTTTGGAAGTCTGTTGAAACGAAAGTGCTGGTCTTTGTCGTGTCCGCTGTTGGAGGCGCTGAGCTCAGGTCGGGGACTTCAGTCTGCCATTTTCAGATCCGAATCAAACCCTATCCAGTCCAAGAAGGCTTTTGCGATCGAAATGCGTTGGGTAGCAATCCAAAGTTATTTTTTTCTGTGAATCAATTAATGATGGTAATGCATCGCGCATTTGACGTCCATGGATGTTAATGTTTTGATCACACGGTGAGCTACACTGAGGAGCTCTTCGGAAGATTATCTCGGGTAGCTTCTTGTTTCGCGTGTTTGCTACGTAGGCACTTCATGCTTGACTTGCGTGTAATTCGAGGCTGCCAAAGTGGACATGGTGGCGACGAGTCTAGTACGAAATAGACTCGACGCAGGTGCGCTAAAGTGCATCGCAACAGCTTTGTTAAGATAGGTAAGTGCGGTATCCGGTGTGTGAATAGCCATCGGCATGTAGTGGACTTCTAGCAATTCGATTTCTGTGCTTGAGAGAAGGCGTTGAACACTATGATGTAAGTTGAGGTACTCGTTACTAGCACTAGAGCACGCAGTCGACTCTCGTGTTTGTCGAAGCTCGCTCAGCCAATCAGCACCCTCGCGTTCCTGCTTACCAAGGTCTTCTTGCACCCAGCGTCGCAAAGTCCCACACGGGGCAAGTCGTGCCCAAGGCTCCTCATGTCGTGATCGCCTGCTCACCAATGCGCTGTTGCGCATGGCAGGTAAGCCGTGGGATTAGGGCACTGGCGGGTAACTGTTTTGCCGCCTATCGCTAAGTCGACGGAACCTCACACGAGTGTGGTGTGATGTGAGCAAGCAGTGAACACCACACCATGTTGGATGCCTAGACTTTTATTGTACCCCACATGTGAACTCCCACATATATACATACTTCTGCCGTGAAACTGTTTACTCCAATACTCTTGCTTTGAAACTTTGTGTTTGTCAGCCCAGCATTTGCAATCACCCACCAACGCCATCGGAACGCGGAACTGAGCTTCGGAATCACAGGCACCACATTAGCAACCCCTGACGAAGCAACTACACAGCCTGCACTTGATCCACACCTAAGCACGGGGTGAGTTCAGCCCTGTCAAGCGCAAACCAAGGCAGCCACAGCTTGCGGTTTTTTTTCTATATAACAATCGCGTTTGCCGAACCTTTTTGCTGACTTGAACTTCCACCATTCAAGACACACGCGACCACCACACCCCACATTACGACCATCCATCACGCGGCCCCACATCCTCACCAATACAACGCAAGCATACGCCAACAGGCAAACAAAGTTTTTTGTACATTTTCAGCATTCTGCTTGAGTCACTTTCACACATCCGCACAAATGGCTTTCTCAACACGAGCTCTACACCAAATTAGGCGGTACTCAACTACGCTGCCGCGCGACCCGCATTACAGACTCAAAGCAACACTCGCGACGGGATATGTAGTATCAGCACTTGCGCTGCCGTTTGTACCACCGCTGCTGGAGACTCGGAGGGCGAAGGCAGATGGAAGCTACTTGACTAGGTGGGTGGTTGACAAATGACTGGATGTAGACTTGAAACTAACTTGAGCAGGGAAAATGCGTATTGCACTTCACATTATCTGGGATGCGCGAGATGAGGATGTATTCTCGAGGTAAGAATGGGAGAATCCTGCTGTTCTCAACTTAAGCTGACGAGAACGTAGACTACATTATATTCACGAAATCTGTCTTGCGTTGGAGTCCGTGCCATCATGAATGTCACATCAGAATCATAATGGGATCTGGAGTTTAGGATGCACTGCAGGCGTTGGAATGGTCCCATAGGGAATGCTTTTAACTTTACATTTCTTTTTTTCGAAATTTACTCTCTAAATTCCTGGTACTTCGAGCTACGCAATGCAAGTACCGGCACGTTAATAGTCAGCTACTGAAATTACGAGCGTCGAACATCTGAGCATGTTAGGACCCTCCAGCTGGAGGGCTGTGAACGCCAAGCACGTAATGAGTCGATGCGCTACGTCATTGGCTGTGCCCCCCACGTACTCAAAGTTTCGCGCCTGAACAACGCGTCCAAGTTCACATAAACGTCTAACTCCGCCACCACGCCGCTTGTGCTGTATTGCCGTCAATTGACCTAGTTGTCGCAAAGATTAATAAACCTATATTTTGCCCCAACTGTGCAAAAAGACGAGAAGATCCAATTCGCCCTCCCACCGCAGCCCCACTCTACTTCCGACATGGCCTCCGCTATACTGGCAAGCGCCCAAAACAGCCTCCCCACCGAACTCGTCATCCTCATAGTCGACCACCTCTCCGATGACAACCAAGCACTATGTATGCTTGCTCGAACAAGCCGCGCACTGCAACAGCTCGCCGAAGAGCAGATATACAAGACCATCGAACTGTTCACAGTCAAGGACCTCCACAATATCGTTCAGGCCTTCACACACCGACATGACCGGGTCCGAGCAGTACATACCCTCAAGCTGCAGTATCAGTACCATGAAAAGGATCTCGGGGAGAATATCGACATACGAAAAACTTTTAACGAGTGCATAGCGCACATGGTCAATTTACGAGAATGGCATATCGAGAGCCCATACGATAACTGCCACTGGGATGAAGGCCTCGGTCCAGAGCAGTGGGTTGAGGGCGATATGGAGAGGTTTCGCGCAGTGCTGGAATTAGCCTGTACAGAGGGACCAATCGAAACCGAACGTATCGAGGCCGAGCGTCGACTAGGGAAAGCCTTTGAAAGGACTGTCGGATTGGCACTGCTTGAGAGCCTCACCATCCACTCGCACGGCACTGACTCCGACTTCTGGGATCTTGGCGGATATCACTGCCTCTTCCGACATCCAACACTGCGCCACCTCCATATCTCTTGCGTCTCTTTCACAGAGACTATACCGAAACTTCGCATGCACAAGGGCAACAAAACCCCTCTCACGAGTCTGGAGTTTAACGAATGCGAACTCAGTCCCGAGGCCTTGACCGACATTCTGCGCATGCCGGCCAAACTCAAGCACTTAACACTCGGCGAGAATGTATGGAATACTCGAAGAGCAAAGAAGATTAAGCCAAGACTTACACAGAATGCTCATGCTTCGCTGGCAGCCTTGAATCTAGTCGCGCATTCGCTGGAGAGCTTGAAGCACTGGGATCCGAGCTGGAAGCTCGACTTGGACTCTCACAAGCCGCGCCGCATCAATCCTTCCCCCAATGGAATGCGCAACTTCTATGCTCTCAAATATCTGCAATGCGAGACGACGTCTTTTCTACATAAGGCCATCATTATGAACAACGAAGTCGCACCACCAAACCTCGAAACCCTGCGTTTATGCCGTCATTGGAATGAACCTGTGGACTTCTTCGAGCACCCACCCAATGTCGAGACCTACCTCGCTCTACCATCACTCTCAACACTCGAGCTCATGCAGTCTTCATGGTGCTGGCTTGAAATGTCCACGGCCGACTACGTCTGTGACGAAGAGCGTCTCCGGAACCGACATGCTTACGCATACAAGCTCTTCAAGGCCGGCATCAACCTCAAAGTTCTCATTGAGATGCATCGAGACGGAAGCCTGATACCGCCTTTCCTGCATGGCGAATTAACGCCCATCATAGACTGCGTTTACGACGCAAAACAGATTGGCTTCTTCCACCAGATGACACAGCCAGAAGATTCCGAGACGATGGGCTCATGTCTATTCGACTCTTGCATCAAGGGCGACAACGACATAAAAGCTAAGCTGGACGAAAAGGTAGCCCAGGGACTTTCAAGAATGCCTGAAGAGCGCGAGACAGATCAACTCGATGATAGCGAGATCACATATATCACACACGAGACACAACAAATCCTCGTCCGACTCAAGAGGCGATTCATTGGCGAGCGAAGACTGCGACGAGCCGAGTCCATTCTAGAATTCGTGGATGAGAATGGCGACGACGACGATTTTGATCTTGATCTGGAAATGGGCGATGATTGGGATGAGGATGATATCGATTTCGAGATGGATGGCGATGATGCGAACGTCATTTTCCACGAGCATAATGGCGAGCTGTACATTGAAGTGTATGAGTCGGAGACGGATGGCGAGGATGAGGATTTATTGATGGGAGATGAGGAGACGCACGATGATTTGAATTAGTTTGTATTTATATTAGCAGAAGCGTAACTGCAAGTATACGTTTATGTAGGGTGAGATAGTCAGCCTTCGGATGCGCCTGTAATAACAGGTGCTTGAAGTTAACTGAAGCCTCACACATCTAGCCTTGCTGTATACAGCTTCACGATCATAACTGGACTACTTAGTCACTTTCTTAAGTAGTCAACAACAGGCAGTGACAATCTTGCGCACATCTCAGGCTTTTGGTACACATCGGCCTCTGGATATCGGAGTCACCCACCGTGAACCTACAACTGACAGCAACAAAATCTAATATTCATCGTCTGGCTTCGTTTGTATCATGATTACACTGCGCAACCAAAACATCATGGTATAGAAAGGAATGAGGATACATATGACGCTAAATCAGCCCAAGACCAAATGGCCTCTAAACCCCATCTGTTCTCCTACCCATCCATGCTCTCACATCTCCTCTCTCCAATGTCTCACAGCCCAACAGCAACCCCCAGCACCACCACTCCAACCGCGCTACCCAACCCCATCGTAACCCTCGCCCCTCCCCCCGTACTCTCCGCACTAGCCGCCGCCACCTGCAGCCCAAACTGCGTACTCACAACCGCACTTCCATTGACCGTGGTAGTAACCACACTCGTCGCCGTCGTCTTGGCCTCACACGCACTCCACGTCGTCCAGGGCGCATTCGTCTTCCACGGCCCTGCCGTCCAGCCAGGCCAATCCGTCGGTGGACACGCGGAGCCGCCCCACCATGCGGTCCAAGGCGCGGATTGCCAGTTGCTGAGCGCGGACCAGGAGGACCAGGGGCCGAAGTTGGATGGGCCGAAAGGGGGGCCTGGGGGATGATTGTTAGTATTTGCGGTGAGTATGGTGGGGGAGGGGAATCGGCGTACCGCTCCAGTGTCCGCCGGGTTTTCCGCTGTTTCCTGGACCCCAGGGACCGCCGCCTGGACCCCAGCCCGAGGTTGGCCAAGGGGCGGCGGTTAGTGTTGACGGGATTCGGCCGTCGGAGACGAGGGAGGCGTAGATGGAGGACCAGCGTGCTGCATCTGATGTAGCCCAGGGAGGAGGGTTTCCATCGAACCACGGACCATTGTTGGTTGGTGTCGGGGCTGGAGTGATGCTTTGTGCGAAGATTTGTGTGGCGAGTGCCGTAATGGCTGCTAGGCTGAACTTCATGATGGTGTTATTTCCTTGCTCTTTCGTGCCGATACTTTCTCTCTCTCTCTCTATATATATGTCAAGAATCGGGAATAATGATACAAGCGGCTGTGGCAATTTCAAGCGTCGTCGAAACAAATACTAGAAAGGTTTCGAAACAAACCCACACACGACCCATCCTCTCCTTCAAATACATCCAGCAACAACACGCGCGGCCCGTCATACCGTCGGGGTCCCGTCTAACACATAGCCTACCACAAAAACCTACGCTGACGCGTCTCAGACTGCGCCATTGGTGTGAGGCAGCGCTGCAGGGCAAAAGCTCAGCCCTACAGCTGCATGTACTAGAGGACCAGAAGACGGAGAACAGTTTGGTTGACTAGCGACAGAAACTCATTGGTCGACTCCAAAAAAAAAGTAAGACGGTGTGGTTACAGCAGTCAAGTGAGACAAGGCGTCGTTCGGAGAACGGAGTGGGGAGAAAACACGGACAAAGCCTATCCTTGGCAAGCGTTAACATGATCACACTTTGTCTTGGCTACACGAGATCTTCACGATTAGACAATCTCCTCGGCAAACTTCTCGAGATCGAAGATGCATGTGGTGCTTCGTCATTGTGTTGTGGTGGAAGCGAAGTGTCGTCGGAGTCTAAAGCAGGAAGCTCCGTATGTCGATCGCGTCGGTGGACGGTGAGGGAAAACGCCGATGGCGAATCTTACTTTGACCTCTCTCTCTCTATCAATTGCAATTGCTTGTACAACATGTCAGATGCCACGCGGTGTACGCGTCGGCGGAGCTGGTGTCGATGTCTTGCATGTTCATGTTGCTTGACTTTGCTTGTGCTGTTTCGATTAGCTATCGATGATATACGAGCAACCCATCCAACGGCCTGTTCGTTCCACAGCATTACAGTACTCGTCTAGCATACGCGTCGCGCGAGTATTCGCAGTGCATATATGCATATCTGACGTGCAGCACACCATAACGACTATATGCATGTCACTCTCGCACAACACATCACCCAGACACAATGCGCAAAATACCGAATCTTGACCTCTACGAGCCAAGTATCCACGTTCTATCTATCAAAAGGGTATATACATATAAGAGCATACCAAATCCATCTCTGCTACTATTTTTTTTTACAAGTCTCTCTTTGCCCCGGGATCGCTGTCACCTGTCGTGTCTTGTCATGTTGGAGACGTCTACAAAGGTCCGGTGCTGATGAACCTAGACCTCTTGGTGCGGCGCGACTTGTTGCCGTTGGCCTGGCCTCCGCGGCCACCGCCACGGCCGCCCTGGTTGCCGGCTTGCTGTTGGTTACCGGCTTGCTGCTGGTTGCCGGCTTGCTGTTGACCACCGGCGTTGTTACCAGCACCGTTACCAGCACCAGCACCGTTACCAGCACCAGCACCGTTACCAGCACCAGCACCGTTACCAGCACCAGCACCGTTACCCTTACCACCGTTGTTGTTACCCTGGCCAGCATTTCCCTTTCCATTTCCATTACCAGCAGCCGGAGCCTGCGTGGCGCCCGCAGCAGGGTCGATCGTAGCCGTAATCAGCGCTGTTAAAAACCGTTAGCCCAGACACATTGACTAGTGAATAAAAAAGCAACGCACCAGAAATCGCAGCCGCGCCCTGCTCAGCCGCACCCGCACCAGCGTTCTGGTTCGCAATGATGGCCGCGGGCAGATCCTTCTTGTTCTGCAGGATCTGCGCCTCGATACCTTGGAGCGTCTGCGCGGTTTCTACACCTTCGGGGGATGTGAGTATACTTTACATACATGCGTGGGCAGATGTGTTGTGAAAGAAGAAAAATAAATTGGAGACTTACTCGCAGCGCTGTCGTCAGATCGGCCTTGGCCGTCGGTCTGTTGGACAGCAAAGCAGCCGCCAAAGGGGCCAGCGACGGCAGTGTTGCGGCAGCGGACAGTGCAGATGTCGCCGGTCGAGGCACCGATGCAGTTGAAGTCCTTTGGCATTTCGACGTTGATGGTGAACTGCTTTGTTTTCTCCTGGGACAGGCCGAAGGAGCCGGGGACGTTGTTGGTAACCTTGAGGGGAGTGAAGGTGGTGACTGCGTTGCTGGTCTCGTCCATGTCGCACTCGAAGGGACCAGCGCCATCGGCGTTGACCTGGTGGATAGTGACTTTCATGACGGAGCCCTTGGAGACTTGGGTCATGCGGCCGGCGGCGAGCTCGTTCTCGGTCTGCTCGCCAATGTCGATGTTGCCGTTGATCTCGGTGCGGCCGCAGGCGTTGACAATGTTCTGGGTGATCTCGCTGTCACGGATGATGGTGGCATCCTGTTGGCAGGGGGAGATGTTGGTGCAGTTGCGAGCAATGTTGGCGTCGACTGGAAATAGAGTCAGTGAAGTCCATGACAGTCAAGAAGTATCAAAGCTTACCCAAGAAACCTTGACTGGCACCAGAGTCTCCGACAGCAGCGAGAATAGCTGCGTGGGAGTGCACAGTGGTGAAGAGAGCGGCTAGCGCAAGGACAGAGGATTGGTAATGCATCTTAAAGTTAGGTGTGAAATAAGTATGCGCGCTGCGCTTGAAGTGAATAACTAGTGAATGGAAGAAAAGAAGGTGTTCCTGATGTTTCTGTCAAAGAAGTGGATATCGAATTCACGAAGCAGGACAGTCCCTATATACTCAATCACCACCACGAGCTACCCCTTACTATGGATACCATCCTTCGAGGCCATGGTGGTGCCCACCACTACGAGACGTATTGCCGCTTTCGAGAGGGGCAGTACATGGGCGCTTGGTGCCTTCGAACACGGCCTCAGGTCTAGTCAAGGCTTAGTCGAGGTCGCTCGTTACATCTGGCGCGGTAAGGGTGCGGCGTGCACGCTCCGTGGAGGATTTCTTTTGGAATGACCGCGGGATGTCAGTATTGAGTAACGATTCTCCACCCGCTTAAAACTTCCTTGGCGCAGGCGTTTAGGCCCAAATCGAAGCTTTTGGCCGTACGAGGATCGCATGTCGCGGACTTGGCGCCGAGGATGAAGCATGGGAGGTTTCGACAATGGCAATTTCAAGTTTCGAATCAGAGAAGTTGCGCGCCACCACCAAACATGACTGCACAGGACAGATGGCGTGCATAATCCGAGCATATGCCGACGTGGCTGGAGCGAACATTGAACGAATGGATCTTGCGCGATAGCGATGAAGCCTCGCGAAGAGGTGTTTGAGGTCGAGCGCGGGCGGTAAGTGGGTCACTTCGGTTACAGTTCAGTGGATCGATGGGAGGATGGGTTTCGAATGCCATCAACGGCAGTCAGGTGTTGAACAATCATGGCTGCAGCATGATTCGAAGTGTTAAGAATCACTGCTTCGCATATGAACGTGCAGCCGTTTGATCCGATCTAAATGGTCTTTGGTGATTGCCGAAATGCCGCGGATTGACCGATATGATGTGCGGATGACATATCGGGCTGTTCGCGATTTTCCAGTCAGACGGTGCACGCGATGTATCTTATCAGACGGTGGTGGAAGAGTTGAAGTCGATGAAGGTGCTTGACTGTGGCCGTTGGTGTATGGCTGCACGATCCCTGTCAAGCCCTACGACATCAGACCACTTGCCTCAATGGCACGAAAAACTTACCGCAGCGCTCACACCCCAACGGCGCTCTCTACACCTTGAACAACCAAAAGCCAAGCTGTCCGAGAAGTCGCAGAAATGAATACCGTAAGTATTATTACAAATGACCTATAAATACACGTCCTGACAGTGCGCGCAGGTCAAATCCGTCTAGTACGTCACCTCTCCGCGCCCAGCACATGATTCCACAACGCTCAATGCGCAAGACGGCGATTTGACAAACACATGCCAAATCCCCAGCGAACCACACGTTCACATCCCAAAAATACCCAATCCTGACGATGAATCTAGCTACGGCTGGGCCACCCTAATCGTCGCCGGCGGCGGCGCCTACTTCTTCGCGAAACGCAGCATCAACGCCGACCGCGCTGCCAAAGCCGAAGCCGACCGCCAAAAGCGCATCCGCGTATGGCAGCTCGAGCAGCAACACCTGAACTCCTCCCCCAGCGACGCGTCGACGACGTCGCAACTGCTCGCTGCGGCGCCTGCGCAGCGCTCACAGGCCGGCGCGGGCAGCGGCATTGCGGGCTCGCCGGGCTTCGGTGGCGGCGCGGATGAGAGCGGCAATCCGAGTGTGCAGGCGAACATGGACCCGGCGCCGACGAGACATGAGCCGGCGGATGCGGAGGCGAGGGCGAGGGAGAAGAGCAAGTATGAGGCGGGTGATGTTTATCGGAGTAGGAAGGGGGATAGGTTTTCGTGAGGCGGTGGGACATGAGCGGGTAGCATGTATGATATCACGGTAGGGAGAGAGTCGGTTGGGATTGGGTATTTTCCACTCTAGATTTTGGGGTATGACTGGACGGGCTATGCTAAACAAAATTCCAAACGCCGGCGCAATACGTCAGGGTATAAGCGACATGTAAACATGGCTGCACTATTACATCACACGACTCGTTCTCCACTCCATGTGAAGATGCTGCTTCCCGGGGCCTGTCCCTCCGGCTTCTCGTATAATCCACTTTGTTAGTTCAGTCCCACGCTCGCTCGGCCCGGTCGAAGGCGTGGGGGTGCCCAGGAGTTGCGCTCGACGAGCTGTCTCCAAACAGACTGCCGCTCATTGGTGTTCCTCCATAGCTCAATCGCTTTGACGTCGACCCAGAAAGGGCCTTCTGGAATAAGGGACTGCCGTTGCTTTGGCTGGGCGAGAATGGCGAGTTGGATGTGGACAGAGCGAAGCCACCACGCGCTCCCGACAGGGGTGATTGTGAGCTGCGGTCTTGGTTGCTGAAGCTGCTGCTACGCGGTGTAGAGCGCTGGTATCGCGGGGGCGTGACGTAGTTTGGTGATGCGAATGCAGAGCCTGGTGTTTGTGGCGACATGACGTCTGTCCGCAGACCCATGGACGCGCGCTGTGAGGGGGTGAGAGGGATGTCGGCGATGTCGTCGGGGTAGTAGCGGCGGACGAGAGGCAGGAACGCGATGACAATGTTGACGGCGAAGGCGAGGCGAATGAGGACTATGGCCCATTCGCTGTACGGAACAGCCCTGACCACGGCGTTGATTGGTGTGCTGGAGGCCAAGTCAGACAGAGAGTCTATGAGATGTAGGAGCGGGTAGGGTGTACATACGCAGCATACTCTAGGAGCTTCACTTGCGAGGTGATGGTGTTGCCATACATGGAGAGGAAGAGCAGGCCAGCGTTGGCAGTGATAGCGCGCACGTTGCGCTCGTCAAAGGTGGTGGCATACTGGCGGCGCGCGATCTCATCGAACTTGGGATGCTTCCATGACCCGCCCGGTGTGTAGGGCTGGTCGGCTTGTGCGGCTGGAGTGGATGGCGTGGAGGGTGTCGCAGGTGCGCGCTGTACCGCAGACTGCGTAGTCCTGGCGAGAGACATGGTTTTGGGAGCTCTTGAAGCTATGCAGCTCCCTTTGTTTGTGGTGGATTTGGTCGAGATTTGTAGTGCAATAGCTGAGGCGATCGAGCTATCACTTTCAGTCGCTGTTCCTGTATGGTTAGTGGTTAGTGGTTAGTAGGCAGGTTGTCGGACGGGCGATTTGTTATAGCCGCATTGTGGTGGGAGTGAGTTTCGAGCAGCGGTCGTGCAGCAACGGCGACTGTCAACAATTGCAACCGACGGCGCTCGGAGGTTTCGGTCCAGGCGCGCGGACCCTGCAGCCACATGGACTATCACTAGCCTTCACCCCGCCGGGCCCGCCGCCGTGAGCTAGCTTCCCGGGCTTACGAGCTTCACTGTTCCGCTCTCCACATCGACACTTGCACTGCACACGCAACATGGCCGGGTTAATCGAGCAGCTGGACGCCTCCATATCCGCCATTCTAGCCGGCTGGAACACATACACGACCCTCATCGCCGTCGGAATCATCGGCTTCATAGGCTGGATCATATACGACACGGCGGATGCCGACACGCACCCATTGCTGCTTGCCAGACAGGCCCAGGCTTCCTATGTGAGGCAGCCGGGAGAGTCCGCCGTCTTCAGATCTCCCGAGACTCCCCATGGCTGTGCGTATCTGCCAAAGTATGCATTGCTGCTTGGTATGCTGACGCACATCAGACCCTCTTCGCACCGGGCTTGCTGTAAAGCCTCCGGGCGCTCCCATGTACTCGGCCGGCAAGGATGGCGATCTCCGAGATATCTGGCGGCGCGTTGTTGGTGAAATCCCTCTCGAACGAGGTGCGACTTCGAGCGGCACAGCCACCATCATGACCGTCTACGGCAAGGAAGGCGTCTCGGAACACAAGGTCGAAGGCATAAGCAAGGAGATTGCAATTATTGGCAAGCACTTCAAGGACCACGGAGCAAAGAGAGTCGCCATCTACCTGCCCAACAGCATCGAGTTTCTGGCTGCATTGTTCGCCGGCGCTTTCTACGGCTTCACCCCCATCTTGATCCCGTACAACCAGCCCCATCCTGCCCTCGTCGACCTTCTCGTTCAGACGGGAGCCGACGCCCTCATTGCTGAAGCTGGATCCGTGCCCCTCGCTGATGTCATTCAAGGAGCACCCGGTCTGCGACAGATTATCTGGACTGTCGAGAAGACCAGCAGGCATATGGACTGGAGCGAGGTTCCCGAGGGCATTGGCGGGAAAATTGACGTCTCAGTATGGCATGAGCTCGTGCAGGACCAGCAGAATGGGAGCGTGGCCCTGCCCTCCAACTCCGATAAAGTCCCAGGCGTTGTGTTCCTCTGGCAGGAGACTGTTGGAAAGCCAGCCGAGATCGTCGAGTTCACCCAGCAAAACCTCGCTGCCGCTGTCGGCTCCCTCATCACTGCATTGCCTGCCGCGCATCGCTTCAACTCCTCCGATACCTTCCTACCTGCCGATGCCTTCACCCATTCCTACAGCTTGTGTCTGACTTTGGCTGCCCTGTTCGCTCATTCAACTGTCGTCATCAACTCAGTGGCTGGACAGGGAGTCGATCTCACTCTGGCTACCCGGTCAATTGCCCCTACCATCGCAGTCGTCTCCGCTGAAACTGCTGCCAAACTTCACAGCACTACGAGCGCATCTGGACTGAGCGGACCAAAGAAGTTCGCCCATTACCTCGAGACTCGCATGCTGACCGCTGGTCGTCTCCCAACTGACACGTTTCTGACCAAACTGAACGCCCCTCCACGCGCAACTCTAGGCACAACACCAGGAAAGCTGCGGCTACTCTTTGTTTCTGAGCGAGCTGGCCTCAACACCCCACCTCTGAGTTCCGAAGATTTGTCAGATCTGCGCGTCTATACCAAGGCCCGTGTTCTGTATGCTTTGACAGCCGCCAAAGTTGCTGGCGCAGTCGCCCAGACCAACGTCTATGACTACCGACGGGGGCTGGCGCCATCGAACAAGCACAGCCATTTCGGTGTGCCACTCAGTAGTCTCGAGATCAAGTTGAAAGACACTCCACAGCACAAGACTACTGACGATCACATCGCTGGTGAGTTGGTCGTGACTGGATCATCCGTGGCGGGCGGTGAGACATCGTTGGGAGTGAATGGTGAGTCTGCGCACTATCTGTATGCTGCTGTTATACTGACATCAGCCAGCAACCTTCCGGGAAGACCATACCTTGGCATATGTATAGATTTTAAATGTCAACAATTCATGAGCGTGACCATCCCATGTTCTACGATATCGTCGTTCTTGCGCTGTTCACCCTTCTCACCTTCAATGCTCCCGTGTGGCGATTTCCCCGCATCAGTCAGCCAAGTCTTGCTATTGCCCTTCTTCACTCTCACTTTGCGCTCACTTAGGATTTTGCGTAGTTAAGCGGTTGCCATGTGACAACCTTCGTTTGCATGACAATATGTCTGCCTGAACATGCTCTTAGTGCTAACCCAAACACATATACTTTGACAGCGAGTTTCGCACAACGACCATACCGCACCACTCGCTTCACTTCCACTACAACAACACATTCGACATTCTTCACACCACACACACACACAGCCAGGACACGACATGAATCCACCTCTTAGTCCCATAGAACTCGATGGTCCCATCCCAACGAGTTCACGAAAGCGCACCGCATCCGCCATTTCGCCACCTCTCGTCCCACCCTCTTCCGATGATACCACCCCACGCATCCTCAGTCGCCGTTGTCACCGCGTCAATAACGCCGCAGCGTCCGTTTGGGGACCGGACATCCCGGTTACCTTGAAACCCGCCGCCGACGATGTCACCAACGCACCTCCAGCACCCGCGTCCACCATCCCACCCGCGCCTTTCAACATCTACCGCTCCCTCCTCCGCCACCCAAACTCTCTTCTTCCAGTTCGCTCTGCGCCTCCCACTCGACTCTGCCATCAACCTGTACGCCATCGACAAAGAATTCCACTACCTGTTCAACAAATACAGCGTCTCGATCCTCCACGACTACGCGCGCTACTGGGCCCCCATCAGCAGCCATGTCTTCACTTGGATCCTCTTCCCGCACCTGTGCATCTCCGACCCCATGCTGCGCCCCATGAACGACCGCGTCTGGCTCGCCCGCGACGTCCCCAGCTGGCGCTGGGTCGGCATGGTCCTGCACCGGCAAACCATCGTACGCGGCATCCTCTCATCCCTCACACTCTCGGGCTGCGGCGCGCTCCCCTCACCCACCGAATCCATGCTGTGCAAATTCTGGCTGCTGGTGGAATCTCAAGCACACGCACCAGCGCCAGTCCTTTCTGCAGGACACGGACATCTGGAGCGACGCGGATATCCTGCTGTTTCACCTCTTCCTGGTGAAGTTGGATATGCGCCTCACGCACCCGATCTTGGGGAACGCGCCATGCGGTCTCAGCCATTTAATGCTCAACCAGCCCTCCCTGACTACCCTGCACGATCTTCTCACAGGCAAGGTCGGCGACGTGCGCTACCCGGACCTCGTCCCGCTCATGCTGCGCACGTACCCGATGGACACGTTCGACCTGCTCGCCTTCCCCTATCTCGACGACGAAGAAATCACAGGCGTCGACGAAGAGGATTGGAATATCCTGGGCAAGGAGGGGTGGAGTGAGTTTGGCGGCGCGATGGAGTTGGCGCTGGATTGTGTGCTGAATGAAGGGCTGAGGAGGGAGTTACATGCGGAACAACTCTTACTAGAGTTTGTTGTGTTTGGACATGGGGACAGGCTGTCGAGGAAGTGGAGGAAGGGGGCTAGGGAGTATGAAGGGGGGTTTGGGAGGGGGAGGAAGAATGTTATTAGGGAGGTTGAGGAGAGGTTTGGGCTTGTGGAGAAGAAAGAAGTGAAGGAGAATGAGGAGAGCGGTGCAGAGGAGATGGATTTGAGCATGTGAAATATTGGCATGGTGCGAATGGCGTACTGCGTATTGTGGTGGGGACTCAGGTTAGTCGATTACAAACGAATTTGCTGATCTTATGAACGGATATGTCTGATAGCTTGAAGACGGAGTGTCACAATGTACAAGTTGAACTACATCAATCATGGCATGAATTGTACCAGGATATGGAATGACAACAACGGTCAGCCGAACCTTCTACTATCAGATAAAACTTGGAGCAAATCTCTATATTCGAGTTACGCGTTACTTGGTACCTATCTGACGCTGAGTTCCACTTACCCACTTCCTATCAAACTACAATATCCGATCCAACTTCGCCTTCCAACCCGTCTTCTCATTCCCATTCTCCTCCCCCCACTTCCCAACGCTAACACTCTCATCCACTACCCCAGCCCCATCGTATATCTCATCCGGCAAAACCGCCTTCTCAATAAACGTCTCCGTCGGCGGCGCAACCCACATTCTCCAACACCACATACACCAAACTCGTGGCCACAAACCCCAGCAGCCAGCCAAACGTATACGGCCTAGAGCCAACCCCAACATCAATGCCCGGATTGATCGAATTGATAAACCCCGGAAGATTCGGCACGACGCCAACCACAAACGCAACGATGGCGCGCCAATTACATCCCGCCGTGTACCGATATATGCCACCGGGTTGGTAAAGCGCCAGCGTGTCGTATTTCCGCTGATGCACGACCCAAAAATCCCAGACGAGGATCGCGGCAATGGGGCCCAGAAACACGGCATACGCACTCATAAAGTTCAAAAAACTGCCCGCGCTCTTGAGGATCTTCCAGGGCACGAGCGCCCACGAAAGCACCGCGCAGATGAGCTGGCCGCGCCGGATGTTCACGTACTGTGGGAACAAGGCGGTCAGGTCGTTGGCGGCGGAGAGTGAGTTGGCCGAGATGTTGACGCCGAGCGCGGCGAGGGCGAAGCTGAAGGCGGCGAAGAAGCGGCAGGCGCGGTTGTCCCAGTGCGCGATGAGCGCCATGGGGTCCCAGTCGAGGCTGCCGTATTTGACGTGGCCGGCGGAGGTGGCGGCGACGCCGATGAAGGATATAAATGTGAAGACGAGCGGGAGGAAGGGGACGTAGATGAGTTGCCATTTTACGGAGACGCGGGAGTAGCGGGAGAAATCAGCCTGTTTTGGTGGTTCAATATCAAGCCTCATGTGCGGTATAAAAAAGGAGTGGTAGAGACTTACCTGGTTCACGGATAGGGTAGCAAAGTTTCCAATGACGGAGGTCAGAGAGGATAGGAATGCCCACGAATACGCACTCCCCTCCAACGTCGCTTTCTGCGCCCACATCTCGCCCCCGTCTGTACTCACAAACGCCCAGATCAATATCGCAATCCACGCAATCGGCACAATCACACTCTTTGCCATAAACAACCACCTGAGGTTATTCGGGTGCATGCACAAAAACGGCACACTAGCGAGCCAAAACAGCAAAAAGCTGACCATGGTGTTCGTCTCGATGCCCTGGGATTCAGGAATGCCGTTCTTGAGGGTGAGGAAGGAGGGCCAGATGGCGCCTATCATCACGCGGGTTGCGTTGGCGCCGTTCATGTTTTGGACGGCGAACCAGAAGATTGCGAGGATGGCGCGCGAGATGATGGCGATGTAGGAGCCCCAGAAACCCCAGGATGCGCGCGCGAGGACGGGGAAGGGGACGTGGTGGATTACGCCAATAGCGCCATTGAGCGCGATGATGAAGGAGATCATGAAGAAGGCGAGAGCAACTATGCCAAGGGATTCGCGCCATGATAGACCTGGATGGGGTGTTAGGTGGATGGTTGGACGGAATGGAACAGTGTATTGTACCGATTGCGATTATGGAAGAGGCAAATTGCCATGTTGCTGCGCTGAGAGGATGTTAGGTTGATGTTAACTAGTTTTGGGGGATTGAGTTTACTTGAATGCATCAGATACCCAGTATGAGATGAAGCTCGTAACGCCCCACTTTCGAGCATGGCGAGGAACGGGGTCGAGATCTTTGTTTGTCCTGTTCAGAGATCAGCCCTTCCAACCTTTTCTTGCATATTTTCGAACAGGATTACCATCGCGCATTGCCTTCTGCGAACACCGACTTTGGCTGTTCGACCTTCCACGTAAAGTGGGGTTTCTCAATGATAGGCATATTGAGCCGCAGCCGCCTTGTATTGGCGTGGAAAAATGAAGTCTGTCACAATCTCCATTAATTTTCCATGGGGACTTGCGCCTCTTATCCATGTCCTCACCCTCGGCGAAATTAGTTCACGACATGTCGTCTGTATCGTGGCCAAGTGCAGGACAAAGATAAGCCATGCCAGATCTGGAATTCGGTCCCTTTCCCTGGTGAACTAAGAATCTTCAACCACTCAAAGCCCGTGATGCAAGCGAACCCAAGCGAATCGAGACCAGAACGATTCTGCGATACCGTTGCTTGTCACAAATTTGGAGGCGGGTGCAGATAAGGACCCTTGGCTGGCCAACGATCGTCGCTTGCATTTCCCCGGATAACGTGGCTGGGGTTCACGCGCTGGTAAGATGACCACCATGTGCATTGTTTGGTGCCAGTGCGATACAGAAAAGCATGGGCGCTATCGCGCCTTCAACTTGTTGCTGATGACTGCGGAATCGAGCGCCGCTCTATCGCGATTGTTGCTTGGAAAGACATGTGGCTGGGCAATTTGTGCAATCAGGGCGGCTGCTTGGAGCCGATGCTTGTTCAGCACAAAGCTCACAATACACACAGGCAATTGTAAGGTCTGGGCACGTGCCTGTCACTGCTTTTAGATATCTCATGGACGGCGTGATTGCTTAAGTAGGTGGCCACCAATTTCCGATGTTGTTAGCCGTAAGGACAGGCTCATTGTCACCCGCTGCGATACGGGAACGCGCCGTTTGACGACGAAGCATTTACAGCTCTCTTTTCAATCGCTCTGGGAGTATACATATATGCTGGCTAAAGCCAGCAGTGTGGACTTAAAGGACGAATAGTTGCGCGGAGACGTGACGTATGTCATGATACGAGTGCTTTACTCCAGCAATATCTCCCCTTTCCGTGTCGGAAAATACGTTTCCAAACAGCGGACGCGGTGCGGTAGCTTCTCAGTGATCTCAAAGTCCGTCTCAAAAGCTGTCTCCGTCTGTTTTAATCCGAAGTAACCATCGAGCGTGCCCAAGATACCAATACGTTCCGATATCCCGTTCCGTGTTCTGAGAAGCAGCCCGTAGTGTCCAAACATGATCGCACAGTCGAATGTGTCGGTACAGAGCTCCGTAAAAAATGCACCGTCCTTTTCCGCAGTTGCTGTTATTTCAAAGTCCCAAATGAGCCAGCCGGCATTCCATCTGTCTGCCCATGATAGATCGAAGTCGTCGGGCATGGGCCCTGTCTCTGTGATTGGGATTTCCGAAGAAAAAATGGAATGTCTCCCGGCATACGACAATTTAACATCTATCAGGGTGAGGTCCATGGACAGTCGATAGGTGTACAGGGTGGATAATTCGGCTTGTGATGGTATGAGTGACCGCATGAAGTGTTCATTGAGCTGTTCGTATTTGCCGCCAACCTTCTGCACGCACACCAGCGAAGGCAAGTCTGTTTCGATAAACTTGCGTTTTTCCCAACTAGATGTCGGCATCCAGATTACAGCGGCGTTCCATCCTGCCCATGTCCAAGTAGGAAACTCCTTTCTTCGCGCTCCCTCATTGCCCTTCCAGGAGCAGCCCATCGCAAGAGCAGCGTATAGTTGTGTCTTTAGATTGAGGAAAGCAAACGACTTCAAGTCCTCAGCAACACGCTCGGAAATCCCAGAGTAAGGGGCAATCGTTACTGGTAATCCCCAATAGTGAACAAACTGGCCAGAGCTCAGACCGTCAGGTATCTCGGAGAGCTGCGTCGCTGCACGCGATGACAAAACACCCAATACGGCACGAATAGCATCTGAACCAAAAGACAAGTTGCGCTTCGAACATTCCCGAATCAGGTGTAGAATACGCCAGCCAGTTTCGGGGCGTGTGATAGGCAGTAAAAGTTCTGGCCCAGAATGTAGGAAAAGTGGTAGTCGGCGGAACGTACGTGCACTCTGAATCTCGGGTACTTGGGTAGGTGTATGCGAGGTCTCCAGACGACAAACCCGGTTGCACTGGAAGAAGACCATCTCATCCGTAAATATCAGACGCTTACGCGCAAAATAGCCTTCTTGGAATGTCCAAGCTCGCGTGTTCCATGTAGACCTAGGAACTACGCTGGCTGGCAGCATTGGCACGGATGCCCACATGATACCATTGATTATCAGTCGCGGTTGTGGCGCTCGCGAGCCTGCTCTAACGCCAGGCAGTCCGAAGTCCGCACCGTCTCCAGCTGCCGCAATGATAGTCAACTCAGCGCTTTGGTAGATCAGATCCATCGCGGAAATTTGTCGTTGTACCTCGGAAGCATTGGACTGGTCAATACAATACCTATCAACCCACAGGTAGCGGTAGCCCAGTCTTGAGACTACGGTCATGGCGTCCTCTACCGTCTTCGGAAGATTGTGAAAGATGTTCGACGCCGAGCTGTCTTCTGTTTGGTTGTGGTTTGTTCCCCACACATAACTCAAAGCCACATATGGCTGGTTAGGTGCCCATGGAATGATAGCATGGTTCAAGCAATCGATTAATCTAAAGCCAGATGGCGGGAACGGTCGCGGAGCAGGACCTTCATTGTTTGTCGCAGAGCAGTGTTGGATGTGATTCTCATCGCAGTGTTTCATCCATGCCTGAATAGCTTCAAAGTCCACGGAGTCCGGGCGTAGTGCTTTGTGCAGAGGTTGCGGCCGGGCGTCGATGTCGCCATTTTTCGAAGGCAAAAGATAGCGAGTGGCAGTCTTGCTGGACTCGAGGGTAGACTTGAATATACACGGGTCGAAGCGATACTGTCTGGGGATTTCCTCATAGCACTCCAGCTTTATGAAATCAGTCTCAGATGCAGGATTCTGGACCATGTATCCTAGGAATCTACACAGAGGGCAGTCCGAGTTTGGCGCGACGGGAATACGCTCGTGCTGCTGCTGGTGTTTTCTCTTCTCCGTCGAATTCGTCATCAGCTCCCCCAGTTTGAGCACACGGCATGTTTGGCACAAGTGCTCCGTGAGGAAAGTACCCGTATCAGCATCTTGAACGAAAAAATCCGTGGTTTCCGATTCGAGAGTGGAGGCATTGTTTGCACTCAATTCCTGAGACACATTTGCGTCGCCGACATTATCAGAAGACGTAGGGTGTAGTGCTATGTTGCTGTTGTTCATGATAACGATTCACGAGATTGGAATTGGGCAAGCTGAGTGCGGTAACTCGAAGCGAAGTGCGAATGAGGGCTAGAAGGCTGAGGAGCAGGCTGTACGAGTTATATAGCTCGAGGCTTTAGCTGTGAGCAGGTAAGCGCCCTGGAGAGATGCAAAAGCCACTAGGCTTCGAGACCCGCTCTGGGGCGTAGCATGGCAGCCTGAAGCGGCCCTGAGATTGGACGTGTCTGGCTATGGCCGACATCATCCATCCCAGATGAGTTGGAAGAGGGTTGGTGTGGAGGTTTAGAGGGTCTGAAGCTTGTGTTGTTAGCGCGGTCGAAAGGTGGCCCTAGCGCGCAGGCCGCGGGCAGGAGCGACGGATATTTGGCATCTCCAGCTCGGCCTCGCGACCGCAACACGAACGACATCCCGACTCTTGACATCACGTGCACCATGATCCGATAGACACAACACGGTTCTCTCCTACATTTGACGACTTTCTTCTTTCACAATGGCGTCGGCGGTGTTCTTCCTCGACCTCAAGGGCAAGGTGCGCTCGTTGCCTGTGGGGTACACGGGGGAGCTCCATACTAACGACTCTGTATAGACCCTTCTGGCGCGCAATTACCGTGGAGATATTCCCATGTCCGCCGTCGAAAAGTTCCCCGTCCTGCTCAGCGAGGCCGAAGAAGACAGCTCCGCCGTGCCGCCATGCTTCTCCAACGAAGGCATCAACTACCTCTACATCCGTCATAACAACCTCTACCTCCTCGCCCTCACCAAGCGAAACACCAATGCCGCCGAGATCCTCCTCTTCCTGCACAAGATCGTCGAGGTCTTCACCGAGTACTTCAAGGAGCTGGAGGAGGAGAGTATACGAGACAACTTTGTTGTCATCTACGAGTTGCTAGACGAGATGATGGATTTTGGGTACCCACAAACGACCGAGACGAAGATATTGCAGGAGTACATCACACAGGAGTCGCATAAGCTGGAGGTGGCCCGGCCACCGATTGCAGTCACCAACGCAGTCAGCTGGAGAAGTGAAGGTATCCGGTACCGCAAGAACGAGGTCTTCCTCGACGTCATCGAGTCGCTCAACTTGCTCGTCTCTGCAGACGGCAATGTGCTACGGTCTGAGATCCTGGGAGCTGTCAAGATGAAGTGCTACCTGTCCGGTATGCCCGAGCTGCGGTTGGGCCTCAACGACAAGGTCATGTTCGAGACCACCGGCAGAGCGACGCGCGGAAAGGCCGTCGAAATGGAAGACGTCAAGTTCCACCAGTGCGTGCGCTTGTCACGATTCGAAAATGACCGGACCATCTCCTTCATCCCGCCCGATGGTGAATTCGAGCTTATGAGCTACCGCCTGAACACACAAGTCAAGCCCTTGATCTGGGTCGAGTGCATAGTAGAGAGTCACTCCGGCAGCAGGATAGAGTACATGTTGAAGGTAGGCAGTTTTGCATTACTCCTGATGCAATGACTAACACCGAACAGGCGCGAGCACAGTTTAAGCGGCGGAGCACAGCCAACAACGTCCAGATCTCGATACCCGTACCCGAAGATGCAGACACACCCCGCTTCCGAACCAACATCGGCACCGTACACTACGCCCCCGAAACATCCTCCATAGTATGGAAGATTAAGCAATTCGGTGGCGGCAAGGAGTTCCTCATGCGCGCGGAGCTAGGTCTGCCCTCCGTGCGAGGCGACGATGAGAAAGGTGGCGGCATGATGGGTGGCTTTGGTGGAAGTATGGGCGGTGTTGGTGCTGGCAAGGGAAAGAGACCGATCAACGTCAAATTTGAAATCCCCTACTTTACAACATCGGGTATTCAGGTCAGGTATCTGAAGATTATTGAACCGAAGGTAAGCGAGACTGTGGACCGTGTCCGACTGGCAAATGCTAACAAATTTCTAGCTGCAATATCCTTCCCTGCCGTGGGTGCGGTATATTACACAGTCTGGAGACATTGCGGTGCGATTACCAGACGTGAACTAGTACTTGCGTGGACCGTAATCGACGATATGTATACCAATAACATCATGCAGCGAGCTTTGCTGTATTGTTTGCATCTCAATGTCCAAGGTGCAGCAGCATTACACATCCGCACCTCACTCCTTGGATTACCACGGAAATTCTCCCTCTTCCTTCCCCTCCAAAACCTCGCTTTCCACCTGCTTCTGGTGCATCTCATCGAAATACGGCAACAATAGACCCTTCCAATGACTCTTCCCCTTGTAGTAACTCACTGCCTCATCCCGACTCCTGATGGCCTCCGCCAGTCTTGTAGTCACATGCGGTTCCAGCGCAATCACCGTAACAGGGTCAAAGTACGTGCGAATAGTGAACAGCAGCGCCTTCGACTTCGGCAACCTGCGCAGCGACTGGCGCTCTGAACGGAAGTGAATATCGTCTGTGCTGAGATGAGTCGAACCAGCCGTTGTCCAAGAAGCAGTAGTAAAATAATAGTAGATAGTAAAATAGTAATTACTAAGTAATTACTATTTACTAAAATTAGTAATTACTAAGATAGTAATTACTATTATTATATAATACTATTTTACTTAGTAATTACTATCTTAGTAATTAGGGTTTGGCGTTTTGACTTTTCTTATCATTATCATGGGAATTGAAATTTGGTGTCATTCTTAACTTGATGACCAATTATGTGAAAAGAACCCATACAACGTATAGACCTTGATCCCATATCCAAAAAGACATTACTGCCTTTGCCGGCCTCTAGTAAAACTCCAAGCCCGCTACATGCGTTCTATAAGCTTCTTCTCTAAGTGGCCTTATGAAAACCCCTGGGCTAGCCTGATTAATATTACCTGGTTCTCTCGGAATGTTTTGTAGTAACTGCTCCTCAAAGACATTGGAATCGATCATCTGCGTAGTGGGGAGCGTTGATATTTTGGGAAGCGGAGACTTGTATATAAATACTAGTCGATTTGGACTGTAGTAATCAAGCGCACTAAGCCATATCATGGTGTCCATGAGCTCCCTGCCATACACAATCTCGCTTTTGTGGGTTATCGTTATTTCGATAGTTCGTATGCCTCGAGAGCCGTTCTGTGTTCCATTCAGTGTTCCGTCCTTTGTATCGTTCCGGGTTTCATCCTGTGTTCCGTTCTGAGTTTCGTCCTGTGTTTGACGCGTTCGAGAGAGGGCAAGGGCGCAAGTCTGAAGAAAGGACCTAACCGCTCGATTTTCGCGTCTTCTAAAGGGCCACCAGTCCGCTACGCCGAGGCAGCTTCTCAAAGCACTCGAACCTGCAACAATTGCCCATGCTGCACTGTAATCTACAAGATATCGTACAGGCTGAGCTCTGCAGTGCTCTACCTTGCGTTTGAGAATTGGACGGGCCTCTTTGTTGATGAGGTGACAAGTTACTAGGATATCGATCGCGAGTGGAGTGTGTGGTTGAATAAGGGTCACACGAGAGTCGTAGACCTGGGCTTTAGGAGGAATTGGCCAGTCTCTCGTTTTGATAAGGGCTTGTGTTCTGTCTAGGGTGTGCCAAGTACTAGGGAATTCGATATATTCGTACACGCGGCAACGTAGTTCTGCAGGTAGATCTAGAAATCGAAAGGGATGTCCTGTGGCTGACGTCATATTGAAAGACTGAATAGTATCGTTAAGAACGCAAGGCGGATGTGAATTATGGTTGTCTAAGCTGTGGTATAGAAGTGCTTGGAGGGGGCCAAATACCAGTGCAGCAGTGCAGGAGGTGTAGGGCGGTGCAGGTCATATTTAATGTCGCAGCTCGCTAAGAATAGGCAATATGGGAGCCAATACTGCTGAACCTCGGGTGATACTCGAAGCGGTAGGTTTGGTGGTTACCCGGTTTGGGTAGCCTAGACCGAACCAAATTTTCGAAGCTCAACAACCGATGAGTCGTCCCAAAGCATCCGAACCAGAACAACATTGCGAAAGACGTCAGAGCGGACAGGAGAATATGTTGTTGCTTGTCCGGCCCCAATCCAAGCCCTCAATTGACCTATTGCTGCTAAGCGTCTCTCTGGAATTGCCACCGGCGATCAAGCATGTGAGCACGCTCCACCCGACTTCGTCTATGTAGCAACGGATTTGAAGCTAGCAACTGTGCGAAGAACACTTATATCAAACCTGTCTCTCATCATCAAAGCTCCACCTCATTACCAACAACTACGGTTAACGTACAAGGGGAGCAAGGCACACACAACACACATGCATGCGCGATCGAAGCCTCGCTGTACTGCGAACGATCACTAACCACGGAATAATTAATGATGGGCGATGGGTAGTGGTACTGCCGGTGGTGCGGCGTCGTGATTACACACACACGCCCCCGGCGCTAGCTCTACACTACGATCCCTTTTCATACGTGTCGCTGCAAGCACTAGAGCAATAGCCTAGATATGCTGTTAAAGTAAAGCATTCTGATCGCCTATGCAATGCGGGCAGTGTTGCGGAAAACATTCGACCAGGCATCGTTCCCTCGATCTGACTGCCAGTGCACTCAAAGAGCAAACGTCGCGCCACTGTATCGTCATCTCCGACCTGCAATGAATACGTCGATGCTTGCCCACTGGTTATTGCACGTACGTAAACTTGCGGAGATGAAGTCGACCAAGTCAATGTCTTCATATTTACAAACGAGTGACCATGAGACACGAAACTATATACATTCTAACTTTCAGTGGTCGCAGCAAAGACAAAGTACTTCGCTATACCACGACTCCAACACCCTCGATTCTTTCAAGTTCCGCGTAATCCTATTCTAAGCAGGCTGCTGGAAAGTAGACCCGATGGGACCAAACTTGATGTTCGAGAACATAACCGACGCATCCGGATTATTCGCCTCGACCTCCGCCGGCGCGCCACTCGTAATCGCGCACTCCCCACGCGCCGCACCAGGAGATTCCGGATCACGATCAGTCGGATACGTAGAATCAAGCCACAGCATGTTCGAGTAGTGATCGTCCCACAGACTCATAACCAGCACCATGCCCTGCGCCATGCCCTTGCCCATGGATGCCATACCGCCCCACTGGTTGAATGGGTACACCTCCTCCTTGAAAACCTCCTTCTGTGTATCACACCATTTCTGTGTGATGGAGTTGCCGGTCATACCCGGGATGGTGGGCTCCGGGTTGGAAATGACCTTGCCGTCTTGGACGTAGAAGCGCTTGAGCTCGGTGAGGTCGGAGCCGGTGCCGAGGAATTGGGTTACGACGGTCATCTTCTTGGATGTGTCGACTGTCTTGCCTTTGCCATAGAAGTCTTTGTTGCCGACGCGGTACGGGTTGACTGGTCATGTTAGCGAGGTAATTGGGTTCGTGTGTGGAGAGCAAGGCTTACAGTCACAGCCGTTGGCATCGCAGGTTCCTGCATAGCGGTCGAGGGAGTATGTACCGCCGCAGTTGCTCTCTTCGCAGACGGCGTAGCCTTCGGGCTGGCATGAGTGGGGTGTCAGAGCGGTGGACATGGAGTTGGCTTCCCAAACATCCATTTCAGCGCTGATAGTCGTGAGTAGTCAGCTTCACAAAAGTACTGCTAAACATACCAGCAGGCGCCTTTCTTGCCAACTCCAGCATTGGGGTCGCTCGTGGAAGCTTGCCATCCATCAGCATTCGCCTCACCGCCGACGAACTTCAGATCGCGAGCACACTGGGCATCGCAGTATCCTAAACACAGCGTCAGTGAGTGTTTTTGAGATATGAACTGAGCACTGAGAAAGCTTACCAGTTCCATACTTGGCACCAGGTGTGCCCTGGCCTTTCTCAGGCATGGAGACAAAGTACAGTGCTCCATTCAGGCCACAAGGCAACTGACTGAGGTCAACATCGAACGTGAACTCATTCCCAATCAAGTTGAACATCTCATAGTTGTTCGTATCCTTCATGAGATACGTGCGCGACCCAACATTCGTCGAGTACTGGCCCTTAGTAATGAACTTGAGTGTAAGGGAGTTACCCGAAGTCGTAATACCGTAAGTGCCACGATAGTCTGAGCCTTCGATGGCGCAGTTCTTCGTACAAGCAGCGTTGGAGGGACAGGCTGTCTTGTTCCATTCGTTGCCGTCGAAGCAGTTCGTGTAGCCACCGGTGGCGTGGATCCAGCGCCAGTTGGCGTCGATGACGATTTCACCGTTGACGTTAGTGCAGCTGCTACCGCCGGTGCCTGTGCAGCGTTGCCAGGTCATTTTGGGATGGGTTTCGGTCTGCTGGGTACCGATGACCCATGCTGAGGCATTGGAGGCGCAGAAAGCCAGCACAGCTGCGGCTGTAGTAGTAGTAGGAAACATGGCTTTCGTACTCAGTGTTCTCACTGATAGCACTGATGTGACCAGATACAGTATGATCGGGTGGTGAAGAAGGCATTTTATATGGTATCCGCAACGCAGCTCTTGGTGGCATTCTCATTGTTCCTCAGTCTTACTCTTGGCTACAACTTGAAAACCCATATTGACCAAGAGAGTCCTATTCCTGGGCAATGAACGATCAGTGACGCTTGTGGACAAAATTTTCTCCAGCAGCCGGCTTGGAATATGAAGCAGCGGCTCTCTTTATGAGCCAAGTCGCCGCATCATCCCACAGTCATGTCTTCCAAGCCCTTATTACTCCTCTTCGCAAACTTGGACGACCAGAAATACCCGAGAGGTTTATTACGGCCAAGCTGAAGATTTCACTGCATGCAACCCCAAGCCTGAATGCCTAGCACTGCACAAGGGGGGAAAACGAATTATCAGTAACATGCTTCATTCTAACAGTAGAAGCAGCTGACAAGCTTTCTTGACGGCCAGCTTGGATCTTCTATATGTCCTTAGCCCTGTTAGAGGAAGTCTGCGGCCGAGTGGCTGTCGAAGGTCATGCACCCCGCTTAATATCCGTTTGTGGGGTAATAGATGAATTGCAACTCCAGGGTCGAGCGCGCATTAACCCGATTGGATGGTACCAGGCGTCGGAACATAGCGACGGGCATGGAAAAATTCACGAGCTTTCCAGATGTGAGGCAGTTCGTGTAGATGCAACCTGCTTATCCTGTGCACCGTCGGATCTGTGGCTACTACGCAACCAAGACTACTACAGGTGACCGGTGCAAAGATCCAACAGAGTGGCAGCTCTGGCATAATCATAAAGAACTTAATGATGAACTTGGAAACTTAATTTTGGGGAAGGCACGTTGGTCTGAGTCAGTTGACTAATTACATTGCTGGACCCAATATATCGCACATCGCCCTCTCAATCCGGTTCAATGGGCCACGTCAGTGGGATCAGTACTGCGCACTATCATGGTCGTTGGCGGCGTCTGACAAGACTGAGGGAACAACGAGCCTTCCAGCGGAGAAGCCAAGTTCGCTCCCGTTCCTGGGAATGTGATATTAGTAAGTAGGACTGAGGGTAGGCCGTACATGCCGTAGACCGACCGCAAGGGGTAGAAAAAGCCTTCCACGAGATTCTGCATGATGCAGGCTGGCTCCGAGTCCCCAAAATTCGTGACTGCGAGAGTGGGGTCCGCATCTGCTACAATGCCTTGCCCACCGCACGGGAAGGCCCGGTCGGATCCAAGGTAGAAGTTGTCGACGCTGTCAACTTCTACACATATGCTGTAGATACCTGTGAAGGGCGGTCGGAAATACCCACTGAACACAAATGTACCATTGTTTGGATTGTAGGGGATGTCCGCATAAGTGCCGCTTACACTTGCATAGTAGGGTAGCGTTTCAATGTACGTCGGTGACTCGTTGTCGGGAATGTCCACTCGTAGTATTGTCAGATCATTCGTCGAGCCAGTACCCAACGCGTTCTGGCCAAGATAGTAATCAGGAGAGACTGCGCTGCTGTTGCCATACGCTTCCTCGGGAACTACGCTATTTGCATAGAAAGCAACATCTAAACCGGTAGCGTCGCATGTAATAGTGTTCGGAAGGCAGGCGTTTGTGGGCACTGGGGTGTTAATCACAACAACAGTCGTTGACGCGCTGTTGCCAACAATGGTAGTAGTAGCTGAAGGTTAAGGTACATGATTAGCGTATGGCCTCGCAAGGAATGCAGGGATGGTGGTCTGAATTTGGAGCGATATAAGACATTATTAGAGTACTAGCGAACTAAACGTACTACATAGAATTAGCATTAACTCTACATGAACGAATGTCAAGTGCTTGCTGCCGCTTTGAACAATCGAGTTCCTAGACTGCTGGCCATGGGACTATGATCACTTAAGGACACTCTGCAGGGACAGTGATCTATGTAGGGACAACCGTCACTGTAGGAGTGGCACTGTAGTTTTTAAGCGATAGCAGACACTATATGCTCAAGGGTACTTACCTGGGAGTGGGTGTTGTGGGAACAATGACCAAGATAACGCTCGTCGAGACACCGACAACAGTAGTGGTGGCAACGGTCGCTGTGAGGGCCACGGTACCGCTGGTAATGGTGACGGTGGCTAGATCGGCCGAACTGGAAGACCCCGATTGCGAGCTGCTAGCAGCGCTCGAGGCAGACACACTTGACACACTCGAGCTACTGGAAACTGTCGGCTCAGAGCTGACGGAGCTGGGTTAGAACTGATGCACTGGATACAGAAGACTCTGAGCTGGCTGAGCTAACTGAACTAACAGTAGCGCTTGTGTCTGCTGCGGCACTGGAGGCTGGCGATGCGGACCCGCTGGATGCAGTGATGGAACTGAGCAGGCCTGATGAGGCAGAAAGTGTTGGCTCTGAGCTGGCGGAGCTTAGGAGATCTGATGTACCAGAGACAGTGGATCCTGAGCTGGCTGAGCTGGCTGAACTTGACAGTAGCGCTCAGGTCTGCTGCAACACTAGAGACTGGAGATGAAGATTCGCTGGAAGCAGTGATGGAGCTGAGCAGGTCTGATGAGCTGGAAAGCGTCGGCTCAGAGCTTGCCGCACCACTCGAGCTAGGTGTGGAGCTAATGGTATCGGAGAAGCCGGTTGGTAAGGCGATGGCTCCATCTGAACTCGTGCTGCTGGCTGTTGGTTCGGAGCTGACCAAGTCGCTAGATGCAGCGATGGTGGTGGAAGAAGAAATAGCATCGGTGGCTGTAGGCTCGACGACTACTATGATGGTGGTAGGCGAGCCGAAAGCATCTGTCGTAGATACGACGTTCGTGAAAGAGACTGAGCCACTGGTACTGGTGGTGGTACTAAACTCTATCGGCAGTACCGCTGAGCTCGGCTCTCCAATTATTACGACCGTAGTTGGCTCGCCGTAAGCATCAGTTGTAGGCACAGTCAATGTAAAGCTTGTCGATCCTGAAGTAGTAGTGATGGTTTCGAAAGGGTCGGCAATCGGAGTTGGCGTAAGCGTTGGAACGTCTACCACAACATATGTAGTGGGTGAGCCATAGGAGTCCGTGGTTGGAATGGTGAAAGTACAGCTTGTCGAGCCAAGCGAGCGAGTGTATGTCTTGTATGGCTTCTCTCCCACAGGATATCCGTGAGGGTGTCCATAGACTGGCTTCGGATGCGGCTTTGGGTGCGGCTTCGCAGCGTAGGAACCGCAGTTACGCTGGTACCATCGGCACTTCGATTTGGCGGTGGCAACGCCACACAAGCCAAGACAAACGAGGTATCGAAGAGCTGCGACCATTTTGGAACCTGTAAGTTAGTAAACGTAGTGATGAGGCTTCTCTGTGCACACCTTGTTCGGGACTCGACTGTCGGTAGTTATATCAGTTGTAGCGAACGCATGCGGAATGCATCTAGTCTATGACATGGCCATCCTTTACAACCGGTTCCACATTCGTGGGGTATCGCACATTCCAAATTTAATATCTCCAGTTCATATTGTTGGCTGTCTATGTTGAGGACATGATCCACAAAAGCTCGTCCGTGGCGCCAATATCTGTTGCGCCTCAAGCCAATCACAGAATTTGTGAACCGTTCTTGAAGCACCGTTTGCGATTTGGTTGAGCGACCCGTCAATCGTTTGGCCATGTGAGTGTCCGAGAGCAGCCCTAGGGGAATCCACGCCGCATGAACGACTAAGCGATGGCGACCTTGTGCAACGAGTCTTGCGTGCTAAGACCTATTCTATACCTCCTTGCTACATTTTGAAAACAGCATTCGTTGTATGAAGGGTGTAGGAATTGCTGCATATGGCGAGCGAATCTCTGAACTCCGTCTGTCGTGACGGTCTCACCAGGGCGCACCCCTCAAAGGCCCCGATCGCCTTTTCGGCATTTTTGAATATCGGCGAGCCTTTCCATACCACTACATCGATAATTTCATGGCCGCACTGGGTGTGGGCAAATAGCAGAAAATCTAACGTGATTTGGCGGCGAAAAGTTAGATTGGTGTAACCACAGGGCTCAGGAACGTATCGCATCGGACCGAAACTTCTGCAGTCCTGCGTAGCTTCACCGTTTCGATGCTTTTAGCACATTTGGAGCGCTCGAACGAAGTGATCCGGAATTTGATCTCGTGCTAGAGGCTCGCAATGACGTTTCTATGGCGAGACGAATGTGGCTATCGTCGTATTCCAAGCTGCCACTTTCCTAGGCTTAAAGCTTTGAGTTCAGCATTCTTCTCTGAAGCACGCGGCTTCTCATATGGACTGTCAAATTTTCACCTATAGTCTTCGGTTCAGGCTCCGCTTACCGAAGAACTGGAATCTCCTAGGCAAAGGTGAACGCTTCCGGTCAACATGTCGTACCCACGTCCGGATGCAGCATACGCCAATTCTAAGCAAGGTCGTGCCTGCGCGCGGCGCAATTGTGAGAGATGAAAAATCATGTTATGTTGGTCGTGCTGAATCGACCCGTGAACGTCCCGATCGCATTGGTTGGTTGCCAAGCAAAATACACGTCAGCGGCTTGGCATGCGCTCACATGGTCAGCACATTGACCCTTCCAGCTTTTGTTTTATTAGCACGAAGTTGATCGCTGCATGAACATTCAAACTGCAATTTCGATTGCTGCACATGCCCTTGAGCTCTGAGCTTCGCCTCCACGTTTGTTATAGACGCAGTGAATACCTGATAATGATCCGTCCATCTCCTGCATCGAGCTGAGAATGCGCATGGTGATGTCAAGGTGCTATGAAGCCTCTGGAACAACCTATTGCTAAACCTGTTGCAACGCGTCAGGTCTTGCGACTGAGACGACAAAGGAGATTCGACATGTTCACACTATTTTTTCATTGCAGTACGTCACTGGTCAGTATGCGCATGCTATCAGTTCAACCTCAACGAAGGGCAGAGATTGCGTAAAGCGCATCACTCACACTCACAAGATTGATACTTGCCACTTCACACTTGGGCGTCGATGCACATAATGTTGAAGCGTTGGCACAATTCTCCAAATTGGGCATCAACATCCGTTTTCGTGCCTGGTCAAGGCCCGCGTCCATCATCCCGGGCTACATGCCTCTTCTATATCTCAATACAGCACTGTAGATTTTCTACGAATTTAGAAAGTTGCTTATTGGATACTTGGACTCTGGATTGTGTTTTCCTGGCTTCGCAAAGGCCCCTCATCTATCCAACACATCGTGCGTCGCAAACCCCATCGCAAAAACTGCTCAAAATCTCAAGGGTGAGTTTTCCGTTGTCAAAGAGGCCGCATTCTATTAACTCTCCGACACGATACCTAGATATCGCACGCTAATCGCCTCATCTGCGTCAGCATTGTTCTAGGCTCAGCCTCGTTTGCTGCTCACGGTCACATCTTCGGACATCATCCCCTTTGAACGCTTTCACTCTGTTTAAAACAGCGCTATACAAAAGGACGCCGCCCGCACGGCTGTTTTTCGAGCACACCATCGATCTAAGTGTCATGGCAGTAGAGAGCGGGATTACCTCAGTTATTGATATCGCGCACGATAATCAAGAACTTCAGAAGAAGGCTACAGAGCTAGTATGGTTTCAGGATGATCTGAAGTAGATGTACCTGCTGAACTCAACTAGGCTCATGAGGGCCTGGTCATGGAACGAGAATACTCACGGTAAAGCTAACCCGGACAGATTTGACCAGACCTTTCCTTCGACGTCTAAACTCCTTTCTTGCTGCAGAGGAACTTGTACACAGATTGTATTTGCTAACAGTTAGACTCTTGTTTGGATAAAGATGCTTAGGTATAATAGCAGACAGGTCCAATGTTTGCCACGTGAAAGACTAAATGCTTTGTGCTTGCGTGGTGCTCTTAACGTCTGACGCAGTGTGAAGTATTTGATACAGCTTAGAGAAATTTACATCTTGTCGTAGTAAAACACGACGTAAAAGTTTTACTATCACACAAACGACAAACATCTTAGACATGATGTCTGGCATACCACTCGCTGTGCAAGGCTTAAAAAGGCTGTCCCCCAGATAGCACCTTCACGATCTCCTACAACCAGGCAGAAGACCCTACGACCAGATAAGATGCAGGCATATTCCAGACCCATTGGAGACTGAAACTAGTGTTGGTTCTGTCTATATTCAAACACTTCAGCCGAGCGGGTGTGCATCCAATGTCACGCACCAACGCCACCAACAGGTACCGCAGACGGTGAGGAAATAACGTATCAAGTTTTCTCGTTCGGGTCTCGTACAGACGAGTACTCCGGCCGTGAGAAGCTACATGCAAGTCACTTCCAACAGACGATAGAATTTCTACAAGCTGGAACACTAGTCGCACTATGCGTTGGAGTCGAACCCATGTACGCCATTCTGATCAAAGATGGCAACGGAGCAATACGCTTTTCGACGAGAGGGACGCCACCCTCAATAAGCGCAAACCACTTTACACAATTTCTCCACACTGGTCAGGCTATACTTGCCACCGATCCCCCAGTCAACTACTGGTAAGATAGCGAAGATTCACTCAAATATCATTGTACTTATTCCTCTAACTCGGTTCTACAGTGATAATGATCTGAGGTCTTCTGCCACCTCTGACTCTTCTACCTCATCTTCCCTGTCTGAATACTCTGGATTATATGTCGCTTGAGCCGTCTCATTGTAATCAACCTCACGCTTCAATTTCGATTCGAAATTACGTCTGTTAATTAGTCCCCCAAGAGGTTTACATTTGCACCACGCCGGACGCCTCCACACATCGTACGCTTCGGTATGCCTAATTGGGTAATGTTTCAAGACCGTTTGCACTTCATCCACTGGGTTTGTCACTTTCTTCGTAAACTGTTTGCTGGCATGTTTGGCATCGCTGTCATGCTCGGCATCCAGCCCGGCCCATACCATATCACATATCTCTATACACGATGTGTCTCGGCATCGGCTCTCCTGGGCCCAGCGTTCGACCCACCAGGGATAGTAACCGGCTAGTTCCCAGTCGATGATTGCTCGGATTTTGCCTTCGTTGACGATGATACTGCCGCTGTTAAGGTCGGCATGTGTTAGGACATAGGGGCCACCATCTGGGAAAATATTCTTAAGGTCTTTGAGTTTTTCTTCGATGATAGCGTTATCTTTTGTTCCATATTTTCGCTCCAGTCCACGGCGCAGTTCGGCGTTCATGTTGTTGAACCAGTCTTCAGTCGTTTTGCCAATGGTTATGCAGGCTTTAGGCGCGGGGCATTTCAGCGCAACGGGCTAATAGCAAATCGTAGAGTCTATTCCTTGACTCAGAATGAGCCAGGTGGTGCGTACGATCCATGGCGCTGGTCTACTTTGCTTCACAGTTGCTCCGCTGTTTTGATTAGCTGCCATACACTAGGCCAACATTGTCGCTCAAACAAGCGAAGATTTGAACCGCTATGAACTAGAACTCCGCAAAGCATGGTATGTGCACCCCAAACCCGTGCGTTATGAGACCAGGTTCAGCACATCACCCTATGAGCATTACCCGGTTCTTGGTCGACTGTGCATTTGCCTCTTTAGTGATTGGACTACTTTGGACGTTTTCCAGGGATGAAGCCGAACAAAGCCAAAACGTGATTGGATCAGGAAGACCGTAGTTATTGATTATCTATAGCAGCCAGGTTTACAACAGCCTCTTGCCCGCATACTGAGTCGAGTTCGTGCCATTTTTGCTGGGCACGATGCCATTCGCGTCCGCCTGGTTCAGCCATGCGGCTTGTAGAGCCCACACACCCACACTCACCTTCGCATCCGGGTGGAGGCCTGTAGTCGCCACTTCCATTGTGTCCAACGGAGCACTGGGGAAGAAGACGCTTGTTGCGCTCAACTCGCCGCCGTTCAAGAAGATCTCGATGATGCTGCGGTCGATGACTCCTGAGAGCTTCCATGAGCCTTCTGCTGGGTTAAACAGACCAGTAGCTGAGAACTTGTCCGTGAAGAAAGGGTTTTTGAAGCCATCGGTTTCTCCACGATCGAGCCACAAATCGCCGGAGAGCCACGTGCCTCCAGAGACAGATTCGCCTGTCTTCGAAGATGTGAATGTGAAGTTGAGTGTTCCGCCGAGCTTGTCTGTTGCGAGACCGGTCACATTGGCTTCGAAGTACAATGCTCCGGACTTGACCTTGGAGTAGTCAACCATGACTGTGCCATTGCCTAAGGAATCGTTGGAAGCGAGCTCGGATTCTACAATGGACATGATGTTCCACGGGTAGGAAATCAGAGTCAGGCCGTATCGTGGCAAGTCCTTGAGGTAATGGCCGCGAGGTATGGTCATGACACTGCGGAAACCGTCGCCAACCTCCTCACCTGCGGTTGGAAGAACATTCGTATATTGCCAATTGGAAGCCCAGCCCACTGAAACCGGGTCCGCATCGGCTGCGGTGCCGTAGTAGAACTGGGCAGCGTAGTTGTCCTTCGCAAAGTCTGTGAAACGGGTCTGGGGGTCGAGAGGATCAAAGTGCGTTCCGTTGAAAGTACCAACGAAGTACTCCGTAACTGAACCACCGAGAGGCGCACCAGGGTTGATTGAGATGAGCATGGTGTACAACGGCTCATCGACCGTGGAGTTTCCGTGGACGGGCATCTCAACCAGATTAGGGCATTCGTACTGCAAACCAACGACACCGTAATGCGAGAAGTTGCTCTCCGGTTTCCAGTCAATAAGGTTAGGGCTGGAGAAGATGCCAATCTTGAAGTCAATGGGGTATGCCACGACCATGACCCAGCGCTCAGTACCCTCGTACCAGATAACTTTGGGGTCGCGGAATTGAGTAGGGTTGGTACCACCGGGCGCAATGACGGGATTAGCTTCATACTTAGTGAAGGTGTACCCGCCATCGTGCGAGTACGCGATATGCTGCGTCTGGTCTTCCGGCCGGTTGACTGTGTAGACAGCAACGACACCGTTAGTCTGGTTGGGGAAGAAACCAGATGTGTTGTTCGCGTCCACTACAGAGGAGCCAGAGAATATGCCTTCCGTAGGTCCCCCTGGGAAAATTGCAATTGGCTGATTGGTCCATGTGTAGCCATCATCGCTTGTGGCATGGCCCCAATGTTGGTTGCCAGCAATATTAGCTGTCGGGTTGTCTAGGAGACATGTTAGTTGAAAGCAGCACATCGCATATTCATCGATAATGACTTACACTGGTAGTAAAGGTGGTAGGTTCCATTCTCATCGACGAACATGCCATTGGGATCATTCATGAACCCATTTGGTGGACTGAAGTGGACTTGAGGACGCAGTGCACCATCGTAGTCACCAGAGATGACAGTACCGGTAGGCACGTTGGGTTGCGAGTACGTTGAAGTAGGCGACTGTAACCCGGTACTGGACGAGGCACTGCTCTGGGCCGATGCAAGCGAAACGATGCTGAGAAATGCTGTGAGGGTGTTCATGGTCAAAGTTGTCATGATGGCTTTTCACAAGCTAATACCTGTAGTAAGACGAAGTAAGATATTGCTGGATTCCATTCATGTTATATACTGTCGGCCGTGACACCGTTGGCCGAGATTTGCTCCGTACCGTGTTGTGACGACATGCATATGGATCCATCAGCACCCATGGCTTAGCTAGCAAAGCAGAAAATGCTCCATGGTTAACTTGGCTATACCCCATGAATCGTACGAACCGAGAGTGCAGGTGTCAACAAGTGATCTTTTGCATGCGTATTCCCCGCAATGTGGGGATGAACATGGAGGCTGGGGCGCTGAACTAGGCGATGATGTCGATCCCTGCGCAATCGGCGAATCACAAATCACCCGCGAATCAACCCGCCAGTCCAGGATCCCCACACCACGCGGAGCAAGAACACTTCCGGTCGAGCTAAAGCAAAGAACCCAACCGTGGAAAAACTTTCGAAGCCTCACAAAGCAAGGCCAAAATCCCAGACCTGAACCTTCCGTGTCCCAAACGGCCCTCCTTGTCGGACAAAGACACTTAACACGCCATTCTTCTTCAGTCTCTCCTCGTCTACAAGTGGCTCACCAGCCATGTTCGCAATCTCTCCTAGCTTCTTCCAGTTCGTGTACCCTCCGCCCGCCGTCGCCCCCCATAATTGAACAGTCTGCTTGGGCTGGTCCGGCAAAATCGCTATCAAGTTGTCGCCTGTTGCCGCTATTTTGCCTCGGTAGGCCAAGTATGGTGGTGTGGAAAGACCAGGTGCATTGATGGCGGTCTTGGTAAATTTTCCATCTGCAGTCCGGAGATAGTGGTAGAAACGTGCAGTTCCAGATGAATTATCGCGCATCAAAGCATGGAATCGGCCTTTCTCATCCGCACACTGCGCTTCTTGGTTTATGATCTGGCTATTCTGAGGTATTGTGTAAACTTTGATACCGGCTGTAGAAGGCTTGATTGGAAGTGCGACTGTTTGGCCATTCGTCTGCTTCCAAGTTCTGCCTGCATCTTCTGATAACGCGAAGTAGAAGTCGTGGTTCGTACTCGCGTCAGGCGTTTCTCGTACCGTCCACGAGGCGAACAACTTTCCTGCCGAGTTCGTAAAGCCATTGATGTACGCATTATTGTCCTCGCCTTGAAGGTATTTGCCGACTTGACTCCATTGTCCAGAGGTAGAAGAGTAGCGATGAATCCAGGAATCGCCGGCGCCAGACTGACCAATGCGAAACTCCATAAGCAAATCACCGTTGTCAATTCGTTCGAAACGTGGGTAGGTAAGTGGCGTCCATGGCCCAACAGAGCCTGGCAAACTGTGTTGGACTGCGCCAAATGCGCTCGCGCTCCATGTCGCAGGGACCGATTTTGCGATGCCTGTAGTACTCACGCGGTAATTGAGTGGTACATCATGATGATCAAAGCTCAGGTGTATTTTGCCATCGCCGCTGATGCCCATGCTGATGGTGTTGTGTTCATCGAGGGTTTGTTGCACGTAGTCGGTGAAGGCAAAGTACTGCCACTCACCGATCGATGGTGAAACGCGACGACGTCCGAGGTTAACATGATGCTTGCCATAGCCGCTGGCCGTCTTATAAAATGCGACGTATTGATAATCCCCGAAAGTTGTTAGGCCGGTTTGCTGGAAAGCGAGACCATTGAGTCGGACAGATCCCTCAACGTCGTTCGTGATATTCCAGGAGTTAGTTGAAGTGACAGAGAGTGCCGATACAAGCGAGGACAGCAAAGCCCCACCAGTTAGTAGACGCTGGAAAATCTTCATGGTTGCAGAACAACGCACAGCTGCTGTGCGGACTAAGTGGCCATCATATACAGCAATGTGTCAATATAACTAGTGACACGGAGGATCGGGAGAACGTTTCTAAACGGAAGGTGCTTGTGCAACCAATTTTCCGCACTGTTGCTCGTCATGTGTCCATGACACTTACGGTATTGTGGCGGCAATCTATACAAGTGTAGCCCAGATGGGTTCGCTACGCGATGCACATCGTATAGGCCACCCGTCTGGCCGGAACCACGGGCTATCGTTGTCGCGATGTAGAGAGTCTGGGGTAACATCGTCCCTGACGATCAAAGTTCTACAGCGAAACAGCTAGCGGCAGTATTATAAATATTTTCAACTACTGTGGGAAAGCGATTACCGCTGTAGAAGACCTTGGGGAGAGGCGGTATAATTTCATACGACTGAACTCTTCAAGCCAATTTCTGTTGGCAGACGGCGCTTAGATGGTCTTGCTTCGCACCTGCAAGAAGAGAGAGCCCAACAGTGGCTGGATAGTCCAGACTGAGGTGTGTGAGGCCTACATGTTATCTTTGCTTCGTCGCTTCGCGTGTCTGGTGTTTTTGCAGTAAATGCGCATATCTGATGCAGAACTGAATATGCATAGGGAAGGCCTGGAGCAGTTTATATGGTACCAAGCTGAGGTCAGGTATCAATTGATGATATGGAGGAAGACATGAGTGCGCGACTGTCGGTTGCCAGCAACCGGGAAACGGAAGCAACGCGGCGCCACTTGCTGGCTACTTACCGACATTCCTCCGGTTTCGGGCAGTGTCCCTACGTACAACAACATCACACCTTGTTAGCGACACTACATCCAACCTGGAAACCAGTAGCCGATGGCTGAGTTAAGCTTGATCAAAGCTGCTTTTGTGGGCTTGAAATCTCTAGTACCTAGATAACCGCGAACTGCGATGATATCCGAACGCCTGAACAGGAAGGAGGTAGATTGCCAAGAAATTCTCCCTTGGCGAGGATCTTTAAGAGGCATCGTATGTCTTGGACTGACGTACCAGTGACTTGAACTTATCGATCAAAGATGTGGTAGGTTACAAGATAAAAGGTGATAGCTCCCACAAGGCTGCACACCTAGCGAACATTGTTAGAGCCAGGAGGATGTCCATCACAATGTGGACCACGCGTCTTGCGCTATTTACAGCTTCGGCGTTGGCACAGACCCAATACGGAGAGAACCACGTTAATGTTAATTTCGACTCGCAAATTGTGGAGCAAACGGCCTTCCCTGCGCCGAATGCAACATTGCTCAGTCCTGCTTTCCTCGCTGCAGGAAATGCGTCCTTCGATCCAGGATGGACTGAGGGTACCGAGGGTGCGACTAGCCAGGACCAATTGAGTATGGCACGCATAAACAATATTGCGGTCAAATAAAGCTAATGGTTGTCAGCCTCTTTCATTAGTGGTCTCGCGGCCAAAAAACCCATCATGGATGTCATTCCGAGTAGCAGACTTTGTCAGCGAAGAGGGCAAGAATTTCCCTTATGTGTACCTTTCGACTTCCTCAAATGCTTCGGCAACAAGCCGTGACTCTGGGAAGCTGAGAGTATGGATCCAAGGGTCTGTTCATGGCAATGAGCCCGCTGGAGACGAGGCAACCCTGGCCTTGCTTGGAGCTATGGACGCGAACGCAACCTGGGGCTGCATCATTTCTCGCAGCTATGGATATAATTGTCCTCCCCAGATACAATCCCGATGGCAATGCGTACTTTCAACGTACGCTGGCTACAAACTACGACCCTAACAGAGATCACACTAAGCTGGCGCGCCAGCAGACCCGCGACATCAAAGAATGGTTCAGCAGCTTCGCGCCACACATTGCGATCGATATGCATGAGTACGGTGCGGCGTCCCGATACTCTGGCAACTACAGCAATGCAGCCGATGGCATGTTCAGTGCCGCAAAGAACCTGAACATCCACCAGTCCATCCGCGATTTGTCAGAAAATGTTTTTGCCCCGGCCATCAATGCCTCGTTGCTCTCCAAGTCGCTACGTGGCGAGCCGTATGTGACCGCTTCGCGCAACAATCCCCCACGTTTAGACGAAGCAGGCACCGATGCTAAAATTGGCCGCAACGCAATGGGTCTCACTCAGTGCGTGACCTTTCTTTTCGAGACCCGTGGAATTGGTATCGCCTCCCAGAGTTTCAAGCGTCGTACATTGGCTGGACTGCAGATGATTCTTGGTGTGCTGGAACCAGCTCGAGACCGGGCTGAGGAAGTTTACAATACGATCGAGGGTGCTATCAAAGAGGTTGTTGAGAGCAAAGAGGACATCATCGTCACAGACTACACAAAGTACACGAACCGCACATACACCATGGTGGATCGTCGCAACGGTGCTGTAGTCCAACTCCCAATCGAGTTCTCCAGCACGACGCCCTCCACTGCAAATCTTACCCGCGCCCGACCAGAGGGCTACATTATTCCGAGCGCATGGGCTGACCTTGCCGAACGTCTGCGAGTATCCGGTCTTGAAGTTGAGACTATGGATCAGGCCTTTAGCGGAGAAGTTGAAGTGTACAACATCACAACCGCAAGTCTTGGAAAGGCTTACTATGAGGGTGCTGTACTTAGCACAGTCACAACGGAGACCTTGAAGCAAGAAGTTAAGTTACCGGCTGGAAGCTTCTTTGTGAGTAGTGCACAGAAGAATGCGGGTCTAGCATTCGTGGCCCTGGAACCAGAGAACATCGACTCCTACGTGAGCTTTGGTATTGTACCGATGGAGGTTGGGGACCTGTATCCTATTTTCAGGAAAGTGTAAATATTAAGAAGCACTCGATTTCATATTGTGTGTTTGAGTGTCGGAATAGGCACAAACAAAGTACGGCAAATTGACAACATAGAGAGCTTGTCTGCCGACAATTTTCTTTTGCCTGTACCCTACACAAAACCTCATGCTAACAAACAATTGTCAATTTCTCCAAATCCACCGGACCATTCACAATCCTTTCCCACAAAGCTTGTCGAACATGCTTTCAGTGCCCGTCAATGCACCAATGCGAACTGTTTGATGTCAGCAACTCTTATCAAACCATCCAACGATCCTGCATTGTTCCGGTATAACTGCCTCAAACCTGCATTTCTGAGTGCCAGTATCCGCACATCACCATCAGGAATATCATATATAAACCACGCCACCATGACATCCCGCTACTCATACCACCACCGCCGCCACCGCCGCACAATCTACTTTTCACCCCAAGACACAAAAATCTCCGACAACATCACCATGTACGGCCCACCACTACCACTCACTCCACCTTCCAGCAGCCGCCGCCTGATCCGCCCTGCAGCTCCCTGGCACCGCAACACCCGCCCTTACTACGAGCCCACCGTATCTCGCACCCCTTCCCTGGAAGACATCCGCAACCCCTCCCACAACTCAGCCCTCCACTGCCACCAACCCAAGCCCCTCACCCTACCCTCCCCATACACCCCCTCCACACGCCCACACGACCTGCCCTCGCGCATCTCCGCGCTCAACCGCCGCGCCGCAGTCGTATCCGCCCAACTCGCGCACCTCACCGCCGTCGCGAGGCCGCTGGAGTCCACGAAGCCTGAGCGACTGAGCGAGACGCAGCTGTACGACATGCATCAAGAGGGCGTGGGGCTGGTGAGGGCGCTGGGCATGTTCGAAGCGCAGGCAAAGGAGGTGTTGGAGATGTTGGCGGATTTGTTGGGGGGAGGGAGGGAGGTGGAGGAGGAGGAGGTGGATTGGATGTGGGAGGGGGCGTGGGAGAGGGGGATGAGGGTTGGGAAGGGGGCGAGGAAGGGGAGGGATGTTTGAGGTGGTGGGAGAGGGTTGGAGGTCGAGCTTGGGGGGAGGAAGATTTCAGTAATGTACTCATGCAAGTTACTGTACGCGTTGAATATCCTTTGTGCATGGAAGTGGGCTTATTTCATGATTGATCATGAGTATGTTAGACTTCTGTAGTGAGGAGTTGGAACGCTTCCGAGACGCGTACAAGGCGCTGACTGGGCATTGTAAAGAGTGCGTCACGGAAGCTGAATTGGAGCATTATCTGCATTGTATCGCAGACATGGATGGGGCGGTGAGTGCATTCAAGCGCGCGAAGGAAGGACTGGAAGAAGATATTTCGTAGCGCATGAATTAGTTTAAACAAAATGGTGGTTGAATAGTCTACAACACCCTCGGCCTCTCCCACACTCTGCCTTCTTGCATTTCAATCCCCGCGTCGCCGACTTTCTCCCCTCCGAGCAGCGTATCGTCCAGCGGCACGGGGCTCGTGCTGACTTTGCCCTCGGGCCCGTCGCCCCAGACGAGATATTGCAGCGCAAGCCCGAGGTCGCATGTAGCCTGGAAGACACCGCATGCTTTGAATGCCCAGGGGACTTCGCCGCTGCTGCTGGCGAAGAAGAACCACATCTTGAACGTGTCGCCAATCACCCAGTTTACAATCACGCTGGGGCGGAACCCTTTGCAGCCGCGGCGGGTGTAGTTGGAGTAGAGTTGAGGGAGCGGCAGGGTTGCTTCGATGGTCAGGGCCACGGCGCCCAGGACATCCGTGTACGGGATGAACATGCTCGTCGAGCTCATCAGCAAATGCATGATCAGTAGCACGCCCGTGAAGTAGCTCAGGAAACTCCAGTACGGGCGCGGCTGCCTCCACTGCCAGAAATCATAGGGCCGTTTGCGCGCGCCGGGTGCGATTTGAAAGGGGAGATGAGAGGGCGCAGGTCGATTAGTCAGCGCAACGTGCAGGCACAGCACGTGTACGACGATCATGAGCAGCGCCTGGATCAGCAGCGATGTGCTGAAGTGCGAGCCGAACCAGTAGTATACTTTGAGGATGCTGGCGAGCAGCATGATCAGCGGGATGTCGAGCGAGAAGCCGGCGGACGAGCGCGTGCGGTGCATCGAGTAGATTTGGTCGCCATAGCTGGTTATCGGGGATGTGGCGATACTACAGGATGTGTGAGTGAGAGAGTGATTGGGAGGGAGCGGGGGACGAACAATATCGGCGCGATGTTCTTGACGATTTCGTTGATGAAGCCCATGTTGACGATGGATGGGTGACGCGGGTCCGGGTCGAGCGGGACGGGGGCTGACGTAACAGAATCCGCCTTGAGGCTTAATTTTCCTCCTTCGATACCAAACTTCCTCGGCGATTTTGAAAGACGTTCGCTGGCACACGCGACAGGTTGCCAATTGCGTGTGTCGAAGCGTGAGCGATGAACGGCAGGGCGATGAAAAAGGAGAAGACATGGCATTTCCCTGCGATCCAGCTAAGCAACGGGAGCACCCGCTGTGGGTCTCCTCGATAAGCCTCCCTTATCAACCGTCAGTCATCTCAGGTCCCTCCAAACCAAGCCATTAACCACCGCAATTGAATGGATTTAACAACTCTATACGCCTACCAAACCCCCAATTCCTCTACTCCCAAGCCACACCCTCCTCCACGCACCACCATGTCCCACACCGCCTTCTTCTACGGCACCCTGATGGCCCCGCCCGTCCTGCACCGCGTCATCTGGGGCTCGCAAGACCCCCCAACACCCGCCCACGCCTCGCTCCTCCGCATCCGCCCCGCCATCCTGCACGCGCACCAGCGCCACAAAGTAAAACACGCCGACTATCCCGCCATACTGCCTACATCCACACCCTCCAGCGTGCGCGGCACGCTAGTCGAGGGTCTGACAGACGGCGATATATGGCGCCTGGATGTCTTTGAGGGCAGCGAGTATGCGCGGCGGAGCGTGAGTGTAAACGTGCTTGCAGACGAGGGAAAAGAAGAGGGTAACGTTGAGGACGAGCAAGTGCAGGCTGAGACGTATATCTGGATAGCAGGCGCGGATCGATTGGAAGCTGAGGAGTGGGATTTCAGCGAGTTTGTCAGGGAGAAGATGAAGCGGTGGGTTGGCGACGAGGGGGCGCAGGCGGATGAGGGGTTCCAGGGTAGGCGTGGCACTGACGGTCGGTATACTTAAGAGTTATTTGTGACTAACGTTATCCGCAGATGTTGATGATGCTGTTAAGGCGTTGGCGGATCCGACGGGTGGACGGGGCGCGAATGGGAATATTTCGCGGCAACTTGAGAGGGGTGGGAAAGAAGAGGAGGTGCTGAGAAGTGCTGTGTGAAGTGTGCGGCAATGGTTGTATGTAAGTCGAAGAAGATGGACAATACATTCAGATACGCGTTACATGGTGGGGTAAGATTTAGAGCTTGAGTATGCGACGGCACTGGAGGCCAGTATGTAAGCAACGCTGGCACATCGCTGACACCATCTACTGATCAACACAGTAAACTTTGCTCTTGGAGGATTGTGGAAGAGGGCAAGTATGGGGAATTGAACCAAAAGTGAGAAAACCGTGATCTGATTCACTAATTCTTGTATTGTGCACATCGCCATTCTCTCGACACGACGAATGTGCGCCGTGCTGTACTAGTTCAAAACACCCTCGCCATGCATGCCGTCCCTGATGTAACTCGCCGAAGTGTAAGATAAAGAAACGAGAGGATAAAACGCCGGCCAAATGCTCACGGAAGACTAGATGTATACGCGTGCACGCTTTTCACACTCTTCAGCTCAAAAAGGAAGTATATCCCCCTTCACCCACGGTCTCTTAGTACGAGGACTGCCCCTCAGTGGCGATGGAGTTTCGCCAACGACATCGTCAGCAACGTCCATCGGGTCGTTGCCGCGAGAATCTACGTCCATTGGCTCAATAGCATCTTCCCCAGCGTAGTCCAGCCCCATTAGTGACTCTCTCGATCCTAGCTGCGGAGGCGCTAGATTCTGCCTTTGCTTGTCGTCGGCGTTAAGTTTGGCGACCAGTTTTTCATCGACACAATTCTCTGGGTCAACGTATCTTCGCTGTATCGTGCTTAATGGGAACGATGAAATCTCTTCAATCGATGGGGCATGAGATAGCGTTCGTGCTGCACGAGGTGACTTGAAATGCTGCTTTCGGTTTGCAGGCGAGCCACGATGCACACTTCGGGGCGATTGCGTAGCCTTTGGTCGGGATTCTTGCGAATCCACAATTTCGATGGGGCGATCGGAATGGCCTTCTTGTGGAGGTGCAATCGGCGGGCTAGCGAGCTTTCGTTCGACCGAAATCTTCTTCTTCGGTAGCGTCCGCAGCTCGTCATCTTCCCCTGAATCCCTTGCCCTCTTGAGCGGACTAATCGATCGACTGGCTGGCTTTGTCTGACGTTGCACACCATTGGTTTGAGCCACTTCGGGCCCGACTTCATGATCATGAAGGGGCAGATGTGACCCTGGTGAGTGCTTTGGGATTCGGACTTCTGGATGAGTGCGTCTTCCCGGTGTCTGCTGTTGCCCAGTGGTAGTGGTGGCAGTTTTGGCAGGCGATATTGACGAAGAGACATCCTGTTTGCTGAGAGTATCGGACAGATCTGCATTAGACACAGACTTTGATGTGAGCGGTTTGAGCTTGAACGGAGATCCCAGTCGCGGCATAGTAGGTTTGTGGGGAATGTCCTCTAACGATTCCCCTGGAACGGAGTGTGCAGCTGCATCAATTTTCGATGCCTCATCCGGGTTCGTAACTTTCGATACTTCTGGCAGCGCTGGCGAGGCTCCAGTCTTAACAGGCTCCACGGTTGGCTGAGGTGGCGCACGACTCACACCCGCGGCCTTCTTGCCTCTCTTCTTCTTTGGTTCCGTAAGCTCTTGTTCAGTCGCGAGTCCAAACAGAATGTCGCGAAGATTGTTCCTCATCTCCGCGGGCTTCAACTGAGGCCAATCCTCTTCTGCTGTCATCTCTCCGAGTAGCAGCTTCGTCTTGAATTCATCAGGGTCTTGGAAGAACCTCTCCGCGTAGCCCATAAGGTAGACACCACAGTCGCTGAAGTTACTCTGCGTGGGGATCTGGTCGCCCTTTGGGTAGTAGCCGTTCTCGCGAATCACTGCCTCCATGCTGCGTCTTTCCGCGCCCTCTGCTGCGACCCAATCTTTGAGAGCCCGCACTGCTGAGCTTCGAGTTTGACTTAACGAGTCTAGGACAATGATGATTGGCTGATTGGGATCTTTCTTAGGTGCTATCGAGCGGCGCTTGGGCTTCTTCCTTGACGATGTGTTCAGGTTGGACAGCACTGTCTTGGGGCCGTCAGTCTGACTGAGAATAGTCGATGGTTCCTGGACAGTGTCTTGCTGCGCTGGCTCTGGCACATGTGAGACGTGAGTAGATGCTTGCTGTTTCTCTTCTCCGGGCCCAGCTTCGCGGTCGATGAGATCAAGCTCCGACTTTTCGTCAAATAAGTTAACGTTGTTGTCTACTTGCTCAACTGAGGGCGCTCGCGAAGAGAGTGGCAAGTTTGATGTGTCACCCAGCTCTGGCTCTGTAGGTTTCTCGGCTGTCTTTGATAGGGCCTGGTCGTCTACCGCCGTGGCTTCAGCCGCGACATCTTGTGTTGAACTGTCGCCGAAATCTTCCTCGATCGCCTTCCGTTTTATGTTACCGATATTGCAGATGATGGCAAGGTACCAGTGAGTGTCTTCATTGATTGGTACAACGACGTAATCGTAATTGAAGATGTCGATCTTAGAGGTCCATCGTTTGACGGCATTGTAATTTATGGAAGCACGCCCAGTGTTTTCAGTAAGTCTACTGTAGAAGAAGGTATTGAAGAAGAAAACCTTGTCCTGGGGAACATTGTTCTGCTTGAAACAATAGATCATGTAAAAGTCGATCAGATTGTCGTTCAGGAACTCTCCCTCATCCAGGCGAAGCAAATCATGGAAGTCGACAGTCGCTCTGAAACGACCTTCATTGAAGACCAGGGGGTCGCGCCACCGCTTACCGAGGCCAGTGACTTCGGAGTACTTTTCAATACTGTTGCCGTGCTCTTCATCTTCAATATCATGTGTTGGTGCTGATGCGCGGGTTGAACGAGCAGGTCGAATAGACGACTGCGTTGTTCCAGCCGATGCTGCGGATGTAAGAGAAGGGGGATTGCGGTTTTGCAAGATCTCGAAAACAGAACGTTTCTTAGGCTGATTTTCGGTGAACACCTCGCCGTCCGCTACCAGACGTGTGTCATCGACGAGATTTGAAGTTCCAACCTTGTTGTTCTTGTTCAGTTTTTTGCTGAAGAACAATCGCATATGCTTTTCTTCTTTGGGCTCAGGAAGACCGCGGCCTGAGAGAGCAGCAACGTGATTATCGCGGAATTCTTCAAAATCTGCTGTAGAAGAGAATTCCAAATCGACGATGCGCTGATTTCCATCTTGATTTCGTGACCCCTCCAGCCGAATGAGACCGTCTTTGTCTAACCAGACCTTGACCACGTCTTGAGGCGTAATAGATGCGTGTGTTTGGTAGTGGCCACTAACGTCATCATAGGCAACAATACGAAATCCTTTTTGCCCATCTGGCTTGAGGTAAAGCATCAGTTCACTGCCCTCGGACCTCGGGATCTGATGGCTGTCGAAGTCGAGATTCCGTGCCCATATGAGACGCCAGCCTTGCGCGGCCTTTGCAGCTTTGGATATCCGCTTTACGCCGCTGTTCGCCGTCTGTGATGTGCTAGATGCTGAACGCTGCTTTTCGGGCTGCGCTGGTTGAGGTTGTGACGCATCCATCGCCAGCTCGTCGTCGCTGATGGGTTCGCTGTTCACTGTTTTATAGTTCCTCCGGAATGTTCCCAAACTTTTACGGTCGCTATGTGACCGCTGTCCATTCACAGGTCGTTCATGCGTAGCGGTGGATTCGTTGATTCTAGCGTTCGGAAAATGGTGTGAGACGGTCGCTCGCGCTTTGTCTGGCACATTTTGCTCTGCGAGTGCACGGTTTGACACGCCTTGCTCAAAACCATTGAAAGATTGACCCTTCGCCGAGAGTCACGACTGGGTTCTGTTTCGTCATCACGGACAAGAACGGGAGTTCCTTGCGGACCAGGCGTGGCAGAACCAGACTCTGAATGTCCATAGGAGAGCCGCCGTTGCTTTTCCGAAGTTCCATGCTTCTTAGACTTTGAACGACCCGACTGCATCTGCTTTTCGATGAATTGAAACTCGTTCTTAGGTTGAGAACCAGACTGCCTTTCGACCACGGTCCGGTCACTGCCAACACTGTGCCGGGAGCGTGTAGAGTGCGAGGAGCATGGAAGACCATTCTGCGGCCGTGCAGGGGTGATGGGCGCCTGGGAATGTATAGCATCGGGTATGTCGTCGTCAACGTCCGCACTAAGGTCGATGACTTCGTTTCCAGCTATCTTCCTCCGTTTGGATGGCGAGGGTTGAGCGAGACATGTATCTTGTTCGCTGCGGATTGAAGACTTTCGAGAAGCAGTGCCCGGAGACCATTTCTCGAGAAAAGCGAGTTGTCCCTGTCCCTGCGACTTGCCAATAGAAGGCCCTGGCCTGCGGGTCGATTTTCCATAGACCTTTGGCTTGGCTGCTCCAGGTCGATCGTAGAGAGTGTCCATAGGCTTGTGGCTGTGATTAGATGCAGGCTATAGCATATTAGCACCTTATTCTGTTTCTCTCATATTAGGACTTCGAGCGACATACCTTGGTCATTGCTTTCTTTTGAAAGTACGAGCCCGGGTCTGGCGCAGATACAGAGTCAGCAGGTACGCTACCGGTCATGTTAGCCATTTCCCTCCGCGAAGATTGTCTTGTATGAGCGCATTCGTACTGAAAATCGCCGACCAGTCTTTTCTCGTCTTCACTTCTACTGTTCTTGAGAAGACTTGAGCGCGCGGTTTTGGTCTGTGTGTCGCGTCGGCCGGAAGATCTGGAGCCTCTTGTAGGTGAGGTGAGATCTATGGGAGCGGTTGGGGCGGGTCGGGAGGCAGCGGGCGAAGGTGGAGAGAAAGGATTCGATGGGAGGGAGCCATCATTTGTCTGGTGCGGCATAGCGTCAGCTCGTTGGTATAAAGTGGTTGAGTCGATCTTTTTCAGAGGGCGGTCAAAAACGCCGAGAGACATAATCGAATAGAGCGAGCGTACGTCGTTTGCTTGCTCGGTGCTGTCTCCAGCTACGAATCGAGCTATCTGCGAGAAGATAGACATTAAGACCGAGTGGTGCGGGGCGGGCGAGCGATCATGATTCGGAGAGAGAAGCGGCGCTCGGGGGAGTTTTCAAGAGGTTCAAAGCGCGATTACGCGCGGCGGGGTACGCCGTGGTGAAGTTGAGTCGCGCGACTCAAGGTGAAGTCGCGATCATGCATGCACGGACCACCTGCCTCGAACAAGCAGTTACGGGAGCAGGACAAACGAAAGTATGAAAGGGCACAAGAGCATTTCGGATGATGCAGTAGGTGTTACTTCAAAATCCAGTAGCTATTCATTCCAAGCTTCTGCTATTGTGTACATTTGCGCCTGCAACATCGCCGAACAGGACTCGATTCCGTTCGTCCATAGCCCACGTTACGCCAACCAAAACCAACTATACAAAAGGCACTGAAGCAGCTGGATAACCCCGCATGCAAAGCGAAAACCCAGACCACCTGGTGTAAATGCTGTCAACCAAAATGAACGCCGTTACCTCTCGACTGACAATGTCAGACAGCGGGTTATTTCGTTTGGATCGCAGACCAGAAGGTGATCCACCCTGACCGTATCCACTGTACAAGTATCTGCATAGCGTCGGCCGCTGGCTTATGTTCTCGTCCATGACCCTTCGCTGGATCCATTCATGTGATCCACGCCCGAAGCAGACTGCAAATGATCACAAAAATGCAGGCCATATTGTACACGATAGAGCGACTCAAGTTGCAGAAGGAAATTCGTACGATAGAGGGATCCGGTGACAATGGCTTGCTCGAGCTCCTGCCGGAGATGACAGGAAGCGTAAAGCTGAGAAACCCTGGGGAGCGACATCTATGCTTTGCGAATGTACTTTAGCCAACGTTGTGTGGACACAAGGCAAGGCGGGTATCCTGCATGGTGGGATAGGCGCACAACTCCTGCTCGTCGCAGTTGTGTGCAGCCGGTGAAAGTCTAATGAGCGCACAATCGCAGCGCCCCACTTCACATGGCTGAACGTACATAAACGAAGCGGAGACATAGGCAGGGAGCATAATCTATGACCCTCCCAACGCCTTGTCCCGCTGCGACTCGTCTGTCGAGGTTACTCTCCGCTTTTCGTGGCCCTGGTGGTTTTTCTCATGGCGCGCTTGGTCTATTGCTGTTCTCTGCGCGATGCTGTCGTCGTGACTTCGCCAGACGATTTGCGTACCATCCGGCAAGTTTAGAACGCGCTTGACGGTTTCCCTGTTTTAGTTAGCGTCTGAGCAACGCACTGAATGAAAGAACGCACCGAATCTTGATATTGCGTCCGCCGTCGTTCTTGGTCCAGATGCTGAAGACGTCTTCGCCGCTCCGTACACTCAATACGATGCCGCAGACCTCCTCTCCAGCCTCCAAGAACTGGTCACCGACAATAGCCATGAGCAGCCACTCCCAGTAGCGGTCCGCGACTCCCTTCTTGAGGCGCATAATCCACTTTCCTCCTCGTTTGTTCTCTTCGTCCTCCCAGACTGGCCGTATTCCCTGTTTAAATACGTTGTAGTCGCTGACAGTAGGGAGACTAGACGGCCGCTTGAGGTGCGAGAAGACTTTCCAAAACTCTTGCGCTGTGCTAAATTTGAACACAGGTTGTATCGACTTTTCGTAATCGCTGCTCTTGGGTGTAGGAGGGCGGAACCATACTACCCAGGTGCACTTGAGGGGCCAAGGCGCCTTCGGATCAAGCTCTCCGGACGAGCTCATTGTGTCTTCGGGTATCGATGTGGATATTGACTCCTTTCGTGCGCTGTTGAAAATCTTCCCAGGCGGCCTTTCCTTCTTGTCCGCGGGTGTTGTTGGTCTGGAGGTAGAAGTGGTGCTTGCGGCGGTCGTCTTGAAATCAAAGGCCGTGCCTGGGGTCTTTGGTGTCTTGGCCGCAGAGCCAAAGGATGCAAACGCACCAGACCCAAGGCCAAACGCCGAGGAGCCTCCGGTTGTTGGAGAGGCAAGACCGCCGGGCGTCAGTGGGGAGACACCGTTGAAAGGATTCCTGCCACCATGCGACGAGTCGCCACCAAATCGCTTCCCTGTAGAGAAGGTGCGCTGGGGATGGTCGGTTTTCTCGTTCTGTTGTTCGGAATGCGACATAGACAGAGAGAGCTTGCTAGTGCTAGAGCTCTGTTAGCTTTCGCAACCTGCATGTGGGGGACCGGCAGCATACTTGGAGCGACGAGTCCAGAGATTTTCCCTGTTGTCCATGGAGATAAGCTACAGTATGCAACAGCAAGAAGAGACAAGTTACACTGCTTTTGGCTTGGTGGTGTGAACGAGTGAACAAGCAGCAGAGGATCAAGTCAGATGGGCCGATGTATGTCGATGTGCGGGGTGTGCGGTGTCCAGTATATCGCGGGATAGGTACAATTGCGGTTCAAAATGGTAGTGCAGTCGCAGGGAGTAGTGGCGTGTTGCGGGACGGGCGGCGGAGGAGTGGATAGGCGGGGTGTTGTGGTTTGCGAAGCTGTATGGTGGTGCGTGTAGAGAAAACGTTTGAGATGGTGCACCTGCCCGAGTGGCTTCGCCCAAGCGCGCGTCTTGCGCGGCAAAAGGTCTTGGCGCCTCGGACTGCATTTTTCTCGCGTGCTCCGCCCTCCGACCTTTTCTCCTTCAACATCGGCCTCCTCGTTCAACAATCGCCAGCTCGAACATCTCTACTCAGCTGGCGACTCCGAAGCTGGCCCAGAAGGAGCCAACCCTCTTCTAAAACCATCGTCACGAGGGCCGCCTTTGCGGCTTCCATGAAGCGATGATGACCAAATAGCAGGGACATTCTTTGTCACGCGCACGACGCGTTGAGTGCGCATAACTCGCGTTTCTTTGTATGTACACGTACCTGGATTTACGGCGTCGTGCTTGTCGGGATGACGGTCCAATGGACCACTTCTGGTAAACTGAGTCTCAGCCAGAGCTAAAGTATTGCATTCGTGCGATTTCTTGGTTGAGTTTGAAGCTACAAGGCATTGTCTGAACACTTGCTGAGCCTCATATGTCCTGCATTCTCTGCTTCGAGCATTGCTAATCATTGCAAAGTTGTGCGCCATGATGGTGTTTTTGCGGCTCTAGTATAGTGTCATTGCTAGCCTGATGGCAGTCCTCCGGCGAACAATGCCGCACGCGGTGGAGACATGATGGTAGACGAATCTATATATACACGTGCCAGGCCTCGGGACTGCAATATGACTCTCCTGTCGCCCGAAAAGACTTCGATGCCCAAGCTAGGATGTTAGATAGAGCACTACGAATAGACTACGCGTACAAGTTCAGATACACTTGCAGCTTGGCTAACGTGACCGCTGTGAAACTTGCGGGATATACCTAGGTATGGCTGTTTGTCGGTGAAGCATACTACATGTTCCAGTGTTATCAACTACACGGAATGCAACCTGGGTGCTACAGTTGGCTTCATGCTCGACCCGAAGCTACCTAGGTATGCGCAGTGTCTTGCCGTCGCATGAGAAGCCCATCGGTTATGTGTACTTCAGACTGTCAGTTCCTCAGCAATACCTGTTGAATTTCCTCCAGGATTGACAACCTGCCATACTGGGTTCATTGGCTATGGATACCGGACTTCACATGACAGCCATGGATATCGCGGTTGTGTCAAACATAGCGTTTGCTGGGATCGCATATCCTAGAACGCTCGATCTGGAGGCAATCGCGGCAAGCAACAGCAAACATAGCCTGCGGGGAAAAGGTGGCTGAATAATGACATGCATGCGTCGGCTGTGAGGTACTGCACATGTGCGTCATCGCGCTCTCACTGCCCAGCCAACGAGACCCCACCACCACATGGTACTTTCCTTCTAAGCCGACTTGCAACCGACGAGTACCCTCTTTTCGACACTTCATAAACACGACTGTCCCCTCACTCTGGTAGATACTTCCGACAGCGCATCTCAGACATTACAGCGTGTCACCCCACATTCCCGCTTCACGTGCAACAAACACAAACCTGTCTGCACTGGCGATACAACATCCGCCCTATCAAACCACCCACCACCGGAACAATGACGGGAGACTCGCCTCAGATGCATTCGCCAAGCTCGCATCCTGAGCGGCCCAAGGGTATACACTTGCCGTGCAAACCCGTCCGTAGGAAACATGGCTAACAAAGCATCTAGGCATCCTCAAAAACTCAAACTCATATCGCTCGAACTCGCAAACCTCCCCTACCAGCGAAGTCGCGCCGCCCCTCAGTCCGCCAAGCGAGAGGCCAGCGCTGGGTCGCGAGCTTTCGGAGAAGGAAATTGTCCTCGAGAACACGCTGCGCAATGCAGGTGCTCATCGTCGCTCGTCCTCGAACCCTCGCGGCCCACCATCAAGGCGCCAATCAGGCGCAAGCCCCCACCTGGACGAGAACAACCCACAGTTGAAGTGGGACGAGGTCAACTTGTATCACAACGAGCAGAATCGCGACAGCACGATGAAGATCGACGAGCCCAAGACCCCATACGTAAAGCAGTACGACCCCACCGAAGATGAAGAGGAGGTTGAGATGCTGGACGCGGAACAGATCAAGGTCGATGAGCTCGACTCCAAGCTCAAGCGAAAGCCCAAGATCGACGAGATCCCAGACTTCGACCTTGGTGAGCCGGAGCTGCGCGCACGAGGCGAGTCGCAAACACCAGATAGCGAGAAGCGTGTCATGGTCGATGAAGATGCCGTTGGAGATGACGGATACCACGGTGAGCTCTTGCCAAACGCTACAGAAGAGGAGCGCGAGAAGCATCGCAAGTTTGAAGAGATGCGCAAGAAGCATTACGAGATGCGGAATGTACGGGATATACTTGGGTAAGTGAACATGATGCAGCCTCGCCTTCATATTACTGACGATAGTTGCAGACACCCAGAGGACGAGGAGGACGAGGATGAAGCTTCGAAAGTTCCTCGCGTGCCCAATGGTCAATAGTGGTGGGGTGTGCCAGGCTGCTAGGCTTCCCAACAGCTTTGCGCTACCTTGAGCCTCTTTCACGATTACGACGGACATGATTTTGTACTGCATACTACCCTTTCTTTTTGCGGCATCACGACGGAGTTCTTGATGTCACTGTACTGGAACACATGGGTTCGGAAGTTAACAAACGTACCGATCACGCGTGAATACGGAGACACGACATTAGATAGAATCAGATGTGTACTGCAAGTCCTTATGTACATAACTGCGTTCCATACTGCGGTGTGATGCGCAATGCTTTTGTCGCATTCGTCGTTCGGTGGACCCTGAGTACAACACGGATGTGGTACACTAACGCCTGTCATACCGAGAAGCAGTTATGTGCTTTTCCGAGAGCATCTAGCAGTAAACTAGGCTATGAAATTGATTCGCTGTGTGAAGATTGACCTTGAGAAATCCCCGATCTCCGTTAGGTGATATTTGTCGAAAGTATGGGGGTGGACACTTGCCTATTGCAGATAGCTCCGTGTGCACCGCGGCTCGTGATACAGCCACAGCCATGCAACATCACGGCGTCCAGCCTCATTCCACACTCACCTCCAACACCATACACTCTCCTCCTTCGTCCTTCATCCTTCACCCCCCAAGCTGCATCGAGGCCAACATGACTCGCAACCCTCCAACCCTCCGCAAGACGGCCTCAAATGCCGACCTCTACTCCGATCCATCTCCGCCGCGGCCGCTGCGCCACGCGTACTCTACCCTCTCCCGCTCGCATACCACCGCATCGCTCTCCCACCGTCCCAAGGCAGAGAAGACGGCAGAAAGAGTGGTGAACCGAGCAGCTCTTGCCGATTTCAGGCAGAGGCACAGCATAGCCGGGCCATCGTACAACCTTATCGACATCGAGGAGGACTTCCAGCCGCTGTCGAGGCAGCATCAGAACCCGCCACCCGTGCCACCCAAGATTCCCGAGGTACCTGAGCAGCAAGATGGGCTTAAGGCGGCACGTCCTGCCGCTTCGCACCCATGGCACCCGGGTCCAACAAGGTCAAAAGACGATGCGGCCAAGTACACGAAGCCTTTCACCGACTGGATGACTGCCAACCCGACCATCTTCCACGCTGTAGATGCTGTGGCGCAGCAGTTGGAGAAGGAGGGTTACAAGAAGCTCTCTGAGCGAGATGAGTGGGATCTCAAGGCTGGCGGCAAGTACTACGTCGCTCGCAATGGAACCTCGCTCATTGCGTTTGCTGTTGGCGGTGGATATACGGTTGGAAATGGTGCTGCCATCATCGCGGGACACATCGATGCCCTGACCGCGAAACTCAAGCCTATTCCCAAGTTGCGCAACAAGGCTGGCTACGTTCAGCTCGGCGTTGCCCCCTACGCTGGTGCGCTGAGCGACACGTGGTGGGACCGTGACCTCGGCATCGGTGGACGTGTACTCGTGAAGGAGAACGGAAAGATCGTGACCAAGCTGGTCAAGCTGGGCTGGCCCATTGCGAAGATCCCTACACTTGCACCGCATTTTGGAGCTGCTGCCGTTGGCCCCTTCAACAAGGAGACCAACATGGTTCCCATTATTGGCATCGACAACTCCGACCTTTCTGCTACATCAAGTACCGATGAGGAGTGGAAAGCTGGCATGTTGGGTGGGGAAGGCACATTTGCTGCTACTCAGCCTCCAAGGCTGATGAAGGTCATCGCACGCGAGCTCGGCATCACAGACTGTATGTCGCATACCTCAGGCTTCCATTGGCTATAACTAACATCTTCCAGACTCCTCCATTGTGAACTGGGAGCTCGAACTCTTTGACACCCAACCCGCCTGCACTGGCGGCCTCGACCACGAATTCATCTTCGCTGGCCGTATCGATGACAAACTCTGCTCGTGGGCTGCCGTTCAAGCGCTCATCAACTCCGCTTCCTCCGTATCCGACTCTTCGCAGATCCGCATGATCGCCCTCTTCGACGACGAGGAAGTCGGTTCTCTCCTCCGCCAAGGCGCTCGCGGCAACTTCCTGCCCAGCGTCATGGAGCGCATCGTCGAGGAATTCGACGGCAAGAAGAGCGCCCTAGGCCGCACATATGCGAACTCCTTCCTCGTCTCCAGCGACGTCATCCACGCCGTCAACCCCAACTTCCTCAACGCATATCTGGAAAACCACTCACCGCGCCTCAACGTCGGCCCCGCCATCAGCGCCGACAGCAACGCCCACATGACTACCGACGCCGTCTCCACGGCTATCTTGCAGCGATGCGTGGACAGCGATGTCGGTGCCCGTACACAGGACCCTAAACTCCAGGTCTTCCAGATCCGCAATGATAGCAGGAGTGGTGGCACTGTTGGGCCCATGCTCTCTGCTGCAACGGGTATTCGCGCGATTGACTGCGGTATCCCACAGTTGAGCATGCACAGCATCCGCGCTACGACGGGCAGTCTCGATCCGGGGCTGGGCGTGTTTGCGTTCCAGAGCTTCTTGGAGAGGTTTGAGGGCGTGGACAAGGAGTTCAAGGACTAGATGTATACAAGAATACAAGATCCCAACTTTGCATATTTTGCATTGACATTGCCTAGTTGATGACAATCAAGCCAAACTGGAAAATAGCGTGAGACTTATGATTCACTCGCATTGTGTTTGTCGTGTCTTCTCAAAATGTTTGCCAGCTCTTTCTTCGTTTCTTCCATTCTCTCACCTCTTCCTTGAAACTCCTCGCTTTCCCTCTCTCCTTTCCTTCTCATCTATCACATCTCTTCACTCATACCATGTCTGCAATGTCAAGTCCAAACACTTTGCGCCCCATCGATCGGCCGGAAAGCAGAGCACAAGAGTTACCGGGGATTCGATCAGTTTTACCGGGTCCGTGGGCGAGGAAACGGGATGAGAGAGATAGTGGGAAGGGTATCGGAATGCGGAGTGCACCGCCGTTGTATGGGAAGAGGAAGTGGTGGTGAATCTGAGAGGTGAGAGAGGGAGGCAGACGGAGTGAATTGACGGATTAGGGGTGCCTTGTAGACGTCACGGCGCTGTACACATACGTCCACAGCGCTATTAGCAGACATATAAAAAGCGGTACTGTTGGGCCTGGCTGTTGCGCGCCAACTTCAATCACAGCTACGCCCATCTGGATTCTGCATGCTACTCCAGCAATTCTGAAGTGTGCAGCAGTCGAGGCTAGAAGATCGGGGTCATGTGTGGGGAAACGGGATACAGAAGACCATCTATGCTGAACATACAATGCGAAAAAGCAGATACACGAACCAATGCACAATGAACGGAGTAATTCCGTTGACTTTCTTCGCATGTCTGCGTTTCTTTCACTACTTACTCAAGACATCTACTCCTTCTATCAGCTAAGTTACTGTCGTTGATCTGCCGGCCCCTTGTTGTAGTCTCCCCAGTGCTCTCCAATTTCTTCGTCCTACCCACCAACTGCTGGTTTCGCATTGAAATCTCTCCATACCCGGCCCTTGGGGCCTTCTTGTCGGCGTTGGACCGTTTGAATGCCCGGGAGATTGCGGTCTTGGGGACGGCTGTAACGAGGTATTAGCAAGGTGTTTCGCTGGGACATGCTAATGATTCGGATGGTATATTTGTGCTTGATCGGATTTTGTGTGGTTGGGTTATAGAGTTGGTATGCTGCGGTTGGATTCCTGGCCGAAGAAATGTAGTTGTGGTTGCTATGGTGGCCGAAAGGTGGAGAGGTTCGAGAGGTTTAAGTACCGTATGAACATTCCATGCTGTGGGTACGTGAAGAAGATGAGGTAAACTTACACAAACGAGCCGATAGGACAATACGGGACTGAAGGGCTGCTTTAGTGCACGTAATGAATGATCCAAAGCATCGCATGTATTAATAAACATATGAATGTCCACTCTGGTCAGATACCTTTGAAGCGCTCGTGAATCTGGTCTACTAATCACTGAAGTGGAGTTTGTCAGACAGCGGACACCAAACAAGGCATCTATTCTTGCGTTAAAGTTTTCATCGTAGCCCAAATGAGGTTATAGTACGAGTGTATAAATGGTACAGCTGCTAAAACAAAAAGTATACTGTGAAGCAAAAGGAAGTGTGACCAAAAGAAGTGCCGACAGATAGCTTCAATCCTTGTAGTATGTCAATCGAAGCGCAATATTCTCCACGCTCACTACCTTCCCATTACCGTCCATGTTGAAGATGAATTCATCGAGGGGAAGGCTGCCATAAGTGATGCCTGTAACACCGACCCAGGCACCACAGTCAGTGGACCACAATTGCTGACCAGCTGCAGGACCTCCAGTATCCTCGAAAATGGCTTTCCATGCTTGTCTGGTACCATTAGATGTCTTTGTGTCCAGCTGTGTATAATACAAACGCGCATCAGGTTTAAGTGGAGCGTATTCAGAGCCTGATTGTAGTTTGATCGCGAGATCAACCATGTTTGTGCCGTTGCTCGTCCATGGGCCAACACCTAGGCCAGGTTTGTTTGGGTCGGTGCTGATGGTCAGAGACGAATTACCAAATGTGCCATTGGAAGGTGTCGATCGAGCCACGTAGGTGCCGCTGTATTTCTTGTCTGCTTCGTCGCGCGCGACAGCGTCGTAGGCTGGGATGAGTGCGGCGCCGAGAAGGTCAGCGCCAAAGAAGTTACTGATCGCGGGCGTGCCAGCCATCATGATGGTGAAGCCAAGATTAAAGTCTCGAAGCAGAGTGATAAAAGCTGTGTACTTGCGGAATGTCCCGGCTTTGGTCAAGACACTGAGTGTGCGATGGGGCTGCGTCTCCTTGGCGAGTTGTATGCGACGAATGCCCCATGGGGAACCGACAGAGGCAAGAAAGTCGGCGGAAAAGGTCACTGGGTTAAGCCAGCGACGAGTAAGGGAAGGTTTGATGAGCTTGGACGACAAGATCCCTCGACCCAGTGTTGATAGGTCGTTCGCTGAGGAGTACATGTTACCACCGCTATGAAAGGTCAGAAACTGGGTAGACAATGGAAATTCGATGAAAATTTTGAGTACTTACGGGCTCGCATCACCTAGGCTTGCAGCCCAGTATGTGTCTTTCACTGTGCCTGGTATTACTCCAACGCTTTCAGGCGGCGTCTCATAGTACGTTCGGTTCAATCCAAGCGGAGTGATTATACGATCAGTCAGTACATTAACAAACTTTTTGCCGGTCATATTCTCTAGTGCGTAACCCAAGAGTTGGTACGCGACATTGGAGTATGTTGCCGTTTGCCACGGTGGATATGAAGGGTACATGATCTGAAGACCCGTGAAGAACTCTGAGTTCCATTAGAAAAGAAGCGAAGATCAAGTGAAGATGCTTACGTTCTCGAGTACAAATTGGCCAGGTGCCACATTGCGGCTTTGTCGCGTTCGACAAAGGAGGAAACCCATACTGCCAATGCGCAGGTATGTCGTCTGTTTGTGTGATTTCTCCCAAGACTCCATCTGCAACGAGTAGTTAGTTACCAATATGAAAGAGTGATTGAATGGCCCACAATCGCGTCCCAAGCCGGAAACTTGACTAGCTAACGCTCCGATGGTTATGTCATCCCAATCGGTCTCGCGCACGTCGTCAAAGCCGTCTGCCTTAGGTCTCCCAGCGAATTTGCCCAACTCGGGGATGTACTTGGTGATGGGTTGGTTCCACTCGACATCGCCCCTCTCAGCAAGGAAGGCCAGCACAGTAAACACTTTCGATACACTACCTAGTCGGTATACTGTATCACCATCCACCTTTTTTACACCTGTAGTGTTGGTGGGTAGGTCTTTTGCAGTTCTATGTCGCTCCCATAAAATCGATGCTCCGGGATTGGTTGAGAAAATCTGGACGGAGTATGAGAACCTATCTACGCCAGTGATATTGCTGGTATCAATGTAATCAAAAACTGCTGTTACGTTGTCCACTGCTTTCTTCCATATCGGATGTTCGGCCAGTCGCTGCGGAGCAGGAAATTCAGGTCCGATAAGAGGGCAGTTGGGCGCGGCGGAGCTGATCGGCAGTTGTGTGAGAAGCGCCAGAAGAGTCCATGCTGATACCTTCATGACGAATGTACCGTACCGGTTGCCAGGGAGTAGGAACTGGAGGATTGACTGCAAAACATACTGCCAAAGAGATCTTGATATATGCAGATCACTTGCTGCCGCCGATCCTACGAAGAGAACACTTTTACCAGGTACGAGCTCTATTTCCTGCCATGATATGAGCGGCTCAACTGGCCCGGTAGAAATGGAGTCTAGACCAGAGTGTTCGATTGATGTCAAGTCTGTTCATATCCAGTGCAAGGGGGTTGAAGAGCTGTGTGATGCTCATGTACTTCGCCCTCAATTAGGATAAGCGCAGTATCGGTCGCATAGTCGCGAGTTCGATCGGAGGTACTTATCGGCATGTCTAGAACACTATCGCCACCGAGTCGGATATCTGAAGCGGAGTTTGAGATGAAAGCACTACCTGAAGCATGCAGGGGCGGATAACGGATAAATACCCCGTAGCGGTTGATCCGCCCTCATGGAGTTGCAAGGATGTCCCACAATGTGTCTGCATATGCATGCATACAATTTGGATGCACGTGAATCCGAGAGGTTATTGTTCTTGATGGTTGGGAGCCGAAGAGAAGACTTCGAAAGCCGGGCTTGGAGTCCGATTTCAGTGTCGGGATGTGGAGGAGGGGCACTAGACTGGATCAGTCGCACGCGACAGGGACGCGTTGTTCTCCCGAGTCTTGTTTGAAGTGATGCGACGTTAAGATCAATCCTGGCCTGAGGGAATTTATCGTGGTGAATAGTCAAAAAGAGTGAAGAGAGGTAGCAAACAGTCTGAAATTGATCCAATGACATTCTAATTGATGACATCATACTCCTAACGCTTGAGCCTCGCACATGTGCCAGTATATGCCTTTCTTCGCTAACAGACTTTTGTGACTACCAGTCTCAAAGATGCTGCCCTCGTGCATGACAAAAATGATGTCCGCGTTTTGCACGGTCGACAGCCGATGCGCTACCACGATCATTGTTCTTGCCTTCCCGGTCTCCTCGAACACTTTCTGAACTTCCTTCTCTGTCTCCGAGTCTAGACTGCTTGTTGCTTCGTCCAAAAGTAGCACAGAAGGGTTACGAATGAGTGCTCTGGCGATCGAAAGGCGTTGCCGCTGTCCTCCAGAAAGTGATACCCCAGATCGGCCAACATCTGTCTCATAACCCTCTGGCAAGGATGAGATGAAGTCATGGATCCCAGCGTCTTTGCAAGCCTTGTGCAATGCTTCATCGTTTACCTCGCTGTCGTCAGAAACCCCTAGCAATACGTTTTCTCGAATCGTCCCGCGGAATATGGACGCCTCCTGTGCTACTAAGCTCATTCTTTTTCGCATCATATGCATCGGGATCGACGCTATATCCTGATCATTATAAAGAATCAGACCTCCTTGTGGGTCGTAAAATCGCTCCAATAAGGAGATGATAGACGTCTTTCCAGCCCCGGAGCTCCCTACTATAGCAGCAAATTGGCCAGCTTTGACTTTCATCGAGACATTGCGTAGTACAGGTACGTCACGGGTCGGATACCTAAACCGTACGTTTCGAAACTCAATAGCTGCGCCTTTTCCAGGCACACGAGAAAACGGAATGGGTCGTTCAGGGCATATAAGCCCTCCACAGGTCGCGTCTTTCTCTTCCATATTAGTTGGCCGCATCGCTCGAATGCGACTAGCGGCTGCGGATACTTGCGCGAAATCTTGCAAAAGTCAGTTTCCATGTCTAGAACAGCTTGCGTGGTTTTACTTGGGCCAAAGCTTAGCCACTGTCCCGCGGCCAAGCTGCCTTGTATGATGGCAAGGTATACTACGAGAAAGCTGAACGATTGGAGCTCTCCGGTCGCCAAGAGCGTGCCACCATACCTAACGCAGCCTGTCAGTCAAGCTACAAATCGAGAATATTTCCATAATCTCACCAGAGCGAGAAAGCCATACACAGCAACACCAGGCTATCACTCAGCGCAAAGGCTGCACATGATATCCTCGACTCATTCCAAGACTTGGCGACATGGTCCTTGAGCATAGTCTCGTACTTGTGACAGACAGTGCTCTCAATCGTTAAGCTAGCTACTGTTCGGATTGCCCCAATGGCCTCCGTGGCATATCGCGCACTTTCAGCGAATACCGTGTTGTTGCGCGCTTCGAAACGAATTTCATGCCGCACACGATACCAACCACCAGCAAGGATGATTGGTAATGAGGATGCAATGACAACGAGTCCAAACTTCCAATGGAACGTGACAGCAATCGCAATACATCCAATAAGGTTAAAGATTGAAATCATCACCATGGCCATGTTCAGACCAAGCAGCTGTTGTAATTGCGTCGGGTCAGTAGCTATACGAGCTGTGAGTAGGCCGGATGAGTGATCAGGGTCGTCGAAGAACCCCACTCGCTTGGAAATGATGTTTCTGAAATATTCCCGGCGATAATGTGAGACGGTATGCTGCTATTCTTAGTACACATACATACTAGAGGAGTTGTCGAGACTTACAGCAGATGCAGTGTTCGATACCCAACCGAGCACGAGATAGCTCAGCCCAACTCCTATCGCAACAACCACTAGCATGAGACACAAGAGTGATGTTGCAGCAACAAGAGCTTCACCCCAGTAAGAAAAGCCGGAGATCAGTCGTGCGAACAGGTAGGCCTGTATGGGAGATGATGCTGTTGTGGAGGTCAGCGAAATTATGATGGCAATCCTGTGTCACTTACAGCCAGCGCCTGCGGCAGCAACAAGAATCAAGACATAGCTGGACCAGTTTTGTTTCTGCTCAAGTAGTAGCATTGCAAAACTTGTCATGATCCCTTTCGCGGGTTTGACAGCAGGTTCAGTACTTTGCACTACATCTACCTTGGCATCCGTTTCCTTAAGTGGTAAGCTCACAAGCTGCCCAGAAGATTGCCGCTCAATCTGAGTGTCAAGGCACTCTTTCTCTTGTATAGCGCTACTCGTGTCGTCCCCATCATTCGTCGAGATACTGTCATCCCTAGGCTTTCCGCTGGTCGTCGCAAGCTTTTGGGCGTTCACCAGCTTCCAATACGCACCGCCGACCTCTTCTAACAAGCTATCATGCGTTCCTACTTGGGTTGCCTGACCTTTTGCAACAACTACGATCTGATCTGCCAGTTTGATGGTCGACAGCCGATGTGCGACAACGATCGTCGTGCGGCCGTGTGATGCTTTGGCTAGAGCTGCTTGTACGATACGCTCGCTTGTGACGTCCAGTGCACTTGTGGCCTCATCAAAGATGAGAATACTTGGATTACGCACGATAGCCCTTGCAATCGCAATTCTCTGACGTTGGCCGCCACTGAGTTGGAGACCAACTTCGCCCACGGATGTCGAATAGCCCTAATCGAGTCATTATAGAAACAGTGCCTTTCAGTGAAAAGGCGTACTTACCTCGGGTAGATTGTGAATAAACTCTTCTGCGTAAGCATCCTTGCAGGCGCGTTCAATGAGCGCTCTTTTGATCTCATCGGTAGCGAATTCATGCTCGGTACCAACAAGTCCGTACTCGACGTTCTTGAAGATGGTGTCGTTGAAGAGGAAGGGGTCCTGTTGGACCAACCCTAGTTGTGCTCTCCACCAATGGAGATCAATTCTGCTGAGACTAATGTCTCCAATCTTGACTTCTCCTCTGCGCAGATAGTTACTGATAGGATCAATTCCACCAAGCTCATACCATCTCGAGATGAGTGCAACTATAGTGCCTAAGCGCAAGATACGTCAGCTTCGAAAGAATCCTATCAACTGCAATTTGGTTGCTCACTTTTACCCGAACCACTTGGTCCCACGATAGCTGTGGTCTTCCCAGCTGGAATTCGCACATTGAAGCCCTGCAGAACACGCACATCGTGACGCGTTGGGTATGCAAAATCGATATCGGTAAGAGTGAGATCCTCATCCAACGATATTGCGGTGCCAATCAATCCAGAGGTTACCGGCTTCGGCGCATCGATAATTTTGAAAAAGATAGAGGCGGCATTTAATGCATTCGAAGCTGCGTTTAAAGGTACAGAGATGGCGCTGAAGTGTGCTATCATGGTCATAATTGACATTAAAACACTCAAGAGGTGAGTCAACTGAAGCGAATAGAGATCGATATACGACTTACACTACTAGAGCTTCTACACTGGCGAACTCAAGGTTGATATAGAGCTTCACCGCATACCAAAAGCATAATGCGAAAGTACTGGGCGGGTCAGAAAGGCAAGATGCTTTGAAATTCGACTTACGCAAATATGACGAAGAATACTAACGAATTGTGAGCTTAGACACCGGAGATAATCTTTTGTGAACTGACCTGGTGAATGCTGCACAGCTAGTAAAGGCGAGGAACCCTTACTCATGACGCTAACTTGGTCAATCAGTTTATCGCATTTCGATGACATCTTCTTCTCGGCCCCACAGGCTGCGACCATTCGAATCCCCATGAGTGTTTCTGCTGCGACGCCAGATGCCTCTCTTTCGACCTCTTGAATAGCAGCATATCGCTTGACTACTAACGGTGTCGTGATTGAGTACCAAACGATAATTATCACAAGCCCGCTTGCAGTTACCAGTGTCAATTCCCAGCTGTAGATGCATCCAATGAGCAAGGCTACAGCAATCACGGCTATAGCCTGGATGAGGGAGGAAAGTCTTTCGGAAATTCCTAATTGTAGTATGTTCGCAGTGATGGTGATAATGGCCGAGGTTTGTCCTGGCGGTAGTGAATCCAATGTCGAGATGGGTTGCTGAAACAGGCATTCGAGGTAGTGAAGACGTATCGCAGCTGACGTACGAAGGCTTGTAACGCGGAAACCGAACTAGGATTTGATGAGCTTTGAACGCCAAAAAATCATGGGAATGATGCAAAAACGTACAATAGCAAGATATGCAAGGAAGTAGCGTCCAATGAAGAGATAAAGTATGTATAGACTATTCGCCATGAGTATGTATTGGCACTAACAGCCACAGGTAACACCTACACGTATTCGTCAATCACGGACATGAACGGCGCAGGTGTCTCGTATGGTGACACGCTGGCTCTGATGTTGAAAGTTTTGACCAATCGCGCTGAGCACTGATCAGTGACACAGTTTTCTTGTAAGAGATGCCATGGGGAGAATGCATACCAAAGATAATGTTCATGAGCGGTAGGGTAGAGCCAGCGCATACGGACGCGACAGTTGAAGCAATTAATAGCACACGATCCGCGGGTGTTGAATAGGAAAGTACTCGCTAGGAAAAGATCAGTTTTCATGCCATATTTCCCAACCAGAACTCACGATGAACAATTTCCAACTGACGATGGCCGAGAGTGTCCATTTTCTTATGCCTGCGGACCAAGCTGTAAGAACTGCCATCAGAGCCATAATTCTAGCTCCTGTGTGGACGACGTGAAATCTTTGGGTGAGCTGAGCGTAATTCAAGAATCATGAGAAATCTGATTAACAGACGGCAAAACAAGCATACCGTACTGCCCTGCCGAAGCTGCCTGGAAGGGCAACAGTGCATATGCGGAATTTGCCGAATGACAGGGGTTTCGCGATGGTTATAGTGCTTCATCTAGCGAGTAATAATGGCAGATTAGGATGTAGCACCTGCATAAAAGTATCCATGCCACTCCTAACCTTTCAAGTGGAATGCGCAAGCCCCGGGTTTACGATAAGCAATGCAAAAACCTTGTGGAACATCGTGCTTCCGACATACTGTGCTTTATTGGCTTTGAGCAATGGTATTGATATAATCGCGAGCGCTCTACGCAAGTCAAAGGTAGGACAATAGTACAAGAGTGGTGGGCATAAGACTGGGGTTAATGGTCCAACGTGATTAAAGCTCACTACAGCCAGTAGGCTGTCGAATTACAACGATTACTCGTTAAGGAGCAATGTAAGCACAGGATTCGCCTGTGAGCAAAGTTTTCCATTAATCCGACATACGCCTTAACCGGAGTGGTCTTGACCTTGTTGATATATAGAATGCGCCAGATCCACGAACAAGAACAGTATGCGCTTGCCTTCAAGTAAAAGTCGATGGCATAAGACGACTAATACTTTATGAAGTGCGAGCCTCCAATTGCCTTGGTTTTGATGATGCAAAACCCACATGTAGGATAATTAATAAGGAGAAAAGCCGCCATTTACTTCGACAACCATACGCCGAACAGTATCGCCAAGCTCTTTGACCATATGCTTGTCACGGGGCAGTGTGTGGCCCTTTGCGTGATCAAAGATGAAGGCAGTATCCGGGTCACAAATGTTGTACAAAGCAATGTTTCCATGAAGATATGGATCCAGAGAACCAACTAGATGACGATGAGTACCGCATGATTTTGACAGATAGAGGCAACTCACCGATGTGGACTGTAGGCACGTCGATCATCAAATCACTCTCATCGGCAAGAACAATACCGTCCAGTGTTGGTCGCATCGGGGGCCAGCCACCAAAGAAGAGTGCGCATTTGAGAACGGGAATGCGTCCCTCATTCTTGTCCCTCATCTGCTCGTGTAGTAGCAAGGTACCGGCAATCGTGGCACCTTCCGAGTATCCAATGATACCATCAAACGGCCCTTCCTTTTCCATGACTTCATAGAGGTAAAGAAGTGTCTGCCGAGCACTGTCATCTGTCTTTGCGATGCCGTAGGTCATGAGCTCTCGCATTGTCATCTCTGGAGTCTCGAGTTGTGGAAAATCGCGGATGCGCTCTAAGACGTCTACTGTCTCACTGTCTGCATCACTTGGGACGATGAATCGATAGTATGGCGGTCCGCCGAAGAACTCTTCATAACCAGATGGCGGTGTCACTTCGTACGGACCTTGCAGGAAGAAGAAGCTGGCGGTGCCATCGGACTCGAGTTCTTTTACCAACGGCGCAAGTTGAACCTTAAATTTCTATCTGTATCAGTAGGATGCGACGATCAGCGGGTCACATCGACTTACTTCTACGCTGCCGTATGCTCCTGGCAGGCATAAAAAACGCATTTCGAATCGTCCAAGATTTCAACAGGAGGTGAGGGATTGTCCAATCTGTCGCAGATGTCTAAACAAGATGGAAGTGTTCGCGCAAGTGAGTGGTAGTCCACATGCCAAGGTAGCTAGGTGCCATGCTTTCGTACCGCGATCAAATGATAGATGAGACATCCTAGCTGGGTGCCATAATGTTGCTTCCAACGTATTCATTCCGATACAACAGAAAGCTTGTGCCTAAGCGTAAAATACACGGACATTCCTGCACTGACTTTATTCTGTGACAGGATAGATAGCGAAAAACATTCGAGCCACAGGGATTGGATCAAAGGACAAGGTCGTGGGCAAGCAAGTATGGAGTAGACCGACGAGTAGGACTTCCAAACTGTATGCGAGTGGATAGAGAATAGATGGATTATGCACGCGTGGCAATAAACAAGGAACGGGTAAACATCAGGGACCGGGGTAGCGGAGAATTGGACCACTACCGAACACGCCTACCGTCTAGCGTGTGATCTGCACTAAGCTTTATTTAGCCAAGCCTTCCAAGGTTGTTCCGAAGCCATCCCAACCTCAATCTTCACTCATCTCGACATCAGCTCTGCATCCAGTCGCGCGAGCGTATCATCTGTGCGAACCATCCCTCCCGTCATGTTCCCCCTCGGAATGTGGAGATATTTCGGTAGCCTTAGCCGGGTTCCTGACTTCAACCCCTGAAGCACGATGATTGCCACGATTGTGACCCGATGCCACATGCCGCGAATGTGAGGGCAATTGCGAGTTCAACTTGAATTCTTCATGGGTCCAATATGAAGAAGAATTTTGGTCGTCATGCCAGGCGTATCACAGAATGGGGGTGGAGTCGAATGATCAGGGTGGCAGCTCACTCTGCAGAGATCGCCGAGCAAAGACTTCTACTGGACGTTACTGGTATCACAATTGCCCAATGCCAGTAAAGAGCTATGTGTTCGACAATAAGGGCAATACCACGGACTTCTCTAGAGTTGTACCGTTTCGTAGTTGGAGTTCGTGAGACACTGACAGTTAGCTGTACTCGGTCGTCTGCATCTTCCATTGGCGGCGAGATTTTCACATCTCGGAATGTTTTCTTTTCTTCGGGGCGGGCCACTGTGAATCTAGAACGACGTTGCCAGCGAAGTTCTTCGCCAACTTCCCTCGATCCGAAGTATACAGGATGCTACCGAGATTTGCAAATGAAATCGTGATCGTTTCTGAGATCGGATTCCGGCCCGCTATCTCACCAAACCAGTTTGGAAGCCACGGAAGATGTGATAATGGGCGTCGCATGAATGCAACCAATATGACCGTCACATCATTCTACCCTCAAACACACGCTATCGATAATATCGCCTCTCGATGTCACGTCATTGATAATTTACATGGCGTCCCTGATGAGCATACAGGATTTGACCGGTATTACGCACGTCTAGCTCACAACTTCCAACAATCCAACGCTTATGTATCTGATACAGGTCATCTAATACTTCTGGCTAATGTCGACCCCTCGATGCTTCTCTCCGGGTGATGGTCATGTTCATTGAACGCATACTTGTATCGCTATCGCTAAGCTTCATCAGACAATGGATCATATACCATGTGTGTTTGAAACCTAGGTCTACCGGTGCATGGTTCTTTGTGGCTCTTGCAGTGTCAAGCTTCTGGCTTTTGATTTTGCTCTGGTGACTGATCCGTCAGTTCAGCGACTCACACTGCCGATATGGCACCATACGTTCTTACTCCAAACATGGAGCGTGGGGAACTTCCGGAGGGCAGCTGGGCTACCTCACTCCAAATTGTCTCTAGTAATAGTGGCATGTCAACACCATCGACAAACTCCGACAATTTTGTCAGTATCCATCCGTCTCAGAATAACAACAGGGACAATGTCCACACAATTGCTTCCGAGTCAACCGATGGCGCAGCAAATCAGTCCACAGATGGCGCCAGCTCCCCCAAATCGACGACTTCGTACGAGGACGCATTTGTTCATGGTTACAAAGAGGGTTTTGCTAAGGCACACATCGAATTGAAGCACCAACCTATAGCTATCATTGGAATGTCTTGCAGACTGCCCGGCAGCGTTGCATCACCTGATGAGTTCTGGGAGCTTTTGGCACGTAACAGAACTGGATTTTCGCCGATTCCCGCCTCACGCTTCTCAGCTACTCGTTTCCATCACCCAAACCCTGGTAAGGGCGGTACAACAAACGCACGCGGTGGAAACTGTACGTATAGCCCTTCGTTGATGGTGTGTATAGCAGACACTGATCAATGTCGTTATGGCAGTCCTCACCCAAGACCTCAAAGCATTCGACGCCCCATTTTTCGGCTTTACACAACAAGAGGCTGTAAGCCTTGACCCCCAACAACGGTTGCTCTTGGAATGCACCTTTGAGGCACTTGAGAGCGCTGGAGTACCGAGGCACAACGCAGTTGGCAAAGACGTCGGAGTCTTCATTGGAGGTTCTTTCTCTGAATACGAAGCAGACCTTTTTCGAGATCCAGAGACCATACCCATGCATCAAGCCACAGGTATGCACTTTTGCGCCTAGACAGAATGATCTTTGACACGGCTATGAAATAATTCTAACTACGGACAGGCTGCGCCATGGCGATGCAATCTAATCGTATATCACATTTCTTTGACTTCCGTGGGCCAAGCTTTACACTAGATACTGCATGCTCGTCAAGTCTAGTTGCTCTGCACACAGCTTGTCAAAGTCTTCGTACCGGGGAGTCAAGCATGGCGCTGGTAGCCGGTGTTCATTTGAACATGCTGCCCGAGTTCTGGATCTCAATGTCAATGTCAAGACTTTTTGGAGACGCCGGCCGTTCTTTTGCTTTTGACCAGCGAGGCACGGGCTATGGTCGAGGAGAGGGGTGTGGGATGATTTTACTGAAGCCTCTCGATCAAGCACTCAAGGATAACGATCCGATTCGTGCTGTGATTGCTGGCAGTGGTATCAATCAAGATGGAAAGACAGTGAGTCACACGTCACCCGAACCATAGGAACCGTGTGTATTTACTGATACCTCCTCAGCCTGGCATTACTATGCCTAATCAGCATGCCCAAGGTAAGTACTATCATGACCAGCTAGATCCACTTACTAAATCATGGCCCAGAGGAGCTCATTCGCTCTGTATATACTCAAGGCGGCATGGATCCCGCTGATACAGGTTATGTTGAAGCACACGGTAAAGCCTACTACCTGAAATTGTGCTTACAAGCTCATACTCATACACATTTTAGGAACTGGTACACGCGTTGGCGACCCGTTGGAAGTTGCTGCACTGCATAGTGTCTTCGGACAAGGCAGAAACAAGAGGAAGCCTCTCTACATAGGATCTGTAAAATCGAACATTGGACACTTGGAAGCAGCCGCTGGTAGGTTCTAGATCGCGTTTCGATAATCAGAAGTACTAAGGCTACAGGTATCGCCGGTATCATAAAAACCGCTCTGATGCTAGAACGCGGATTCATTCTGCCGAACTATGACTTCAAGCAGCCTAATGAGAAGATTCCCTTCGATGAGTGGGGCTTGAAAGTGCCTGTCAGACAGCAACCATGGCCTTTTGGCAAGAAGTGGGCTAGCGTCAATGGCTTCGGCTTCGGAGGAACAAATGTGAGGACCCCAGGCAAGGCGAAGATGATGTGGTGGCTAACATCTGTTGATAGGCACATGTGGTCATGACTCGGGGTCCACTCGAACGGAAGACCATGAAAGAAGATATCGACACGCAGACTCAAAAGCGCTTGTTTGTTGTGTCCGCCAATGACAAGGCTGCTGCCGACGAAGCTATGAAGAACCTGGGCATTTACCTTGAACAGCGACCAGAGATCTTTCAGAATGACCTGCTAAGTAATCTTGCTTACACACTTGGACAACGAAAGTCACTTCATTCTTGGAGAATGGCGATCTCAGCTTCATCGGCAGTTGAGCTTGTTGAATCTCTATCAAGCGGAAGAATATCGCCCATCAAGCAAGACATTGAGGCACTGCGCCTAGGCTGGGTTTTCACTGGGTAAGTCACCTGGATGATTGAGATCTATTGCGACACGCACTAACCGCAGCATAATCTTCTAGTCAAGGAGCGCAATGGTGGGCAATGGGGCGTGAGTTGTACCATCAATACCCGATATATGCATCTAGCCTCGACAGGGCTAGCTCACACCTCTCCTCAATCGGTGCGCCTTTCTCATTGATCGAGGAGTTGGCAAAGGACGAGCAATCCACGAGAGTCAATGTAGCCCATGTCAGCCAACCTGCTTGTACCGCCATACAGCTGGCACTCGTCGAGCTGCTGCGCTCTTGGAAGATTAGTCCAAGTGCTGTTGTCGGTCACTCCAGTGGTGAGATCGCTGCAGCCTATAGTGCTGACATCATCAACTTTGAGGACGCGATGACGATTGCATACCACAGAGGCAGACTGATACCCATACTAAAAGAGCGTTATCCGGGACTCGACGGTTGTATGTTGGCTGTAGGTGCTAGTGCGACCGATATTGCACCGTTGCTCGAGCGGGTTCCGTCAAGCCTCGGAGAAGCGCGAATCGCTTGCATCAACAGTCCGTCCAGTGTCACTATTTCCGGAGACGCTGAAGCCGTCAGCGAAGTACAAAGACTCATCGAAGAAGCATATCCTGGTACGTTTGCAAGAAGATTGGCCGTAGATACAGCCTATCATAGTCATCACATGAACCTTGTCGCAAAGGACTATGCAGAGAATTTGCGAGAACTACAGCCACCCCGGTACTCCGCAGTCAGCTTTCACTCCTCGCTTCTCGGTCGTACTGCAAGCTACTCAGACTTGGATGCCACCTATTGGGTACAAAACTTGACGTGTGCCGTCAGATTTGACGAAGCCGTGCAAAGCATGTGCACTCCAGTAGGTGACGCCAAAGTCGGAGTCAACTTCCTCGTTGAACTTGGGCCCCATGCAGCATTACAAGGCCCTCTCAAACAGATTCTCAAACACGTTGGTGGCGCTGCAACAAAGGTCTCATACGCATCGGCTCTGTCAAGGAAGAAGAACGCTGTTCACACAGCACTGGATTTGGCGGGCACGTTGTTCGTGAAAGGGACGCTGCTAGACATGGGCGCCATAAATTTTCCAAAGCCGCTTGGAAGGCAACCCCAGGTGCTCACGGATGTGCCGCGATACGCGTGGAACCACTCGACCACTTATCATCACGAGTCACGACTGACGACGATCCACAAATTCCAAGATACTCCAAGGAACGATTTGCTTGGAGTGTTGGCACCTTACTCTGACGATATCGAACCTACGTGGCGCAACGTTTTACGCCTTGACGATGTTCCCTGGTTGCGTCATCACCAAATGCAGGGTGTCACAATCTTCCCAATCTCAGGCTTTCTGGTTATGGCATTGGAGGCTATGGGCCAACAGGCTCAAGCGCTGAATCTGGAATACGATTCATTTCAAGTCCAAGATTTGAGCGTCAAAGTCCCTGCTCTGCTAACGGAAGAGGATCTTGAGATGACGACAACACTGCAACCGCGTCTTCAGGTTCGTGGGACACCATCTTTCTATTTCCACATCCGCTCTTGGTCAAAAAACAAAGGCTGGACCGAGAATTGCACCGGAATCGTATCTGCTTATCTTGATCAAGTCAACGAAGTTGACGGACAGCGCCTTGTGGACATGAAGCAACGCAGACTCCATTCCCGAATCACCAGGACTATGCATTCCGCAGCCGAACCCGCACATATGAAAGCGATTTATAAGAGGCTCGCCGATATTGGTGTTTCGTATGGCACAACGCTTCAAGGTCTCCAAGACTGCCAGGCCTCGTCTTCTGCATCAAGTGCTCGGATGCCAGTAAGCGATACAGTCTCCGAAATGCCCGAACATCATGAGTCAAAGTACATTCTTCATCCGACTGCCTTTGAGCAGCTCATCACAATGTACTGGCTTATTCTTGAGGCCTCAGGAGCACTCGACACAGTATACCTACCATCTTCCATCGGCAAAATCACTGTTTTTACAAAAGCGTTGAAGGCACTCGATGAATCCTCTGCTGCCATGCAAGCCTTTTGTGAGCCAAAAGCCGATATCGGTAGCTCTACGTCCAACACGATGTCTATAATAGCTACTACAAACGCAAATGAGCTGATAGTGTCGATTGAAGACTTGCTCATCTCCCCAATTATGGAGACTGATGTTGGGCTAGAGGCCAACACAGCACGCGAGCTGTGTTACAAACTAGACTGGGAGCCGATGCCAGAAGCAGCAGAGGCCGAAGTTGGGATGACAGAAAAGCCTCGCTTCGATACAGGAGTAGTCATTGTTCATGGCAACTCGAAATCTCAGCTTGAGATGGCAGCTATGCTCTCGGATCAGTTCATGCTCCTCACAGGAGCTGCACCGGTTTTGGGATCACTTTCTTCACTTGCGTCTATATCGCAGGACAAACTCTGCGTCGTCATTTCGGAGCTCGAGGAGCCATTATTGTCTACTCTCAGTGCTCAAGACTTCGAGGCCTTACAATATCTGTTGACTACTATTCGAGGTGCATTATGGGTCGTACGGGGTGCGTATGTTGGTTCAAGAAGCCCTGAGAGCAACATGATTACCGGTCTCAGTCGTACATTGCGATCAGAAGGTACCCTGATGAAGTTCGTTACCCTTGACATCGAAGCCCGTAAAGAAGTGGACGTCGAGCACGACATTTCAACGATTTTGCGAGTGTTTACTCAGTCGCTGAGTGCAGAGACCAAGGTGGAGGAAACAGAGTTTTTGGAGCGTGATGGTCAAGTGTTCACCCCTCGAATTATCAACGACGATTCACTCAATGAGTACGTTGAGCAACAAACTCATCCAACAGCTTCCGAGCTTGCTTCATTCTCTGATGTCAAACGGCCGCTCCGTGGACTTCTCGAGACACCCAACGTAATGGATAGTCTCCAGTTCACCGACCATGAACTATCACCACTGGCCCAGGATGATGTGGAGATTCAAGTCAAAGCGGTCGGCCTCAACTCAAGAGATGTTACATCTAGTCACACAATTGGTGTCGAGTGCAGCGGCATTGTCACGGCTGTTGGATCCGATGTGCCAAATCTTTTCCCTGGTGATCGCGTTTCAGGGCTCACGACTGAAGGTGCTTTGTCGACCATCACTCGCGCACAACATCCATTTCTGTTCAAACTTCCGGATCATACAACGTTCGAGTCGGCGGCGACATTACCACTGGCATACTGCACGGCATCCTATGCATTGATTAACCAAGCTAGACTGCGCGAGGATGAGTCTATTCTGGTACACGATGCAGCGAGTGCAAACGGTCAAGCTGCTTTATCGGTTGCCCAGATGGCCGGCGCAGATGTTTGGACCACTGTCCAAAGTGCCGCCGAGAAGACACTTTTGCTGAGAGATTTCGGCGTGCCTGAAGACAGAGTGCTCTATGCTGGCAGCGAAGACTTTGCGGACACCATCAAAGATGCCACTACAGGACATGGTGTTGATGTCGTGTTCGACAGCCTTGAGGATGGCCACCTTACACCCGCAACACAGGCCACGCTGGCAGACTTTGGCCGACATGTTGTCATTGACGCAAACAGAGTCGGAGCTAGTAGAGATACAAGAGCCAATACTATCCTAATCGTTGTCGACATCCGGGCCCTCTGGAAACTTCGACCCAAGGTGCTCCAGCGCACCCTTGCTGATGTGGGCCGGATGCTCAAGCACAACACGATCCGAGCACTCCAGGAGATCAGTACATACGGAATTGCAGACGCAGTTGCGGCTCTCCACGATGTTCAAGTTGCAGGCGCGCGTGGTAAGGTGGTAATCACACCACAAGACAACGAGTTAGTAATGGTAAGCCGTGGTTCACTCTTTGCTTTGACTATGCTGACTCTAAAAGGCACCACGCATCGACAAGAAAATCACTTTACTTCGCGAAGATGCGACATACATCCTCATCGGGGGCACAGGCGGCCTCGGGAGAAGCATGGCGAAGTGGATGGTATCGAAAGGTGCTAAGAACATCGTTTTGCTCTCGCGCAGTGGAGAGCTTCGAGGGAACGCAAAAGAACAGGTCGATGACCTCAACGGCGCAGGCGCCAACATTGTTGTGCGTAGCTGCGATGTTGCGGACAAGGTTTCCGTCGATCACCTCATCTCTGGTGGCCTGGTGGGTCTGCCGCCAGTACGAGGTATTGTACATGGCGCCATGGTACTTCACGTAAGGCTACCTAGAGACATCCGTTCTTCATGACCGGTGACTAACATAAATTGCAGGACGTTTTGTTCGAGAAGATGACACATGATCAGTACACAAGCGTCATCGCTTCCAAGGTACAAGGCGCGCGCAACTTCCACGAGGCATTGTCTAAGGCTCAAGCATCTCTCGACTTCTTTATTCTCATATCTTCTGCCGCTGGAGCTGTGGGAAACCGTGGACAAGCCGCCTACGCCGCAGCCAACACATTCCTCAACGCCTTCGCACAACACCTCATCGGCAAAGGTATTCGAGCCGCGTCACTCGATCTGACTGCAGTCTCAGACGCCGGCTACCTGGCCGAGGATGCAGAGAAAGCAGCCGAGGTTGCGCGCAATCTTGGTAGCGACACGATCTGTGAAGCCGAAGTGTTGGCCCTGCTGCAAGCCGCCATCGAAGGCAAGCTGTCGAGCTGTAACGGCCATCCAATAACCGGCATGCGCATCACGCCCACTATGCGACCTTTCTGGTCCAACGACGCCAAATTTGTCCACCTCCTGCGCGCCGCAGAAGCAGCATCGAATGCGTCTGGGACAGCAGCGAAGATCTCGTGGAGCACTGCGTTCAAAGCAGTGGCTTCGCGGGCTGAGGCTGAACAGGTGGTTTGCAATGCGCTCGTTGAGAAGATTGCCGATGTCATTTCGATGGAGCCCGAGGAACTCGACATTGGTCGAGCTCTCAGCCATTATCCGTTGGATTCACTGACTGCTATCGAAGTGCGCAACTTCATCACGAGGATGTTCGAGGCGAGTTTGCAGGTCTTGGAGTTGTTGGCCAGTGGGAGTATTGAGAACTTGGCTAAGATTATTTGCACGAAGACCAAGGTTGCACTACCAGAAGCATAAAGGTCAGATTCGGGAAGGACACGTACAATATTGGATTGTGATACTGCAGGTGGATTTAGTTTTCTTACTTCCTTCTCGTCTTTCCTTACTTTAGATAACGCTAGCCGATTTCCTTAATTATACATGTAGTTCGTCGAAGTATTCGTTCAAAAGAGGTGAAGCACAGCGCAGCCGCGGCACCTAGACGCTCCTTTGCGAATAAATGCTCAGTGTTCCACCTGCCACCCTTCCATCATCTTTGCCTCCTCAGCCGCTTTCCTCCCAGCCTCAGCAGCCTCGTCTAGCGCAGCTTCCGTGTGTCGAGACATCTTATCATGCACCTTCCCTTCCTTTCGAACTTCATTCTTGATACCGCCACTTTGTCCCGAATCCTCGTCTTCGTCAGTGTCGACCATATCGTAATCTCCCAGGTATCCCTCTTCAACACCGACCTCGCCTCTCCTCTCCCTCCTCTGCAACTCCTTCTTGACCTCCTCTAAACTCTCATCCCTCGCGTTCCTAAAAGCAAGCACCTGCTTAGCCTTGCGCGTGAAGATCTCATTCGGGCTTTTGACTTCGATCCACTCTGCGAGGTCTTGCAGCACCTTGTTACTCAAATCCCTGACTTACCAATATGTGACGGGGTGAACGACATACCAGTGGCCCGCAGAGAACTCACTCTTCAGGTCGAGTGATGCAGCGGGGATGCTGTCGATCTCTTCGTAGTACGCTTCGCTTTGGGCTTTGGCGATGGCGGAGAAGGGGTTTGCGACGAGGCGGGTGCGCAGAGGGAGGAAGCTGGTGTTGCGTGGAGTGGGCTTGGGGCCTTTGCCGGTCTCGTGGTAGACAACTAGGATCGGGTCTGCGTCTACGCGGTTGCGGGTTGGCGGGGCGAGCTTGGGCGGTGGTACGCGGGCGTTCAGGAGAGAATCCACGGCTTGGTTGAGGTAGTACATGTTCATGTAGAGAGCCTTAATTGTATGCGTTAGAAAACTGTTTTACATAGAGTGAGGGTGAAGAAGCGAATGGACTGGTAAGGCTTGGTATGGATAGAGTGACGAGTGTTGCGTGACGGATGCGTGGTTGCTGTGACGATACTGTAATGGCAGTTAGTAACGAAGAGATATAATCGCGGTGGCCGGATCACGAGCGTCGTTAGATAGGCTCAGTTACTAGAAACGGCTAGATGGTTGGGGTGAAAGGACTAAACAAGGCAACAGCAGCTGCAAACGCAGAGCTTCTAGTTATAGTTGAAACACGCTTCTTGCAGAAAGACTTAATCAAACTAAGACCTAAAAGCTTCTTAAGTTCTACTAAATTGCTGCTATAGATATTCATTGTAGAGATAGTGATGTGCGCTATAGATACCTATACATCTCGCTAGGAGCTATCTGCGGGCTTCTTGCCTATACCTCTGCTCACCAAAAACCATCCTCCACCAACATACTCTCACTCGGCAAACCACGTCCCGACCTTCGCAAGAGCCGCTGCATTCCTGACACTTGCGTAATGCACGAGAGGAGGATGTCTGCGTCAGCGCTGGAGCGGAGGTCGAGGTGGTTGAGTAGGTGGCGTTGAGGTCAGTGAGTAGCTGCGTGAGGGCGTAGGGTTGTGTTGTGAAATGTTTGCAGGATGTGTGCGCGGACGTAGTGATGTCGATCATGATGAGAGTAAGAAAGAAGCGGACAATCGGGGTACAACCACATGATTTCTATGCCGGCGTGCGTGTCGCGATTGTAAAGCTTACCCACTCCCCTTCACATCACTGCTCCAAACCCCATCATCACACATCACGATTCCGCAAAACGACAGTATGTTCAAATAATGCAACTTTCAAATTTCCCCTATTATGCCCAAAAGAAAAAAGTCTACGCTATATTGGTATTGCGAGATGACGGAAAAATTGATCAGATACCGACCGATCCCAGAGAGCCCGTGGCCGTGATTCGTTATATGTGCCCATTTCCATATACACACCCATCCGTCCATTCATCCACCATGTCCAGGGACAACATCTACAACGGGGAGCGCGTGCCCGGGAAAAAATAAGAGCCAGGCAATAGGGGGAATCATGCAAAAATGATGAAAACAACGATGGGAAATAAGAGAAAACTCCACGCTATGCATGCATGCAGATTTCGTAACGAACATGCGCGCGCAGAGAAACAGAAATAACGGGAGGTTTGGGGTATCGCTCAAGAAGAATTTCAACGCCGTTAGGACCGCGCGGGGATATTCTCCAACTCGCTGCGCTGGCGCAGGTATTTGGCGGCGAGGTTGTCACCGCCGCGCATGGATTGCTCCATCCAGTGCTGTGCGACACACATAGTCATCGGATCGGATCGCGCGACATCGTTGCTCGCCTTCCTCTCGCGGTTGAGGAGTTCCGTCTTGAAGACCTCGCTGGGCTTGGTGAGGGGCAGGACAGTGCGGTGTAGGAGATCGGGCGTGGTGAGGTAGAAGATGGCGAGTTCGCGCTCGGCGACGGCATCGCCTTCTTTGGCGGTGATGACGAGCATGCGGGCTGCGTCTTCCATTGTGTAGCGCGAGAGTGGCTCGTCGGCTGGTGGGGGAATGGTGGCGGAAGCTTTCTCAGCGGCACCGGCTTTGACGATATCGTCGCGCTTGCTGTTTTGTGTGATGACTTCGTCGACAAGCTCCAGCATGATGCGACATACGTCCATCTTGAGACCCAGTGCAGCAAGACCGACGTCCCAGAATGCCTTGCCGCGAGCAGTCTTGTCGAGCATCTGTGCGGGAACGAATGAGGCGATGTACTGGAGATCGCGGAAGAGCGTTTTTGGACGGATGTCGGCGTCTCGCAAAAGACCTTGAATGACCTCAACAATCATGTCGGTGCTGGGCGGACCGATAGGTGAACGCGCGCCCACGCGCGGTAACGGCGAGGCGTTGCTGGCTCTGTCTTGTGTCATGCTTTGGGAACGACGTTCCTCGCAGTTGGCAATCGCTTGCTCCAGATTCTGGGCCCGATTTGTATGGGTGGCAGGCTCGCGTGAGCTCAGCTCCGGCATGGGGCCCAGGGTCGGTGATTGAGGAACTGTTGGTAGTGCATCACGGCGATTGTTGTACGACTTGCTAGTCCGAGATGACAGCGATGCGACAATCAGCAGCTCCAACTCGTACAGTGCGTGCAACTTCGAGTAAGGGTTGGGATGCGTCTGAAACTTGCTGAGAAGTCGACGAAAAGCGACATTGTAGGGGAACTCCAATAACCCAGCTTTCTTCGCTGCGGTAGTTCCGGTTGATCGCGATGTGGCATCGCTTGATGTGGAAGAATGTTCACCAGCGGAGTGATGGGCATCTGAGCCTGCCGCGTGCTGGTAGGTCGCAACTGGTGGCGCGGCCTGACTGCGCTCTGTGCGGCCAAGAGCCTCTAGAGGAACATTGCGTTGGTCCGGCACGACCTGTGGCACAACTTGTTTTCGCAAGTTCTTCGTGCTTTTCTTCTTAGCGAGCTGCTTCTTGCGTTTGCGCTCTTCTTCGTCTCGCCTACGAATGCAGTCTTCTATGATGTCGCCGCCAAACCAAGAATCAGTCTCGCTTCCGCTGGCAAAAACGGCTGCTCCTAGATCGCTAAGTAGCAGACCAGTGAGCGTCTGCTTCAGCTCGAGCATGAATCTGCGCTTGTCTTCATTGACGCTTGCGGACTGCTTTAGCATGACTGTGCCCTTGGAAGATGAAGCGGTACGGGGACGAATGCTGGTGGCACTTGTCGGTGACTGTGCTTGGGTCTGGAATGGCGACCAGAACGTTGAAACAGAGTCAATAGATAACACGGGCGACGAACCGCCAAAATAATCATGGGCGTCCATGGGGCCTCGTGCCCACGGGCTTTGGTCGAAGCTAGCTTGGGAGCCATTACGGTTGGCTGCAGACCTGAGACTGCTGTGGCTGGGACGCTGCGCGAAATCGAGGTTTCTGGAGCCTGGGCGGCCATGTGTTTCGTACTCCTCATCTCCTGCAATGGATAAAGTTCCGACGCCTGTGAGGAAGAGGTCTCCCTTCTGGCGTCCACTTTCGAGTATCTGCTGATCCCGCTTGTAGAGGTCGCTAGCCCAGAGCACAGGGGTCTCGATCAGGTTCTCTCCAACGATTTTGTTGACGCACTTGTCCACCTCAAGGCAGAAGCGGTGTATCCTCTCCTCGCCCTTGCAGAAGTTCTCGACACCATACTGTGTCAGCCACTTGAGCGTAATCTCTGACTGCTCATCAGATAGCTTGTTGGGTCCGCCAAAGTCCTGCGATGCCGACATGACGTCTACGAGAACTGCTTCGCCCTTCATCAAGAAGTTGTTATTCGAAGACTTGGAATATTGACGAGACCGTTGGCCCTGGATTGGTTTGCCGTCGAGCGTCCTTGTCGGTTGCCCCATAATCTTGAGAGCAAGGGCCACATTGCGAGCTTCTTCGTACACAGCTGAACCGCGGACATCACTGATGTACCACATCTTGTCACGTAGATTCTTGAAGCTAAGCATCATCTCTTCGATCATGGCATCCGATCGCTCTTGAGACTGCTTGAGCCATACGAACCAGGCTTCGAACTCTTCAATCGCGTTCGCTGCCTTTCCGAGTGAGTCTCGTGGACCACGAGAAAAGTAGTTGAGAAGTGCGGCATATCCGTTCTTCACCAATGTTGGTGATGTAAGTCTTCGAAGGCTCTGGAGGGTCTTGTAGTAAAGATGTGCGTTGACAAAATCCGATCGCGCTTGACACTGGTACATGGCAGTCTCGAGCATGGTGACCAAGACCGAGCTGTTCTCTTGCTTCTCCCCGAGCTGGGGATTGCTGTTGCTTCTTGGAAATTGTGGTGAGCGATGCCGGGCTGGCACATTCCTCTGACTGGCTATCAGATTCGTGAGCTGACTCTGACTTTGGCCCTGGTTATATGGATTGCGCGATCCTAGGTTCTCGGTGACACTTCGGACGATTCCTCGTCCTCGACCACCTTTTCGGGTTGTCATGCGGTTACTGAAGTTCTTCGACTCGCTGTCCGGCGCTAATTCTTTCGGTATTTCGTACTCTTCGACAAGCTTTACAATAGCTTCCTTCAACTGGTGGTAGTCGTTCTCGAGATCGATCCTATCTCCAGTTCCCTCGTCGTCGCTGCTATCACTGTCAGGTGAGTCCTCGTCATGCTCTTCTTCGTCGTCAGAGTCTTTGCGCATGCGAGATTTCAGCTGCTTTCCATCTGCTGAGATGTAGAGGACGGCCCAGCGCTCAGCACAAGGATGGCAGGAGCCGGATGTCGCCTCAACGCCAAGGATTCGTGTCATTTCGGAGCATGCGGTTCTCAAACGCCTTCCGTACAGTTCGGTTGGTGCAACCTTCAGTTCAGCTGGGCGTTCCTCCAAAGGCAGAGTGCTAGTGCTGTCCAAAAGTGGCTCCCGGGAGGTCTGATCACTAGTCATGGAGGATGCGCTTGCACTAAGAACGGAGCTCGCATCCGTCATAGACGCAGCGGCGTTGCGGAAAGGCATAGAAACGCCGGACATGGAAGAAGCGGACGAGGCCAATCCAGTACGACGTTGAGCTTGTTGGTCAATGTGGCTCGACGATGGCCTACGTTCTGGGAACAGCGTATTGACCATGGTAATGATATCGGAGGGAGACAAAACGATGAATGGCTGCACCTCGACAGTCTCTCGCGGAGAAGTGATGGCCTTCGCGGGTAGAAGAATTGGCTTGGCGGGCGTCTTGGTGTGCTTGAACCTGGCGAGAATGTTCTCGATGTGAGTGCGGATTTCTGGAAGAACAGGCACTGCTTGCCGCCTATCGCCCATGTCAGCGGTTTGGAAGAGGAAGAAACCAAAGGAAAGCTCGTACCAATTGTAGGTCATGTCCAATACATATTTCTGTGCCCGGATGGCAATCTCCTTGAGGATCTTCTGGCGCGCGTGTTCGCTGATGTGGTGGCCTACCATAATTCCATGGGTCTGTAAAAGTTAGTGCTTTCATCCTTGAACCGGGAGCGGGCAACCTGCCTCAGGGTGAATGATAGCGTTCAGCAGAAAAGTAGAGAAAAGCCATCGCGACACAAAGAAGTTCTGCGATGCTTTGCGTACGTTCTTTTCTTCGTCCAGTTTGCGGAGAATAGCGTTTCCAATCTCGAGGACTCCTTCAGGGATACCTCCAGCGCTGGGCTCGTCGTCTACGACCTCAAAGAGGCGCTTCACAACTCTATCAAAATACTCATCGGCGGCAATGGTGTCCTTGGTGCTGCGCGCTACTGGTTGAACTCCTGCTCGCGCCGATTGTTCCTCGGCTTTCTCCAGGAGAAATTGTCCATCTTGGAGGGCTTGCATCAGGTAAAGCTCTAGATTGGATTTGCCGGGCCATTCGCGCATTCCAGCCCATACGTCTAGGACGGTCTTGACGAACTTGTCGGATCCTGGCTTGTTGTCCTTGATAAGCCTGGCGCAAGTAGTAGCCCAAACATCCGTCCGGCGAAGGTCCTCAGCGGAATCCGGTCCCGAAGAGTTGGCGAAAATAGAGTAAATGAGTGCTGCAAGTGGATCATGTCGTTGAAAGGAGAGGAGACGCTCCACCGGATTGCCTTGCTGGCTGGGCTTCTGGGAGCCTACGTTCTTACCACGGGCCTGCATGGCCATGACCGAATCAATGGGGTCCAACGCCTGGCGGAATGACGACAAAGACGCGAGTTCTTGCTGAGAAAGGCTGGAAACGCGAGCAGCAAGGAAATCTGGGTTGGTACGAATTTCGGAAATAAAGTCTAGGAGATCGTCCAAAATCTTGGACGGGACTTCGTTGAGAAAAGTAGACGAAGAGAGAGATTTGTCGCCGCGCATGTTTTTGGATTTGGCAAACTCCAAATCAGGCTCGAGCAATGCATACTGCCGTGTTGCGTCGCATGAGTTTCGAACATCGTTAAGGGCGTTATAAAGAGAGGCAAAGCCTTTCTTGTCATCGGACCTGAAGTTGTCGACCAGGGTGCGGTAGGCCAGCTCTCCGCAATGTACCAGACGTGCGGAGAGGGCACTGGAGACCAGCCATCGATGCAGACGCACGCGCGAGTGGGCCTTGCGCTGCTCCTGGTAGCCTTGGAGGCGAATCAAATGGGCGAGTTCAGCGAGGGAAGTCGCGGACGTGGGAATGGCCGCGGTAGGCAGGTATGAATCGGTGTACGATGAAAGATCGGCGGGAAGCAATCGCGGCAAGCGGCCGGCGGGAGCAGACATGGACGGGGCCAACTGGGGCCGCTGAGTGCTCGACGAGAGACGCTCATTGTTGCTGACGTCGTGCAGTCCGCCAGGTCGACTTCCCATGGTAGTTGGCTGCTGGGTGGTGAATGAGCGAGGTGAAGGCGACCTGGGCGGAGAGGAAGACACGGGCGGAGCCTCGACGGGAGGATCCTCGACAACAGTTGTATTGTGCGAGGGCGTATGGCTTCTAGACGATACTTGGGTAACGGTGGGAGAGGCGGCTGCGAGTAGGTCAGTAGTGCCAACACATCATCGTCCCGGCCCGAAGCTATTGGGCGAGCATTGCAAAAGTGCAGCACAGAGCAGCACGGCAATAGAAACACGGCGGGACCTACGTGGAGGGGAGATGGCCTGCGCCAGAGGCGAGGCCGAGTGTTGGTTTCTCCTAATCATGATGCTGTCGCCATGAGGGAGTCCCGATGAAGCCCTGCGGCAGTCTGGAGTGCTCAGATTGGCAGGGCGAAGCTCTATTGCATCGCAGAAAGCCAGATGGAGCGCGCGTATTGGGAGACGGTGTTTTGGGCGCGAACTCGGATGCGTTGGCACACGCTCTGCTCACACGGTTTGTTATCGATAGCGGAATGGCGGGAAGCGTGATTGGCGTGTCTTCGAGTCCCTGTCGGTCGGGCAAGTCACGGCTGCAGCTCAACGGCGCGCGAGCATATACGCAGATGCAGCTGGGCGACGAGAAAGACAGCAATCGACAGCGACAGCGACAGCGACATGGACATGGACAGGCGACAGGCGACAGGCCTTCTCGTGCTGGTCCCCCAAGCGAGCGCGATGCCCCAGATTGGTGGCGACATCAGACCGCCAGTGCACGCTGCTCGAGTAGGCGGTCCTGCAGGACAGCTCATCACCTGTAGCACTGCCGACGAATCAGCGCGCATCCAGCCCGCGCCTGCTGCACGACGCCCAAAGCCCTCAGCTACGACGATGCGGTGGGACCTTTGTCGCCCACCGGTGGCTAGCCAGCCCATCCCCGCCTTGTACAGACATTCGTCGACAGCGCATCCTATGATCGGCCCTAGACTGACTCTTGACGAGACATGGCGGGAGAGCATCGCCCGGTCGCGCGCCATGCCTGTCAGGCCAGGCCGTTTCTGAGGGCACCCACCCCACCATCATGTCGTGCCCCTCCATCGTCACGCTCAACAAGAATGCCTACATATAGAGTGTCAAACACTGCTTTGTCGCTGCGCTGCGCGTTGACGACGACAAACACTGCCAGCCAGTCGCCTAGACCGAGAATATGCGACACTGTCTTGACCGCACCGGCACTGCAAATCCGACCGCCCCAGAACAGCGTAGGAAGATGCGCTGCCAACGCATGCATATGCGCCAGCTGTCAAAAGCTGGCCTGCACGCGCAGAGGTTGCCGTCTTCCTACTTCATCTCGGCCTGCATGCTCATCTGGGCGAACCTGTTCTCCGAAAGGGATATCCCGGCCACGTCCAATGAGCCGCACACAACAGCAAGGCGACTGTGCTAGGTGAAGCATTGCTCGCTTCCAAGGTTGACACTATTGCTGCACGTATGCCAGCCAACGTGCTTCCTTTTGCATGTTTGCAGCGCCATAGTTGACGCTCCACTGCCAATGGATACGAAACGTAGCCGCCTAACTGCTGTTGCCAAATGTGAGAGTCTGTCGAGCCACCGCTCGTCTCATTGCACGTTGAAAATAGGCGTCATCCAAAAAAAAAAAGTCGCGAATCTGATGTTATTCGACGCACGGATCGATCGACCCTACCATGTGTTGTTCGCGTGTACCACCCCGCTTCCACGCTCGACGACACCGCCAGTCGCTTGCGTGTCGAAATTCTAGACATGTTCCAAGATCATCCCTGATCTTCACGTTGCCCAACTGTTGTGCCCGATATGTTGCGAAACATGCAAACGTGTGTTGATCCAGCGCTTCCTGGCTGCAACGTCAAATTATCTCCACAAATGTCGACCGCAATGTTCTACGTTAGGTCCAAGACGAACTCGCGACTCGCGGTTACATCTTGCTGTCGTGCAGAGCTAGTCAGGTCATGGCCTCTCGGATTAAAGGGGCGACACGTTTCCGGCTGTGCTGTACTCGACGTTGCCACCAAACCTTCCTCCACTGTTTGTTGTCACGGGTTGTGTCGGCCACACTGCCAGAACCGTGCCAAGCTTCGAGCCCAAGCTCTTCAGCGGCATTTGTAGCGAACTTCTTCGCAGCTGATACTCCGCGGTCGGTGAAGGCCCAAAGTAGTATCTCTCGCTGGAATTGCCCTTCTGCTGACGTGGACGTGGTCATCAGCGTGTACAGATCCAGCTCGCGGTCTTTCGAAAACTGTTCCAGAGTGCCCAGAAAAGCATCGCTGGCTGACTCGGCGCTTGCCTCGTCACCAGCCTTATGCAGCAGAAACTCAATGTGCTTGACCACTGAGCTGATGCCGAGTTTCAAGCCATTTTGGTCCCACTGCTTATAATCTTTCCGAAGGATGTCTTGCAGCTTTAGCGCGCCGATATCCTTTTTCGCTGCATCGGTTTCCTCGTAGAATTCTGTGCGATCGAAGCTTGCAGACAGCTGTGGACAAAGCGCGATCTTGGCTTCCAGATACTCCACAGCTTTCCGGTCATGTTCGGTGGTCTTGTTCTCGTCTCCAAGATTGGCTGTATCGATCAAGATGCTGGCCAGTCCCAACTGAGCGACTGAGGCGTCCCAACGCTTCACGACGGCAGCATCGTCAGACGCACTGTCACCTTGTGCATGTGCGGCTCCTGAAGATAGGGCTGAAGCAGAGAGCATATCCCAAGTAGGTCGACAGTAGTTTGTGATGAGACTAGTGCAGCTACCACTTTTCTCGATAATGCGAGGCTCTTCACCAGTGTCCTTGGGTACCTTGCCTTCGTCGTCGTGATGGTCAATAGTACCTGCGACTCTTTGCGAGTAGATCTTGCCCAATTGACCCTGGAGAGCATTGTGGTCCACGAGAATCCACCTCGTATTTTCTGGAGCAAGTCTAGTCTGAATGTCGGATAGCGGCGGCAAGTCATCCAGTGTGATCAGGTGCGAAGGCTCAATATTCGCATGCTTGAAGACAGCCAGGTATTCCGGACGCAGTGGGATGTCTGATGCAGGGATGTTTGTGACTGGCACATAGAGCGGGGTGAAAGCACCCTTTGGCGGCGACATGGATCGTATGTAAGCATAGAGGATCGAACATGACATTGAATCAAGGTCTAAATGAGGTTAGTACGATTGATATGGAAGTCGCGACGTGCGCCCACCAGCAGATTCATTGCCAATAACGATCGTGACTTTTTGGCTGGACTCAATCGCAGCCCGGAGCGAGCTTTTAGCGTGTGCCAGAAAGCCGCGGAGTGAGTTTCTCGGCACCGCCATGGTGAATCGTAACAGTGGAGGTAAGAGCAGAAGTGAGAGCAATTGCCGAACACAAATGTAGGCACGAGATATCGATAAGGATGACGTAATGCAGGGCAACACCGAAGCGGTCTGCATATAAGTCTACGAACATGAATTAAATTGAAATCGCGTTATTATCGTTCGGCTTGTACATATCTTTTGGCACTTTCCATCTTTCGGGTTATGTCCTTCGCGATTCGTCTCTATCCTAAAGTCACGGGGCATGCTTTACTTTCTCTGCATAAATTGCTCGCAGTGCAGCGAACCGCCTAAAATATGCAAGCAGGCGAAGAAAGTATAGAAAATCAAGAGATTCAGATCAGTTAAGTTACCGCAGACTTTAAGAGATGTGCAATTATAACTCTATACCGAACTACTCATGGTTCTATTTAGGACCATGAGCTAGAACAGTGTGCAAGGGAATAAGTTTATTGGTAGAATATCCCGCTAATTGGAGAGACGGATCATCTATAATAGGAAATTCAATTTAAAGACTGGCATGCTTATGTCATGAAAGAGAGTACCTAATATCAGACACAATCAATTGCAGCGTGCTTCAGACTCATATTTGGAGAACCGAAAATTCAATTTTTCGCGAAGAGAGGGAAAAAGAACCGTTGTTCATGCATCAGTTCTCTAGGAAACATGAGGCAATTATGTGTCATCAGCGATTTCTTAATACAGACTGTGAAGGATTGCATTGATGGTTTCGTTAACAGTACATAGCGGCATGATATGCCCTAATCTCAATTACTAAATAAGCTATTGAATACAATCAAGTTCGAGAAAGTAGTGACCAAATTGTATTGTAGCGAATTAAACCACCCAAACTGTGATGTTCTACCTATGATGTGTGGAGGTTCCAGATCAGCTTACTCGCTTCTGTGAACCAAGTTCTCCTATATCGCTGCTCTAGTTCAGCTCGAACATAGAATTATGTGGTACTACACCACAATATCTACGTGATGAATTTTGATGATGGTGGAGGGTACCTACGCAAGACCTCAGGATTTTGTACTTGATGCGACTTGGATATGTGGTATCTTCCAAATGATCTTGTCTACTTCGCGGGAGTCCAAGCATCTGCATCACCCCATCGATCCAAGACTGTACCAGCGCTGCCAGGGTTACGAAATCCAGCCTCCAGCTGCTTCTCATAGCTCACACGACGGAGTCTTTCCGTTTCCTTAGGAGTCATCCGGAGATACAATTCCACACCTACCACATGGAGGAACAAGCAAATCCACAGCTGGTTATCGTAAGTCAGATTCGGTACCCTTGAGATGAGATAAAGGAGTTGAGGATCTTACCATTGTTCCAAAAGGTGCAACAGCGTTCGAGCCCAGTTGCTCCCAATTTAGCGTGGTTCTGTACTGCATGGACGGCTACACGTTTCCAGCGGTCCAGAGATCCATCCCGGCAGGAAGCATTCCTGGTAGTCAGCCTTGGGGAAGTCCCATGCCGAGGTTGGTGTACAGAAAACTGATCTCGTCGCACATCCAGACTGACCAATAGTTACCGAAGCGCGAGATGACTTTGCCAGCAGCCAGGTTGATAAGGCGGGCCGTGATGGTGACGCCCATGTAGAACATGGTACGTATCATCCAAGCGCGATGCTGGTCAATTTGCTTCCGGCGGATGTTCCACCAAGCCATGAAAATTCCAATTGTCGTAATAATACACATGAGCATTTCGACCGCGTGGCTGGTGATCCTGTTTCCACCCTGCTTGTGTGGAATGATGACAAATGCCGATGCGTTGCTGACTAGACAGAGTAGTAGGACGATATAACCGTTGATGCGGTGGAAGGTGATAAACTTGTGGCGAATGACTGGCGTGAACTGAAACACCATGAGGATGCCTGCAGGCAGTACGGATGCAAGATGTATGAGCATGCCATAGCGGTAGTGTCCAAAGCCGAAATAGTACCAGTATCCTGGCACCAGAGCAAACTTTTCCCTGAAATGACCGTCGTAGTCCAAGTCTGGAAGGCGAGAAAGAGAGAACCCCAGCATGCCGCCAGCGAAGATCACCCCTTGATTATGAATCAGTACATCTCGCCCTAGCAATCCAAGATATGTACACAGCGCAACGCACTTACATAAAGGAAAATTATAACCATGAGAGAATCCGAAAAATTGATGCACCTTGGCATACCTAGCCGCGTGACCACTGAGGCGTTCTCTGCTTTCAGACGTCGGGCTTGCCGTACTGGCATCGCGGCTATCATCTTCTTTCGACATAGCGGCGGAATGCAGAAAGGGCGCTCTGAGGTATAAAACTTGATCCCAAGCAACGAAACGGGAGAGAGTTGAGAAGGTGTTCAGGCGGTCTCGAGAAGGTGAGGTCTATGAACGACACAGGTACTCACATAGGGAGACCGCTTCAATATGTATATATGGGCAACATGACCATGGTATGGCAGCTTTCGGCCCGGACACCCTGACTCAAGGTATCGTGGCGTGAGTGTTGAGGATCTTGGCGGGCCTCGGGAAGCATGTAGAAGGTGACAGTCTTCCAACAGTTCCGCGCGTCCGCGGGCGCCGGTCTGAGGCGGTGAGTTAATTTCAAAGCAGACCATACGATGAATTGATGCTCGCCATGCACGCACTTGGAAGCGGAATCCCGACTGCCAAGGCCCCGAACCGAAAGGGCCCGTTTGACCAATAAACTATCTCCGGTATCGAAGCATGCCGAACATGATGCTACAAAGTGATTATTCATCTTAGGATTTCAAGTCGAGCCATCTCCATCTTTGACAAAATCTAGAGATGTACGTTCATCCATCAAGCCGCAATGACAAAAGAGACGTCTCCGTCCGGCTACTTCCCGCGCTGAGCCGCAAGCAAATGCAGATCGTTTCAATTAAGCTAGACTATGTTTGGAAAAGGATAGTCTCTTATGGATGGAATGATTCGTGATTTGTTTTATTGCTTGCGGAGTTTCACGGGGTGAGTGTCTGGTTCGTATAAGTTTTGATGAGTAAACAAATGCATCTGTGGAGAAAGTAACCCTTCCCGTAAAATAGCCTAAATCATAATACATGGATTTGCTGTCAAGATTATTTTTTCATTACAAATATGTAAAACAAAAATACTGCCAGAGGCCCGACCAACACCTTGAAGCCATACATGACCAAACCCAAGAAGAGCGAAAGAAATTAAATCCTGCTATACTACCCATTTCCATCCTCACCAACAATGTATCTTAGACTAGCTACTGATAGACAATATCAAGCCATGGCTGCCACCTGTCCACCACCCACCTTACGTAACTACACGACAGTTAGTACATCATGAACAAATGTGATTAGACTCGAGTACACTTACCCCGAGGAAGGGTGATAGAAGGGCCGTGATACCACAAGCAACGATGATCATGATATACAAGTTACTCATGGCATCGACAATGGCTTCTGCAAGTAGCTTCTGGACGTCTTCGGAGAAGCCCTTCCACTCTGCGCTACTCGACCCAGCGAGAACGACACGCGGATCACCAGAAAAGGTTGACGGCAGTAGCGGGGCGATGTACTGAGCACCCATGTTCTGGAAGACGCTGCCACTTATCGAGGGAAAGAACGTAATGCCAATGCACTGGACAAGACTGATGACACCGATGGCGTTGAAAATATCCTTGGCCTCGACAACGTCCGAGACGCACCCAAAGGCAGTGATGAAGAAGCAGCCGCCGCCAATGCCTAACACAACGCTGTATCCGTAAATTGCCGAGACGCTTGTGTTCACATTGACAGTGTACATCAGGGCACCGCCAACAACGGCCAGGATCGAGCCAAAGAGGAACCACGGCATGTAGTAACCCCACTTCGACATGAAGAAGCCGTTGATGATTGCAATGGTGCAGATCATGAAGACAAAGGGCAGGAGTTTGACGGCGGCCTCCACGGGTGACTCACCCCTCGCGAACTGGAAGTAAAGTGGGAGGTAGTAGATGGGAATGTACACGGCCGATCCAGCAGAAAATGTGGCGAACTGTAAAATTCCCAACTTGAAGTTTCGGAGCATGTGGCTGGGGTAAAGGCGATTGTTCTTCTCAACGAAAGGATGGAATTTGTGCGTCAGGAAGAAGCTGATAGCCAGAACAACCACGAAGACCCAAAGAATGATCATGCTATGAGACTTCCATTCAAATAGGGTCCCGCCGTAGGTGATGGCCATGAAGAAAGAGACGCATAATCCGGTCCAGACGCCTAGTCCCAGCCAGTCGATTTGACCCAATCTCTGTTTAGCAGTCTGCCCTTTGGCGAAGTCGATGGAAGGCAAGACAAAGACCAGGATGGGCCCGGCAACCGCGAAGATTATAAGGTTAATGTAAAATCCCCATCGCCACCCAAGGCTGCTTTCTGCGAATCCGCCGCCGACGATTGGTCCTAGGACGGTGCCAATTCCCCATGTGGGAGAGATCAGAGAAATGTACATAGGGCGCTCCTTGGGAGTGGTGACAACGCTGAAGAAAGTGATGGAGCCGACGTAGATGCCGCAACCACCAATTCCAGCAATCATGCGCCCGACGATGAGAGAGTCCATTGTAGGCGATGCACCGGATATGGCACTGCCAATCTCAAAGCAGACGACGTAGCCGAAGTACAACCATTTGATGTCAAATATCGCGTACGTCGTAGACTGGATGAGCACCAGCGCAGTAGCCGGCAAGGCGTAGGCTGTGGCGAGCCATGGGAACTTTTGGAAGTTTCCATGAGATGCGATGATGTTCGGCTGTATGTCTGCCACCACGGTGGTGTCAAGGGCGTAAAGGAAGACGCAAGAGAGAACGGCACCAACGGTCAAGGCCCACTTGATGCCATGGACCTCGCGCTTGTACTCTGGCCCCGTATCCTCCATTGTATCCTCCGTTGTATCTCCTGGCTTTTCAGCAAGATTCACGGGGCTTTCAGAGCCCCTTGGTGATTCCGCTTTGCTGGTGGCAACGCCGTCGTTAAGGGTGGATGTCGTTTCCTTCTCGCTCATCTTGACGACGGCTGAATGACGAGTATCTGGGCGAAGATGATGTAGCAAGACAGAAGAGGGAAATTCAATCTCCCTTAGGTGGTGTCGCGATCGTGGTTCTCAAAACTGGCGTGTTTCGATTTCTTGGTGGACGTAAGAGCTTTCTGCAAGCCGCAAGATGTGGGGGCAGGGAGTAGCGGGAGCGATTTCGTGATTGTGATGGGGGGTGGTCACACTGTTTCCTTTATGTTCTGGCTTGGATTGGGAAACATCGCGCTAGCTGTGTATGGAGGAAAACCTCATTCCACGAGTGATTGTATAACTTGACTCGAAGCCTGGCAGTGGGTATTGCGTGCCAAGATATGCAAGTGGGTGACCTTTCACCAGCCATCGCGCCAATAGGGGATGTACGCATTGTCTCATGTCTGAGCTCATCATGGGGATGCATGGGCATCGGGCAGTTGACAGGGACCTCGCTCCCAGCTACACACCGGGAAGAAAGGGAAGGAGGACCGAACGGAGTCTCAGGAGCATTAATCAGCGATGCCAGAAGATTTGGATTGTTTATTAACGGAACCAACATCCACTTTCGGCGTCTTAGCAAGGGTGTGTTTGCACAGTGCGAGCGTTTGAGGTCTCAGATGATAGTAGCTGATCGTCACCACTAAAAGCGGGAGGTCAGCCAGCTGCATTAGCGTACTCGCCAAATAGCTTGGCAATGCAATTGGCTGACAAGGGGCGCGTGGCGCCAAAACCCCTCTGAACAGTGCTATAGAATGACAACTTTCATCCGCACAAAGTCAAAATACCTACTTGGTATTACTAATCTGGATATATGGCCTCCTTTAGAATCTTCGCGATGCAAAGCGGCATCTTGGCGTTTTCCGTGGACCTCACGGGGTCCGAAAGGACCCCACCTCATCGGCACGGAAGGTTTCTGCTCTCCCCCTCACGTCGGATGGAGGATTAGGATCTGTACACACCGAGATGCAGTCATATCTTATCTCGAGAGTATCGCGATAGAACAAGTGATGCTGAGATTGCTGATATTTAACGCGCGTGCCAAATGCTGCTATTGTTCTGAGATACACCATCACCCAACACCCCTGTCGGACTAATCGAAATTGCCTATTGTTTTGAGACAACGATTCCTAGCACGTCGTCTTTAGATCAATACCCATCAACCCTGCGATCAAGACGTACAATCTGCAATATGGCGGCTTCTCTTACCGCAGCCTCTTTGCTCAGCGTTAAGAACTGGGTTGTTGTCGGTGAGTGGGAACAAAACGAATTCTTGGTCTAGGACTCCTCAATGGACTAACTTTTCGGATCAGTTACCGGCGGTGGTACCGGAATTGGTCTGAGTAAGACTTTGACATTTACATCAGTCTCATCCCTTCGCCGAAGCAGCACCTACGCGGCCAAGCACCATGCCACCAACCGGAATCGTTGGCCCGCTAACGTATTTCTGAAGTGTACGCACAAGCATTGGCCACAAACGGAGCCAAAGTTTACATCACCGGAAGACGTCAAGAAGTGCTGGAAAAAAGTGCCCGCGTCCACGGATCTGCAGATAAGATTGGCTCTTCTGGGGGTCAAATTGTTCCCCTTGCACTAGATGTGACGAGCAAGGATAGTATCAAAAGCGCTGTCGACCACATCACCAAGACTGACGGCTACCTCAACGTGTAAGGATACAAAGTGAGGTCCTGGAGCACAATCTGATCTCATAAACAGCCTTGTGAACAATGCCGGCGTATGGACGACGAAGCCAGAGGCTGGGCCTGAGGACGGTCCTGAGAAGTTTGGCAGCTCCATGTTTGATCAGTCCGTTGAACTCTGGCAACAAGGTACCTGATTTCATGAGTCCCTTCCTAGTGAAACGTGTGTTGCCCGATACTGACTATCTCACCAAAGCTTTCCTCGTTAACGCTACCTCAATTTACTTCGTAACATCCGCGTTTCTGCCACTACTGGCCAAGTCTATCTCTAGCCACACTGGCAAGATGGGCAGCGTGATCAATACTACCTCCAACAGCGGTCAACTTAGGATGTGAGTTCCTCGTCTTACATACTTTCAACGGATTGATGAATACTGAAATTGTCAAGGACTGAGGCCTCGCAGCTGGCCTACAATGTACGTCGATGATCCGCGATACCTCTCAGTTCCCTACTTCCGCGCTTACACGAAAGCCAGGTCAGCAAGGCTGCGGCGGTGCAGATGACCCGTCAATTGGCCTTTGATTTCAGCCACGACAAAATCAAGATCCGTGTGAACGGCATCGCACCAGGTATGCGCACACACCTCATGCTAAATAACACACGGAATTGCTGAGAACGATGTTTCAAGGATGGTTCCCCTCGGAGATGACCACGGGAGGTTCAGACGAAAACAACGTGAGCACCTCGCAGGAGGATTCGGCATTTCAAAAAGAGATGACTGACATCGGTGCTCGAGTGCCTCCTGGTCGCATGGGCAAAGCCGAGGATCTGGCAAGCGTAAGTGTAGACGCGACCGCTGATCCGAATTTCACTGATTTGTTGGCAAATAGGGTCTGCTCATGCTTGCGACTAACGACTACATCTGGGGTATGAATCTTGTGATTGACGGTGGCATCTTACAGAGTGTAGCTGGAAGCATCTAGTCCTTGTTTGCATCTGTTCAGGCCGCACTTCAGTGATTGTATTGTTGGAGCCGCGGTAGGCTATAGGTGAATCGATTTCTAGGATACATGCCGGCGATTTTCACAATGTAGACAGACAGCCCTTGATACAGTCGATAAATACATCTTCTTCGAACCGGAGACAGTTAACACATCTCGAAATATATCATTTGTTATCCGAGTTGCAAGAGGCCGTATGATGTACAATACGGGAAAGGTAGTTGTTACATGAACTATCTTACAGGGCGTGAACATCAAGAGCCGAAAAACCGAACGCAGATAAGCTAAGTCCTCCGCAAATTAATAGCCTGTCACTGCGACCCCATTAGGTCCAAAAGTACTTTAATTTTTACAAGTATGTGGTAGCTAGGCAAGTGGTGCTAGATGACGCAAGAAATTCTGAGACATATATAGCTGCTATATAGAAGAGCTTATACTTCACCAATTTCTATCGCTAGTAGCTCCCTCCTTGAATTGCTTCTCCCTCATCGTAGAAATGTAGATCGAAGCCCATTCTCTATCATAAAAAACTACAGTAGCGCTAGAGGGAGTTATTAAGAGGCTTCCTTCATCACAATAGCACAATGTTCTAGATTACATTGATATCAGGTCTGATACGCCAGCGCTGACATGCAATTTAAATCTTGATATGCAGGAAGATCTTAATTATATCTCAACTTCAAGTATACGAGTGCCTTTTGACAACGAGCATGTCTCTAAGACACTGCACAACTATCTCTCGCTTAGTATGCTGTAAGAATTCTACCAACTCTCAATCGACTTGAAATAGGATCTGTTCATATGATACTTAGGTACCACAATATCCCGAACTCGATAAGTCTTTATTGCGCTCTACTACACTTATGCTACAAGTCCAACAATTCATTTCGCCATGATACAAGCGAGCTATCTCTCAATAAATATGATTTTTTTCTTTTGCCACAGGGTTTTCTATAAATAATAAGTAAGAGCGATCAAACAAGCGCACATTATTTATGATGTGCATGGTCTCTTCTCATGGTCTTTCTGACAAATTCTTCAAACCCGGCAATGAACTTTCCTCCTTGGCCGGCGCGAGATTTCACTTTTCTACATCGATGTTGAGTTGTACTACCAGGTCACACGCTCGCTTTGAGTCATGTCCAGAAGATCAAGTATAATCGATGTAGAATATTCATTCTAATGAAACTCTTTCTAATGCTAGACGCCTACCAAGCGATTTTAAGACAAAACCTCGACCTAGACAACTATAGGGGGGATCTCCAAACGATTGATGCCACTGATCAACGGAGCAATCTTGCCAGCATTGATGACATTCGAGACGCCGTTAGCACCATTGAGGCCGTTGGTACCATTGACACCGTTGGTACCATTGACACCGTTGTTACCATTGGCGCCGTTGACACCATTGGTACCATTGACACCATTGGTGCTGTCGGTGGTCATCTTGTCTTTCTCGAGGAGATCGAATGCAAGGCGGGCTGCAGTCGGAAGTTTGGTCTTATCACCGCTTGCCTCAATGTCCAGCATCTCTTGAATCCAGGCAGTAATAGACCCGACCAGCCTCACCACATCGTCTTTGGTGTTATGGCCGTGCAAAGCCAGCCGCACTCGGTCTTCTCCCTTGCCAACAATCGGAAATACAACGCCGCATCCATTGAAGCCGTCCTTCGTGAGATGGAAGGAAAGATAAAGCGCGTGCCTTGGACGGCGCGTCCAGAGAGGTAAAATGTGGGTGATAGGTGTTTCATGCCATGCGCCATCCTCATGCACTGGCATATGGAGGATGCCCTTTTTGTAGGCCTTCTTGTATAATGGATGCGAGGTGAGTGTATCCAAGTAGAACACGGTGAGATCGTGCAGATAATCGCGAACCTGTGGTGAGTCAGTCTAGTAGCTTCCACGTATGATCTTAGGGTACTTACTTCTTGAAATCTCTGGGACCTCATCAGCCGGACTCCGGCGCGGCTTGACGCCAGTAAAGTAAAAGGAGGTGCAACAGAACAGATAAACACTTTGGCTTGGTTGATTAGGAGCGACCGAACCGTGTTGTTGGAAAAGATGCATGCTTTCACTGTGTCAGCACTATTCATAGAGTGGTGATTTCGCAATAATACTAACCGCCTGCACCAGCAAGTGCCTTGGTAAAGGTGCCCATAACGATAGCGACCTCTTCGACGAGACCTTGTTGTTTGACGAAGCCAGCACCCTCGGGGCCGCAGACACCGAAACTGTGGGCTTCATCGACGATGAACTGAGCGTTACCATGGGGAAAGATCTCCTTAGCGGCGTCGATGAGCTCTTTGAGAGGGCATATATCGCCATCCATACTGTAGTAGCTCTCGACAGCAACGATAACGCATCGCTTTCCCGCTTTGACTAGAGGTACCGATTCTTTGACGGCTTCCATGGTTTCGATGAAATGGTCCACGTCATTATGGCGGAAGGGCCTCTGATCCAATGCTAAGCTGACTTTCATGCCCGTAAGGGCTGTAGCGTGCATCAACTCGTCGTACACAATCACGTCGCCAGATCGTGGGACGGTGGAGAAAATGGCCTGGTTGGCGGTATATCCGGAGTGGACCACAAGCCCGGACTCGTAGCCCACGAGCTGTGCCACCTCCTTTTCGAACGCGACATGGTACTCTGTTGTTCCGTCCAAGAGTCGCGATCCACATGCACCCATATAGAAATTTGGGTTAGCCTCAAGTTCTTTCAAGAACTCCTCCCTGAGAGCGCCACTATGGCCCATTCCGAGAATATCGCAACTGGAGATATCCGTATCGTGACTGGGGAGATGGATCGGAAAGCTCAACCCGCTTTTACGTGAGAGATCCAGCTCCTCCTCAATGTTTCGATAGAATACGGAGCTGTTCTTCACGCTGGGCCCCTTGACCCTCTGAGCATCGGCCCATTCTTCTCTCCATTTTGCTCCCAGGTCTTTCGTGACTCCAGACATCTCGATTGCTGTTTCAATAAGATAATATGGCACAACTTTGTAAGCACAGCTCCAACCGGTTGGAGGAAAAATAGTGAGGTGTTTGCAACAGATGGTGGAATTTCGTGTTGCGACAATGGAGTTCTACTGCGAATAGACGCGAATCTATATACACTTGCATGTGGGAATCGATGAAACGCAATTTTGCCATTTCAAGCAGTTCGTTCCACAATCCAATTCGCGGCCTCTGCAGGTAGGGTGGGCGGGTCGTTCTACTCGGCTCGCAACGCGGATGATGCATGCAAGCAGCGCATCCAGCACGTTCAATTCGGAAGAATCGCGCTCCGATACCATACAGGAACCAGATGGCTTGAATCCCGAAACCAATGGTCCACCTCAGAAGTGCCGACGCTTCGATGTACAGTCAGTATGGCGATCTTGAGAGCAGAGGTGTGGAGAAAGGTCGGTGTCTTGGCACCATAGGTCGGAGTGGGCTTCGGGCTCAGCCGCAATCTGAGCCGCAACCTCGTCCTTGGCACTTCGCTTACCATCATTACCTATCATTCTATCGACAAGGGTAGAGGATCTATGATTCCGAACTTGTCTCTGAAACTTCCCGTGAGACTCAGCGGCTGCCCCCAAGCCACCGTTCGGATGTCCGTTCACGAGAACTGGTGGAGCATTAGCCGAATGCTTGTCGTCTGCTCTCAAGGTCCCTGCAGTATCTAGCATTTGACCGGGATTCCGGAGCTTATTGGCCGGACAGGAGAGATGCCGTCTGCTATAGTCCGTCGTACTCACTGCGGGAATCGGTGTTGTGCTTAATCGACCGAAAAACTCAGGAGTTTTAATATTATGTCTCGACCAGAGTTGCTCCGTATTGGAATCATCATACCTGGCACTCATCGACCAGACTCTCTTGCACAGACGCTCTTGACGCCAGTATTCTCTTGCAAATACGTTCTTGCCAACAATTTCCTACAAACGTTTTCAAGAACTTCATGCCATAGTTATAACCAGCAATTCTCCAGCAAGAACCTTACTCCATCGCAATAATGACGATCAACGCCACGAATGGAAACGGTGTCTCGCACACCAACGGAGTTAACGGAACTAATGGTCATATCAATGGCCATGCCAACGGTCATGCGCAAGAGAATGGCATCAATGGAAACGGCAACAACGGCTATGCAAACGGTACCTTCCACGAGAATGGTACCGATGGTGAATCACATGTTAGTGATTTGAATGGCACCGACGGCTTGCACGTCGACGGAGTGAGTGAGAAGGCTGTACCAGTGGCAATCTGCGGCATAGGCCTGCGACTTCCAGGAGGATCTTCGACACCCCAGGAGTTCTGGGAATTCCTCGTGAATAAGGGAGACGCAAGAGGTCGGGTCCCAACCTCACGTTACAACGTATCGGCATACCACGAGACTTCCAAACGGCCGACGACTGTTGCCACCGAGTATGGCTACTTCCTGGACGAGGATGTCAAGCTTAGCGAAATGGATACAACTAGGTTCTCGATGAGCCGTGCCGATGTTGAGAATGCGGATCCGCAACAACGGCGCTTGCTGGAAGTTGTCATGGAGGCGTTTGAGGACGCTGGCGAGGCCAAGTTCAGGGTATGTGTTGTATTTCCTGCTTTTCAAGGCACGAAAGAGGCCACTAACAGGCATATTCAGGGTAAGAAGATTGGATGCTACTTTGGCAACATGTGCGAAGACTGGGGCGAGATGATGACAAGGGATCCCCTTTCGCATAGCGCAAACAAGATAGATGGTTACCAAGATTGGATGCTTGCGAATCGCATCAGTTATGAATTTGGTTTGACCGGGCCAAGGTTAGCTTTAAGATTTCCGATTCTGTGGGTATTCGGCAGCTAACACTGCGAAGCATGACCATTCGCACAGCTTGTTCATCAGCTCTGATTGGCGTCAATGAGGCCTGCTCAGCCATTCAACGAGGCATCTGCGAGGCTGCCATAGTAGCCGGCAGTAACCTGATCATGGCGCCCGGAATGACGCAACAGATGACAGAGAAGGGCATCCTATCCCCCGACGGCTCATGCAAGTCTTTTTCTAGTGATGCTAATGGACTACGCGTAGAGGCGAAGCCTTCGACCGCCAGTTTTATTGAAGCCTCTCGATGCTGCTATTCCGCGACGGTAACCCGATCCGGAGCTGTGATAAGAGCAGCTGTATCAAACTCGGACGGAAAGACGCAAGGTATCACGCAGCCAAATGCAGCAGCCCATGAGAAGATGATTCGCCTAGCCTACAAGCAGGCCGGCATCACGGCAAGCACCCAACTGAATCTTGTGAGCGAGCCCAACAGCTGACAATTGCCCAGGACTTTTCTAAGACGGCATTACTTCGAATGCCACGGTACTGGCACAGCAGTCGGAGATCCCATTGAAACCGGAGCAGTGGCCAACGTGTTCGGAGACAGCGGTATTCACATCACCTCTGTGAAGCCTAATGTCGGTCACACTGAAGGCGCCTCAGGTTTGGTCTCTCTGATCAAGGCTGTTATGTCTCTGGAACATCGCACTATCCCTCCAAACATCAAGTTTAACTCTCCAAACCCGAAGATTCCGTTCAAGGAGGGGAAACTGACTGTTCCCGTGGAGCCAACACCGTTCCCGGCGGATCGCTGTGAGCGAGTGAGTGTCAACAGCTTTGGACTGGGCGGCTCAAACGCGCATGTCATTGTCGACTCAGCAAGGAGTTTCAATCTTCCCCAGCCAGCGGTGCGAGACAGCGAACGGGAGGATGATCCCCAACTGCTCCTTTTTTCGGCGGCTTCTGCGCCTTCATTAAAGTCTACGATCAATGTGTACGAGGAATGGATGTTGAAGAACCCAGACATGGCCGACAAGCTCAACGACCTGAGCTACACGCTGGCCAACAGGCGCGAGCACCTCCCTCATCGCTCTTTCAAGGTTGTGGGTGCCAACGACCCTCCGGCATCTCAGGGAAGGAAGATTCCTGGTCAGCCTGTCAGCCTGGTTATGGTGTTTACAGGCCAAGGAGCGCAATGGCCCCGTATGGGTCGCGAGCTGCTCCTACGTGACGATCTCGTCTTCCAGAAGTCCATCAGAGAAATGGACAAGCATCTCGCGGCTCTTTCTCAACCTCCACAATGGACAATCGAGGGTGAGTTACAGAAGTCGGCCAAGACATCGCGCGTTCAGCTGGCAGAGCTCTCACAGCCTTTGTGTACAGCCGTTCAGGTCGCCATGGTAGACCTCTTGGCAAGCATTGGTATTGAACCTGCAGCAGTTGTTGGCCATAGCAGTGGCGAACTCGCTGGCGCCTATGCTGCTGGCGCTCTCACCGCGAAAGAGGCTATCATCGGAGCCTACCACCGTGGACAAGCCGCCAAGCTCCAGAATAGGAAGGGTGCCATGGCCGCTGTTGGCCTCGGCTGGGACGAGGTCGAGCCGTTCCTGAACCGACCGCGCGTTGTCATTGCATGCGAGAATTCTCTGAGTAGCGTCACGCTTTCGGGTGATGCGGAGGAGGTGCAAGCCACGCTCACGCGTATCAAGGAGGCGCATCCAGATATCACGGCCCGACTACTCAAGGTTGAAAAGGCATACCACTCATACCACATGCAGGAAATTGGATCCGACTACCACGCGATGATCGAACCGCATCTGGTGGGTAGGCAGGCATCCAAACCCTTCTTCTCTAGTGTGACAGGAACTGGACAGCCGGAGCAGCGCAAGCTCGACGCCAAGTACTGGCAGCAGAATCTCGAATCGCCTGTGCTCTTCAGTCCCGCAGTGGCCGGCATACTGGAGCATTTCAAGAACCCAGCCTTCATTGAAATTGGTCCGCACGGAGCCCTCGCGGGACCGGCGCGTCAAATATTCGCCAAGGCGTCCGCCTCTCCACCATATCTATCAGCTATGGTACGAAACGAGGATTGTGTGCAGTCGTATCTTACCGCCGTTGGTAAGCTCTTTGAGCTAAACGTCCCGCTCGACTACGCAGCTGTAGCTCCCCCTGGGCAGACACTCCCAGATCTTCCACGTTATCCCTGGCACTACGACGGCGAGTTTTGGGTAGAATCTCGCATGTCAGCCGAATGGAGGAATCCCAAATTCCCCAGGCATCCTCTCCTTGGACGTCGACAGTTGGAGAGCACCAGTCTCGAGCCCAGTTGGAGGAATCTCATCAACATTGAGGACGCTCCGTGGCTTCGAGATCATCAGATCCAGGGCGCTATAATTTTCCCTGCCGCAGGTTACTTTGCGATAGCAGGCGAGGCGATACGACAGCTGAGCGGGGTGGAAAACTCTTACAGCCTCCGCCACTTGGTGCTCAACCAGGCGCTGATGATGCAGGAAGGTGTTGATACTGAGTTGGTCACGAACCTACGTCCTGTTCGCCTGACCGACTCCGAGGATAGCCAGTGGTGGGAATTCTCTATCGCATCCTACAATGGTAGCTCGTGGTCGAAGCATTGTGTCGGTCAGGTATCAGCTACTCCATCTATCGAGCCAAGCCAGGCTGATACAGTCGAGGCGCTTCCTCGGAAATTGGACAACTTCAAGGTCTTCAATACCCTGGCAAAGTCTGGAATGCAGTATGGTCCAGCCTTCCAGCGTCTGGGTAACATCAGTGCAGGTACCACGGATACCAGAGCTGTGAGCAGCATCACCAATAACCTAAATGGCGACGAGAATAAATACCACCTGCACCCCGCCATCATTGACGCGGCTCTTCAGATGGGCCTTGTAGCTGCCAGATCCGGTAAGCTCGATGCGAGCAACTGTGCGGCGATGCCTACCTTGATTGAGGAGGTGACCATCTTCAGAAGCGACCCAGAGGCAGAAATGTTCGTTGCAGCATCAACAGATATTCCAGTTGCCAGCGGTGAGATTCAAGGCTCTTTCCAAGTCGTCTCAAACGGGAAGGCGATATTGAACATGCCCAAGGCCGCCTTCACGTCCATCGAACAAGGCGATCAGGACATCGTACACAAACTCCCCATCACTGCGCGTAACATCTGGCAGCCCCATGTTGACTTTGTCAAGGCGGCATCGCTCATAGAACCCGAATTTGATGGCAAGAAGTGGACGCCACTACTGAACGAGCTGGGTGAGCTCTGCTTCATCTTCTTCCAGAGGTGCATCGAAAGCGTGAAACTGCCAGAAAATCCCACAATCCAGCGGTTCGCAGCCTGGATTGGTCGTCAGTACCTAGCTCTCGATGAAAACCACCCTGGACATGCCCTTGAAACGCTACAGATTGTGGATAGAGCCCATGCAATTGGAGAGCTTATGGCCGGCTCCCCCCTTAGCGCTTGTGCTGAATGTATCCTTGAGGTTGGCGGGAACATTACCGAGCTGTTTACCGGCGAAAAGACCATCCTCGAGGTTCTCTCACAAGATGATCTTCTTACAAGGCTTTTCGCTACCGCCAACGTCACCAAAAAGACGGCTTTCCTCCGAAGCTTGGCGCACGCCAGGCCTAGTCTTCGTATTCTGGAGATTGGTGGCAGCACGGGACAGTCGACCTCCTCACTGATAAGAGACCTGAGTCTTTCTCATGGCGCCTCCCTCTACCAAAGTTACACCTTCACTGATCCATCGCCGACAGCCGTTGCGGACGCAAAGAAGCAGCTTCAGGGCGCGGACCGCATAGAATTCCGCGTGCTAGACATTGCCACGGACCCGACAGAGCAGGGATTCAACGAAGACGACAAGTTCGACTTGGTCGTCGCGACGAACTATGTTCATGCCACCCCAAGTCTGTGTGGTTCCCTAGCCAATATCCGTAAGCTGCTGGCTCCCGGTGGGCGACTTCTCCTGCAGGAGATCAGCATGGAGACCAAGTGGGTCAACTGCATCCTGGGCTTCCTTGATGATTGGTGGGTCGGTGTGAACGACGGGCGGCCCGATGAGCCCTACGTTACTCCGGAGCGCTGGGAGGACGAGCTGAAGCGCGCTGGCTTCGCTGCACCAGACGTAGTGCTCGACTCCCCTGCGCCGTATCATTCAAGCGTCGTGTTCATCGCGAGACCCGAAGAAGACATCAAGGGAGCCGTCAAGAAGAATGTGACTGTGGTGTCCTATTCTCAAGACGGGAAGAACGTCGATGCCGTGAGCCAGAAGCTTGAAAGCCGAGGCTACACCGTCAGCAAGTGTTCCTTCGGTGATGATTTGCCGCGAGAGTCTCAGGATGTCATCAGTCTGCTGGATGAAGACAGTCCCTTCTTTGAAGATATTGATGAGAAACGCTTCCAGACTTTGCAAAGGCTCATTGCCAGCATTGGCGAGAGAGGCCTGTTTTGGATTACCCGTCCGTCTCAGATGCAGTCCTACGACCCGCGATACGCGACAGTCATCGGCGCGATCCGCTCTATTAGTGTTGAAGACACTATTGACTTTGGCACCTGCGAGGTTCAAGACGTGAGCAAATCACTCGACGAAGTCGTTGATGCCTTCACCCACTTCCAAAATGGACAAGAAGACGACTTCTTTAGGCCCAACTATGAGTATGCGATCGTTAACGGCACCATCAATGTACCTCGCTATTACCCCTTCACCTTTGATGACGATCGCGTCACCAGCCGTGCCGCACAGGAGCATGTGTCTCTAGTAGCCGAAAAACCAGGACGCCTGGGATCTCTGGCTTGGGTATCGCGTCGATCTGAGCCTCTTATTGGAGACCAGGTCGATATCGAGGTCTTCCACGCTGTAGTCAGCTCCAAAGTACGTTGCCTCCAGCTGCGTCGAATTTGCGTAGACAGTGTACTAACTCTACTCGTAGGATGTCGCCGGGATCATGGGCAATAGCTCTTACCCTGCTGGAGGTCTCGGTATCAGTGCCAGTGGCAGGATATCCGCCCTCGGACCTGAAGTCAAGGGCTTTGCGGTGGGCGACCGTGTCATTGGTCTCGGCTCTGGCAGTCTCTCTTCGCACCTTCGCACATCAGAGACGCTGGCCGAAAAGATCCCTGACAATACGCCATTTGAAGAGGCAGCCACTTTGCCTTTTGCCTTCGGAACAGCTCTTGCAGCCCTACAAAGTGCTGGGAACCTGCAGACTGGCCAGGTAAACACCCCAATCTTCTTCGGTTGCTTAAACATGAGAGACAAAGTGTAGAAAACCAGCTAACACTTTTCATAGTCCATTCTGATCCATAATGCCACTGGAGATGTCGGCCTCGCCGCCTTGCAGCTTGCGAAGAGGTCCGGGGCGAAGGTCTACGCGACTGTCAGCACCGAGGCGGAAGCTGAATACCTTGTCAAGGACTTTGATCTTCCAAGGACTCGTATCTTCTGGTCCACGGATGACAGCTTTTTGAAAGACATCCTACAAGCAACAGGTGGAGAGGGAGTTGACATTGCTCTGAACTCACTGTCTGGCGACCTCTTACACGCAACCTGGAAGTCTGTGGCCGAATTCGGTAAGATGATTGAACTCGGCACAACAGATCTTGCCGGTGCTGGTAAGTTGGACCTGAACTCCTTCCTGGGGAGTAGAAGCTACACTAGCATCAACCTGGAGGCTCTCGTAGCCAAGAAACGGTCCGTTGTTAAAGCGTAAGTGAACCCGCCATGATCACCTGATGCCGTTAGACTGATGACTGACAATTTGTAATTTAGACTGCTCCAATCAACTGTGAACCTGTTGAGGTGGGGTAACATTGTGCCACTGTCCCCTCGGACAGTGTACGAGGCCTCAAGAGTAGAGGATGCTGTCAAGCACGTGCAAGAAAACAAGGACTCAAGCAACGTCCTCCTTCAGCTCAGAGATGTCGATAGCAAGCTCAAGATCAGCACAGATTCCATCAAAGTTGCCGATGACAGATTCACGGTCGACAAGAGCGCATCTTACCTACTCGCCGGAGGCTTGGGTGGTATCGGAGCCGTCATCGCTCGGCATCTTGTCGAGAACGGCGCACGCCGCCTTGTGTGTCTTTCGCGAAACCCTGGATCACGCCCTGAAGACCTGGAAACCATCAGGGAGTTTGAAAGCATGGGCTGTGAAGTGGTGCTTGTCAAAGGCGACATGGTGAACCGAGACGACATCTTCCGCGCAGTCGCGCAGGCGCCCAACCTGAAGGGTATCCTGCATTCGCCCATGCTTCTTCAAGATGAGGCGTTCAGGAACATGAAGGTGGAACAGTGGATCAAGGCCACGGGCCCCAAGGTGAAGGGAGCTTGGTATCTGCACGAAGCTACAGTGGAAGCTGGTATCAAGCTCGACTTCTTCGTATTCCTGTCCTCCATGTCGAGCGTTACAGGACAGCCTGGTCAGGCGAATTACGCCGGCGCGAACACTTTCTTGGACGCCTTCGCGCTATGGCGCAACAGCAATGGGCTAGCGGCGTCCGCCATCGACATTGGTGCCGTTGCCGACATGGGATACGCTGCTCGTGACCAGCAATTGCTGACAAGGCTCATGAATAATGGCTACTCTGGTGTGACGGAGTCGGAGATGATTGAGGCATTCCGTGCGGCAGCATCCTACACCGTGCCCGAGCTGAACATTGATACCAAGAGGGTTCCGTTCAGTCACAAGAACACTTTTGCCACTGGGTTTAGCTCGGACAAGTCACTTAAACACCCTGAAAGTCGTACGCACTGGAAGAAAGACATTCGGATGGCCATCTGGCATAACATCAACGACGGGGACGTCGGTAATTCGGGCGAGGGCGGCGATAGCTTCAAGGCTTTCCTCGCCGCGGCCAAGAGCGATCCTGAAATACTCGGCAAGCCTGAGACACCCGCCTATATTGCGCTTGAGGTTGGAAAGCAATTGATGAAATTGCTTCTGAGACCCGACGACGAGCTTGATATCACCCTCCCTGTCCAACAACTTGGTCTGGACTCGCTGATCGGTATCGAGTTGCGAAATTGGTGGAGACTGACTTTCGGGTTTGACATTAGTGTGCTTCAACTTCTAGGTTTCGGTACCCTGGAGGAGCTTGGCAAACAGGCTGTTAAAGGATTGACAAAGACTGATAACTGACGACAGCTGGATCCTAGATTTGTTTTCGGTTCAATGTAGATGTGTGGTTTTCTTTCCGTTGTATAGAATAGTGTATTTGGTAGTTTCTCACGTAATTTCTTTCGTAACAAATCGAATTGACATTGCTACTTCACTTAAATTCTGGCCGCGATTTCGTTCTCCCTAGTCGCAAGGACTATCAAAGTCCGTCGTTTAAGCTGCCACCGAAGTTGCGGATGCGCAGCTGCATTGCTTTAGTCGCTGACATGGTACAGGGCAAGTGTACCTTTATGCGTCGGCGCGAATGAAAGGGAGGGGAGGCTTCGGCGAAATGTTTGGTGCCTAATTCTGCCGACGGTAGCATCACGTGATAGTTTCACTAACATACATACACGCATGTTACATACCTAGTCCAATTCGATTAACAAACACGACTGAATGCTCCTACTGCGCAGCACTAAGTGTTGATTCGGGAAGAGACGTCCAGCACACCGCATGAGAGAAGCATCGATAGGACACTTCGCGCACTTTCAAATAATTGTGTAACTTCAAGTCCTGCGGTAGAGATCGTAACACTCGGTTACCATCGGTACTTCTCCTGCGGTAAGCCACATGTAGCGACGAGAAATACGCTGGCACTTGTTGGGACGAGGCAACGCCGCATTCCTGGTAGCAATCCATCCCAGTGGTCAACGAGATATCATCCCACGCATCGCGGCGTAGTACGCGGCGTAGTATGCCTCGATCCGGCGCTAATTTGATTATTAATTACAGCTCAATCTGTGACAACCTCTCGGGGCCCCGGAACAAAAGGCCGACCACCGCCAAGGCTGGCCAAGGTAAGCTAATTTATGTCACCCAACCATTGCTTACGAAACCAGTCAGCCAGGTGCAGATGGTCTTTAAGAAGATGCTAGGCAGCTGGGTTCTGACGGTACAACGTCGTTCACCCCTACCACGCACCATTCCAACTGCAACATCATCACCACCATCATGGACTTACTTGGCAGGACCGCCAGCACCCATCATATTCATTACGTCGAGTTGCAGCCTAGACCGCATGAAGTCAATATGCGTCATCCCTCTGAGGATTGGGCTGGGATAACGGATCAGAAGGAGCGAAAGAGGCTGCAGAATAGACTGAACAAGCGAGTCTCAAGACAGAGAAAGAGAAATCCCAGCGACGACGAAAACATCTCCGATGCCGTATCCTTGGCAGCCGTGTCCTCCAACGCCTCGTCTCCCGATACGTTCTCCTCCGGCGCCGTTCTATCGCCATCCGGCATTGCTTCGGCATTCAGTCATTTATCAAAGGAGGATGCTGCGCGTGCCCGGGCCATGCTCGAACGGTTCGCCGAGCAAGCTTTGATGAGCTACGCGCGGGGCGATCCCTCTGCCGATCATTACTTAAAACTGATACAGCTCAACACCATCAACGCATTTACAAGTAACGCCGCTGCGCTGGGTTACCGATTTGACTGGCTCGTTTGCGAATCCATCTCTCCTTTTGGCTACGACGGGCACAGCCATCACTCCGTGTCTCCGATTGCGGCTACTGTGCCGAGTAGTCTTGCCCCGACGCACCTGCAGTTGACAACGAAGCACCACCCGTGGCTTGACCTATTCCCCCTTCCGAAACTGCGGGACAACGCCTTGATAGCTGTAAGTGTTTTGTCGCCAGCCGACGAGCAACGCTTTTTCGAAGACGTCATGGAATCGGATGGAAAGAACGAATGGACTGGGCTCTTGGTATGGGGAGAGGCGTGGGATCCGCAAAATTGGGAAGTCAGCATTCCTTTCCTCCACAGATGGCCTTGGCTCATAAGAGGGTGCCCGGAGCTTATAATTTCTACAAACCGCTGGCGGCGTCGGCGAGGTGAAAGGCCAATATCGGCTCCGGGCTTTGTGCTAGAGGAGTCTTAGTACGACACGACAGGCAGTGGAGTCCATGTACGATCAATAAACGCATGATTCAAATGTCGGAAATTATCACCAGCATTTGCAAGATAATCGCGGATGCAATCACGCCATCCCGCAACCGTCTGAATCGGCTGCATGACAAATCAGCAGACCAGGAACGGTCAGATTTCTCCATTCAACACTGCACTCCAATCCTCGCCTCGGAAGTATTCATCCAAAGAGGTCGTTTCGATACGCAGCTCTGCCGGGGTTTTGACCTTGGGATTTCCACCTGCATACCCGTACTCTGCGAAAAACCGGACCATGTCCACCAACATGTTCTCCATCCCTTCGGGAATGTACTTTACGTACTCCTCCTCAGAGACGTCTCTTACTGTCGCTTTGACTCCAAGCGTGCGACCCCAGAGAGCTGCGTAGTCTGGCTTGGTGATTATTTCACTAGCGCCCAGGGCGTCGGTGCCAGCCGGATGATGAAGAACCAGCGCCTCCACAAACTTGCCTGTATCGCGGGTCGCAACAACCTCGGGATTCTCCAGGTGCGGGCCAGAAGTTTTGAGACGCACGTATTCAAACGTGCCATCTGGCTGCTTGCGCGGTCTGAAAGCGGGTATCTCACGCCAGGTCTCTTGGAAAATACCGAGAGTTACGGTGCTCAGCCTCGAACGCAGCTCGGGAAGTTCATCCCGTATGTAACGCTCGGCACTGGCCTTGGAGTCGAACTCGTACGCATGCTTGTACTTGCCACCGCTGATTCGCTGCACTGCGGCCAGTGTAGAAAAGATGAATTTCTCCAGGGTGGAGAGGACTTTGCTGTCGGAGGCCGCCGTCGCTATGTTGATGCCTTGTCGCCTTTCCAGGTCCCCTGCGTATTCCTCGACTGACATCCCTGCTGCCTTCGCCTTCTCCTGCAGAGCCTTGTCCTCGGTGACTTGGGAGTAGCAGCCAGCCCAGTCAGTGACGGCAAAGATGGCATGAGTGCCTCGGAAAGCGATCCTGAGTGATTCCAAGTCATCGTGATCACCTTTGACGATTTCGACACCTTTGCTCGCCCATTCCCTGGCCTTGGCGGAGCCAGGATTACGCGTTAGTCCGCGTACGCGCCATTCGGCATGGGAGAGGAATCGGCCAGCGACAGAGCCGCCCTGAAACACATGTCAGTATCCGCATAGCCCATGACGGGGTGTAGCGACAAGTTGTTCAACATACCTGCGTCCCGGTAATGCCAAGAACAGTAATGAGCTTTTTTGTCATGACGGTCTTGTTTGAGCACTTCTGGCAGTTTGTCTTTTTCTGAAAGTGAGAATGGTCTATTTATCTACGGTGGACGAAACTGAACACCATTGCGGCACGGTACTGAATGGTCTTGGGTGATGGATCTGACCGTTGATCATTGGCCAGATAGGCGAACCAACACCGCGATTCTGCAATCGGCTGACACTATGTACAGATCGTATCATAAAGACTGTGCTGCCATGTACGTGGATGATACCGGCTCCACTTGCCTTGATGCACGCGGTGGCATTGTACAAGTCTAGTCTACGGATACAGGGAACCTTGTCCTTGCCTAGTCTATGCACGATACACGCGGTGTTCTCTGAACTACATGACCCGTCGTTACGATGCATGTAGCTGACATCAAGTGCAGTACCCGAGTCAGTCCCCACAGTGCCGCTCCTAGACTAGTTTAGTATCCCTTGGCATGCATTGCAGTACGAATGTGAAGTAATATGGCCCGCTTCGGAAGGGCGGCAGCGGCCCGGCCCATGCTATGATCGGTCGCAAGTTGTAGCATTTTCGAGAGGAGAGGGGCATCTAGTCTGGTGAACACGTGGGGACAGAGATCATGAAGAACCGAAAGATCCATCTTCCCCGCAGGGTCCACGCAAGCTTTTCGACAAGTGTTTTTCAACGGTGTAGATAGGCAACGAGCCATGTGGATAAGGAACGCAAGATGGTAGGTTGTAACGACGTGCGACTGCACCTCTTGCGTGCGCCTGGGACTGCCTGATGCGACAGATCGGCCAATTATGTGAACGTTTAATGGCCGATAACTTATGTCGTACGACCTTTAAATGCCATGATCACGTGGAGTCGTACTCGTCGATGCGCAAGTCGACGGTGCGGAAAGATCCTACCGCGGTTTCTCAGACATCCTGCATGAGTCAAGTAAATAGAGCTGAAACAGTAAGGGTACTGTGTATACGCCGCTCCGGCCCCAATCGTCTGGTGATCGAGTAAATCGTGCATGATTCCCAACACACCAACCGAGAATACGCCTCAGGCTAACAGAAAAGGGGCAGTTGGTAAGTACCGCACCGGCGATCCAAGCAAAGAATCTCGGGGATCCCTTCAACAGATCTGAGAGCATATGTATGTATCCAAAACACTACTCTCATCTCGTACCTAGGCAGCCGAGCGTGGCTTTCGGGCCTTACATGGTGGCTTTTGGGCCTTGCATGCCCTCGCGATCGTTCGGGGGTGCAAAGCTGGAGAGGAACGGTCGTGTTACGCCTCCGACGTACGGTGTATCTTGGCAGTAATTGCGCAAGACGATGATCTCACGTATGTATATAGCTGACTGGTCAACGCTTAAATTTTATTGAGTGACACAGCCGTAGCTCTTCGCCCTACTCGTACCCACCCTTTCGGAAATCACTACGAAGAAATCCCCGCTGGCTTTCCATCCCAGATACAGATCACCCCACAATTATCCAATCATCAAGAAGCTGCAGACATCTTTTCTTAGTCGTTGGTTCAGTTGCAGCCATGCCACCCCCATCCGGTATCAGGCTCCGCGACAGCTGTCAAGCTTGTGCCATTTCCAAGACCAAATGTTCCAAGGACAAGCCTCAATGCACAAGATGTGCGAAAAGGAATACACCGTGCCAATATCTGGTCACGCAAAGGACTGGTAGAAAGGCTGTCTCTCGAAGTGACTCGAAAGACGAGACGACACCAATAGCCAGTCTCAGTCCCACAACAACGCCTGAGCAACCCGCAATACTGTCGCCTCTGGAGAGGAGGCAGTCAGGACCTGACTTTTCAATGTTAAACTCACGACTTGACGCACTTGAAGCAGCGATGCTGCCTGCGAGCACTGATGCCTGCTTCTCAATGCTCTTAACGGATTTGGACTTCTCCACGCCTGTCCAATCCTACAACACCGCTGTAGACTCCGACATACCACATGCGTACACGCTGGGCACATCGCACGGCGGGTCTCACGAGATGACGTACGAAAGTTGCCATGCAGGCTTACATGCAGGCCACTCTCTCTCCAGCCATGATCTGTGCGCGCAAGACGGGACGCAAGCAACCTTCGCTAGCGCGCCCTTGCCCAACGAGCAGCTCTTCCAGGAGCTCGGTAACTCGCAGATCTTCACTTTGTCGCAGCAGCAGGAGGGTATCAAGACAGCTCTGCAGCTAATGGGCACGCTCTGCTGCCCCGAAGACCACCCTCCGTATGCGAGCCTGTCGCCTCTGGAGCGCGAGATATCCGCCACCACGCTTATGGACAGGTGCAGGAAGGTGACAAGGACTGTCAGCGACATGCTGCAGTCGGACAGCTCCAAGGACGGCTACTTCTTGGCCGTCGTCTGCCTGCTCATGTCCAAGGTGCTGGACGCCTACGTCTGCGCGTCACAGGCCCTGAGTATCCCGGAAGTAGACGAACTGAGAATGTCGCTCTCGTCTTCGTCATCGACCGCTGCATCGGAGTCGTCCCGCAGCAGTGTCTCTCTAGCAGCGGGCGGAGGGGACCAGAAAGCCGTCCAGCAACTGCTAGACGAGCTGTATCAAGTGCGGGCCTCTATGGACCTCTTGGGCGCCAAGATTATATCCATGTCGTCGAGTCGGGATGGCATGGCGGGCGGCAGTCTCACACCTTCATACTACGAGACGCTCGCGGCGACGTTGCCTTTTTCAGCGGAGATTTTGAACCAGCTATATAACGAGCAACGACGGCGTTTGAAGACGGTTTCTCTTCAGCTGATTAATAATTTACGGGCGTTTTGGGTAGAGGAGCATGTGTTTTAGCTGTACGGTGGGTCACGATTTCAAGATGTAGACTCTGGAGAAAAAAAAAAGAGGTGAGCCTTTTTCATAGACGATATAGAGTAGAGATCGTTGGGCTTTTATAATGTTAGAGTAGTTGCGAATGAATACTAATATACGTTCTGTAAGTACTACTTCTTTGGCTCTCTTTATGTGCTAGAGAAAATTTACCGAAAAGACGATTACTTGCAGTTTCTTGCGTGGGCCCATCTATCTGGCCTTTCGATCTAACGTTGCAACCTAACTGTTCCGAGACCTTGCACCGTCGAGAGTAGCATCTGAATCAGCCCCCATCTGCGAGCGTCTGAAATAGCACAAGCGGTGGTGATATCGTCCTGGGCATAGGAGGATCGAACTGCTATCAACCCACGTGAGAAGGGAACTGATCCCAATGAGGATCACAAATTTGTCAACAATCAAGTCAAATCAATCAAGCAGCACCCTCTGCCTAACCTCAATTTGATACTTCAGACCCTGTAGTTTAATTTAATTAATTTAAGTTTGATTAGCTTGTGTCAAGCTGACTGATAATATATACTATTCTGTACACATGATCGATGTTCATCGATCACTGTTACCTTTTTAGCATGCTGGCGCAGTGGGTGCAGACGTGCGTTTTAACAGATTGCAAGCTAAATACGCTAAAGAGCTAAAATGCTAAAAGAAGACCTTAGAAGGTGCTACCTCTGCTAAGATAAGTCTTCCTAAGCTAAGACCTAAGAGAATACTGAGCTAAGGCTCCTAAGGTTGAGCTTAACCTTCACGCAGCTATAGATTCTTTCTCTTCCTTTCTTAAATTAAGCAGGCAGAGCATGCTTGCTTGCTGCTTAACTTGATTCCTAGGCTTCTCTGCTTATCTTGTTTAGCTTAATAAAAGTATAAAGAAACAAGCAAATTAATTAAGCGGCTTGATTGTTGCCAAGTTTGCAGGATCAGGCCGTGAAACCCATTCAAACTAACCCAGACATCACTGCTCCGGGACAAAACTCCTACTCTCGGGGCTCACCTCTCGGAGCTGTACATGGCGACCAATACCCCGTGCATATCCAAATCGATACGGCTGCAGAGCCATGTGTCAGCTTTCAGGTCAATTCAACACTCCCTTTAGGAACGCCCCTCCTACTCAACAACCTCATCGCAAAGAACTGCATAATCGGCATCATCTCCTCACGATTCGTCATCATGCCATCCCCATTCCTCTTCCAATCCTTCACCTCAACATACTCAAAAGCGTCTTTCAGCTTCGACACCGCACTGTCCGTGACCTTGGAGCCCCTCGACGCTCTACACACCAACACCGGCGTCTTGCACTTCTTCTCCAGCGCCTTCAAGGGCAGCGAGTGCGACAGCCCACCCCCAATACTGACGACGCCGCCCAACTCGCTTCCCTCGAATTCAGCTGCAACTTGCAGCCCCGCCATGCCCCCCTGCGCAAACCCAAAGATCACAATCTCGCGCGCCTTGTACCCGCATTTCTCCATCAAGACATCGCGAATCACGCGATCCAATATCAGCCGCGTTGCACCCTTGAATCCAGTGTCCATGTCCAGTTCGCCATTGCTCTGGTCCATGACTAGATCGTCGCCCCACTGATACCCGCCGACGTCGAGGAGCAGGCCATTTGGAGCTTGGAGGGCGATACACGCTGTTTCGGGCAGGTTTAGCTGCTGGCCGAGTTTTGCAAAGGGGGCGTGCGTGTCGCCCAGGCCGTGCAGGAGGATGAGGATGTTGGTGGGGGGTTGCGACGTGGGGGCTGAGGCGTGTCAGCGAAGGCGAGTGGACATAGCGAGAAGGTTTACGCACGCGGGACGATGTCTAGGACGATGGAGGCGGGGAAGTCGGAGTTTTTGGGTAGGCGGCCAGGCATGTTGACGAGGTGTGGGTTGTGGTGGTGCACATGTGGGCATGGTGAGGTGCTGTGGTGACGTTCCTGGGTGGACCCGATCTCAGGATGTTCGCGGGAGATCGCCAAGCGACGCGGCTTTTTGGCTACAACTCATCACTAGGCACGCACTGTGCGGTTCTAAGAGGTTGAGGCATCGCATTTGACGGATTGGGCTGTGTATTGGAGCTGGGTGTAATGTTGGACCATCGTCGAAGTGACAGATGTCTCGAGGAAAGCAAAAGCAAGGTACCTACAGACCGTCGCACGCCCGCAGCTAAGCTTTCTCTAAAAGCTTGGAAAGCTTAATTAGCTCACGGCCGACTACCGTTTCAACGCCGGTGGATTACGCATGCATCTAGACCTCATCCAGGCTTGCCGGCCGCCAGCACGACGCATTCGTCCAATCGAGAGACCACGCTTCTCCGTCAATATGTCATGAGGCGCAGGCATAAGCGCAATGCCTGCAAATGCCTCACTCCCTGTGCCACAATTGGACCCTTGATGGCTGAAAGCTTCACATGCATCAGAGGGGTACGATGAAGCCCTTTGCAATGATTCGCTCAAATGCGCGGGCTACTGCAAGTACAGCTCCGGCGTGACGAATGCATCATGCAGGGCTCCTGGCGGACACGAAGGTACTTAATGGAGTGATCCGCCGGTTTGTACCTCATCACAGCAACATCCATTCACCATCCAACACCTGTAGTGCCACCAACAACAACTCACACAAGCATCCACAATGGGTTTCTGGGGTAGGTGACGCTCCGAACCAGCATCTCTCGAGTCGTGCTCAACAGTCCGCAGATAAGAACGAAGACAAGTACCAGCAGGTGTACGAGAACGACAACTTTGAGGAGAACAAGTCGAGCTTCGGACATGAATTGATTGCCGGAGGAGCTGCCTTTGCTGGTTTCAAAGCGTTCGAGGACCATCAGCGCAAGGAGGGTTCGTGCATCCCCCGCCCAACCTGGCACACTCTATACTGACAATCATGACTAGGCAAGCCCGTTTCCCACCAGTTCGCCAAAGAGCTCCTTGCCGGCTTCGCAGGTGCCGAAGTCGACAAGCTCGTGAGTCCGATCGCACCCTCAGACACACAGCACACTGACACCAAGGCAGGCCGAGACAAAGGGCGAGGACTGGTTCGACCGCGAGAAGGCTCAGCATGAGGCTAAAAAGCAAGCCGAGCACATGTACGACGAGCACTACGTGAACGGCCAGGGTGCGAACCAGTATGATCCCAACCAGTACGGGCGCCCTGAGCACTTTGACAGGCGCGGCTGGTAAGCGAAGTCTGTACCGGGTTAGATTTCATCTAGAAGGGGGCAGCTTCGAAAGGAACAATGAAATATGTACAAACATCCCGACGACGATGGTGTAACAACGTGATGCTTGTGAAGGGTGATGATGCTAGCCTTGGTCGCAGATGTGATGATGAGAGCCGTGCGCTAGTCCTAAGTGGATGGCACTCGTGGGGCCGGTTTGTCTCGAACCGGCGATGCCGCGATATGTTTCCACTGGGTTGCACACTTGCACAAGGAATTTCGGAGGTGTCTGGAGCATCCTCGTTTCCCCCCTTCACTCTTCTTTACGTCTGAAGAAGGTCGAGATGAGGTGGGGCAGCAATGACGTACTAAAAGGCTTGACTCGCGCCAAGTCGAGACATGATTCGTGAATTTGCGGAAATCCATGTTCGAATGCCAACGCTGCGAAGCCGTTACACTGTGGTTCGCACTCTGACACTCACGTTGGTGCTTTGGGGCCGTTTAAAGACGGGCCTCACGCTCATATCGCGATAGCCAGCAACTGTCGCGCCGCCCTATCTCTCCTTACCGCCATTGCGCGACGCCCTCCCTTGACGCGTCGCAGTCGCCATCATGAAGTTTGCCAAGTAAGATCGCCGCGGGACAACTCGCAGGTGATGAACAGAAGGCTTACCTGCACAGAGAGCTCGAGCGCGACTTGGTACCTGAATGGCGGGCAAAGTACCTGGACTACAAGGTTCGTAGCTTGCGACATGTGGCCTAGGCCTGGCGCAGCGACTAACGCCGCTGCAGACAGGCAAGAAGAAGCTCAAGGCCATCAACCGCGCCCTCCGCACCGTACACCAGACGCCCCGCTTCCGCAAACGTGGCACCAATGCCTTCGAACCCTCGCCGTTTGACGCTGCGCCCAAGTACACGTACATCAACCGGAACTACAACGGACGAGAAGCAACCCTCGGCTCGCGAGACCCCGACGACCTGCGCGCGCTTGCCATCACAAACAGCCAGAACAGCGTCAAGGACAAGGACAAGTCCAATGGCGGGAAGGAGTCGGTTCCAGCAGCACGGCCCTCTCGCTCGCCCGAAGAGGAGCCGTTGGCCAAATGGTCAGGCTTTCGAGCGGGCACCAGCTACGGTAGCATCGTGGGCAGTCCTCCGGATGAAGATCCCTTGACGAATCGAGGACGGGCGCCTCCTTCGCTGAAGCTTCCAGGCGCAGCTCTGGATCCGAATGAGTCGACTCCAAGTGTTGGACCATCGTTGCAAAGACCAAAGACAGCCGGCGTAGCACCCCCAGCTGCACCAGACACAGACAATGCATTCGAGATTGGGAAGACGAGGTCGCCGCACAGCAGGCATGCTTCACTACCAGCGCGCTACAGGAGTGTCTTCAGCCCCATGCGAATGAACTCGGATGCCGGACCCATCACCCAGACAAAGTCCCGACCATCTGTACGACGACTCTTTTCTATGAACAGCAAGACGCCGCCAATGAGTCCTGGCGACGTTCCTCTTGAAGCCTATCGCGATCTCGATCTCCGACAAGCCGAATTCTTCAACTTTCTTGACCTTGAACTAGAGAAGATTGAGGCCTTCTATAAAGAGAAGGAGGAGGAAGCAACGAAGCGTCTGGCAGTACTCCGAGACCAGCTCCACATCATGCGCGACCGTCGTATTGACGAGGTCATCCACCGCCAGACGGCCAAGATAAAGGCAAAGAACAAAAAGCATCATAGTGGTGGACACCTGCTCGGCCACAGCCACGCCAGCAGCTCTGGTGACGAGAACTCGGACGACACGAAAACGAACGGGGAATCACTCAATGCCTCGTGGCTAAATCCAATTGATGCCGCGCTGGAAGCCATCAATGCTGGAAAGTATGGCAAGAGTACGAAGGAGATTACCCAGCTCGCGACCCCCGCTGCACTGAAGCCCCAGGACTACCTAGAAGGACGTAGCGACTTTGTGCGGCGTCCAGACTTCCCCGATGTGCCCTACCAATCAGCCAAACGTAAGCTCAAGACTGCCCTCCAAGAGTACTATCGAGGTCTCGAGTTGCTCAAATCGTACGCCTTACTCAACCGCACGGCATTCCGCAAGATCAACAAGAAGTACGACAAGACAGTCAACGCCCGCCCGTCGAGTAAATACATGACCGAAAAGGTCAACAAAGCCTGGTTCGTGAACAGCGATGTCATCGAAGGACACATTCGGGCCGTTGAGGATCTGTACGCTAGATACTTCGAGCAAGGCAACCACAAAGTCGCGGTTGGCAAGCTGCGCATCAAGATCGCCAGAGCCGGTGATTACACAGACAACACGTTCCGCAACGGCATTCTCCTGGCCGCGGGTGTTATACTCGGCGTGCAAGGTCTTGTGAAAGCGACCGAGATCGCGTCATTACAGGATCCAGAACGCAATGCATTTTCGCTTAATACAAGCTATCTTCTGCAGGTATGTTGGTCAACTAATATCACAGAAGCAAGCTGACACGAGGCAGATCTATGCTGGCTACTTCCTCGCCAACTTCCTTCTTCTCCTATTCTGCTTAGCATGCCGCGTTTGGCATGAAACTAAGATCAACTATGTTTTCATCTTCGAATACGATACCCGCCACTTTCTCGATTGGAGGCAACTTTCTGAAGTATGTATACCGTGCTCATGTCCCGCACACTCGCTCACATGAATAGCTTCCTTGTTGGTGCCTTTTCTTCCTCGGCTTGATCATGTACCTCAACTTTCACCAAGTTGGTGGCGAACACGTCTTTTTGTACTACCCTGTTATTCTCATTGGCATGTCCGTTGCCGTCTTGTTCAATCCGATGAAGATATTCTACTTTCGGACTAGAATGTGGTTGTTGTACAGCTTGGTAAGCATATGTGTATGGAAATGCATTGGAGTCGCTAACGATTCTCTTAGTGGCGCCTGTTACTTGCTGGTATTTACCCTGTCGAGTGGCGAGACTTCTACCTTGGCGACATGTTTTGCTCTCTGACATACACCATGGGTGTGAGTGCTGTCTCTGGACCTGCCTAACTCTTGCTAACGTGGCTCAGAATATTGCAACCCTCTTCTGTCTTTACTCGCGTAGTTGGAACAATCCTGGTTCTTGTAACTCGTCGCACCTGCGCGTAGTGGGCTTCCTGACTGCACTCCCTGGAATATGGCGCGCCCTGCAATGTATTCGCCGCTACGCCGACACTGGAAACAAATTCCCTCACTTGCTCAATTGCGGAAAGTACTTTGCTACTATCATGTTCTACGCCACACTCAGCATCTACCGCATAGATCAAAAGCCTGCTACTAGAGCTGCATTCATCACGTTCGCTACCATCAACAGTATATACACCAGCTTTTGGGATATCTACTACGACTGGAGTCTAGGCGACCCGCATGCCAAGCACCGGTTCTTGCGTAAAGAACTTGGCTACAAGAAGGTCTGGTGGTACTATACAGCGATACTGATCGACCCCATCCTCCGCTTCAACTGGGTCATGTACACTGTCATCCCCCTCCAACTCCAACACTCCGCCGTAACATCCTTCTGCGTGTCCCTTAGCGAAATCTTCAGACGAGGCATGTGGTCTCTCTTCCGCGTCGAAAACGAACACTGCACCAACGTCGGCCGCTTCCGCGCTAGCCGCGACGTCCCACTCCCCTATGAAGTCCCTCCAAGCCCGCACGTCCGGGACCGCGCACGCCACATCCAGCGCGGCGAGCGCCTCGACGAAGAACAACCCCCCACGCCCACACAACCTACCGCATCTACATCCAGCGCGCAACTCCACCTCGAGCGCACACGATCCTCAGCCCGTCAGCGCCGCCCGATACAAGATGATTTCCGCCCCTCGCCGCTCCAGCGTGCTATTACGTCCGTCGGCGACATGCTGCGTGACGCGCACGCCGAGGACTTTGAACGGAAAAGGAAACCAGAGTTGGGTCGGGATCCGCGGAATACGAAGGTTGAGGAGGACGACGACAGCGATGACGAGAGTGAGGGCGAAGAGAGGGATAGTGATGGCGACGTGGAGGACATGGATGATGAGCAGGAGAGTGCGCTGAGTCGGATCAGAGAAGATTTAGAGGTTGGGATGAGTGGGAGTGGGGGGAGGAGTCGGTAGTGTAGTGTAGGAATGCAAGATTGTCACGATTGATTAGTGGAATGCTTTTGTGACGCTAGCCTTTGGTGTGAGTAAAAGCTTGTGGTGGCGCGGCGATGCATCTTTGTACCAGCAAACACGTCCAAACGAGATACACACTGACGCCACGTAACTAGCGAAAGGCACACTCGTTGATCGTATCCTTGGTCCGCATCCGCACTTGCACCTCCATTCTCATAGGATGAGCATTCTTAGCAATTGCTCGACATCACACAGCCTCGCTGTGGCGGCAATCAAGCAGTGACGTAGCTTCCGGTCGTACGCCTCGCTCATCTCAAGGCAGAGAGATGTGGTATTTGAAGGGCAGTGCAGAGTTGCTCAGATACAGAGGGAGGGACTTTGGGGCTTGGGGGAGTGGCTACAGATGAAGGTATATGTACTATGCGTTGTACATATGTTGAGTGCATAAGGGCTGATTCGATTGAATGTCAACGCAGCTTAGATATTTGTCGAAGCACAAATCGGGCTCTTGTTGTTCGAGGTGGTTGATATCTACCCGCGACAATTTAATATCAAGTTTTGGGTGCATGCTATTGTAGATTTTCTGAACGGAGCGTGCATTTTTAAGCGTATTACTATAATCCAACGTCATGAATGTTGCCTCTCTATCAGTCACTGCCTGTGCGCATCGCTGACGGGCGCCGCTTGTGTTGATCACAAGAGGCTTGATTTGCTGAAAGACGATTTGTCGGTATCATGCTCGCTTTCTCGCAATCAATTCGACAATCACCACGAGGTAACAACGGAGCAGTGGTGAAACCCTCATGCACGTACAAAGGCCATGCAGAAACGCGTCTACACATGTCACCATCATCCGGCTTTCTCAAACTAAATACATCTGGCAAACCAAAGCATGACCGATGACTCCAGGAACATGGCCTCGGCCTTCGCACACCTTCTCCACTCCTTCGTCCTGCCCAAATACCACACTAGAGCCCAATTCCACGGTCATCCCCTTGACCTCGCACACTTCGCAGGATTATAAAATCGCACAAAGGTGACGGAACTTGCAGATGTCGTACTGCACCTCGCGTCCTTGGGCATCGGTGCGGCCAGGGCGGCGGTACGCCATGGCGAAACCAACGTCTGGTAAGTGAGTCAGCTGCATTTGAACAAGGTCATGGCTGCTGTCGATATGGGCGAGGCGGTGGAGTGTAATCGTGGGACTTGTTATGCCAAATCTTTTTCTGCTTGAGAGTTGATTGGAGAAGGAAATGGATAGGTTTCGTGGTTTGAGAGGTTGTGAAGGCATGTAGAGTGGACAAATATGTTGGAACTACTCGAGATGATGCAGAATTGATCTTTGGGGGGGATACTGTGGAAGTGCAATGTAATGTATGCGTGATCTTTTGATGTATTCGTGATCTAATGCCGCTGACTTCAAATTCTTGGCGATGTCTACACGTAGTTGGATGCACAGATAGTATACTTAGTTGGATAGGAAGAAGATTTCAGAAAGCAAGGCAACAACTTCTGTCAATTGCATCTTGTTAATGTGCTCATGCTCATCAATCTCGACACTCGGCTTCTTACACCACGCTCTGAGTGTGTACCAATATCAGCATTTTGCTTTCCTGACCATTTTTTTTTTGGGCTGTGTATAAGGACTCACTTCTGCTTTATATGATGTTTGTGCCAAAGGAATACCAAACTCATGTAGCATGGGATTCCCCAGGGCAAAGAAACATGCTGACCACGGTTAATTTGTTAAGGAGAAACACGGGTCGTCCAGGATCATGGCGAATGCACGAAGTACTTGCGAAGATTCTGAATCGTTCACATGACAACGGAGATGGAAGTGAAAGGCCTCGTGGAGAGTGTTTATGAGGTCATCACGTAACCCGCAACCCGAATAGCAAACACCCAAGGTTATATCAGAAACCCAGAGAGGCTTTTCCTACCATCTTCTTCCAACTCTACTCAATCTCTGAGTCAACTCCACGATGACTTTCGATACAAAGCGATTCATGACAGCTTGGACGACGCTGACCGAGACACTCATACTCGTCTATCCCCTTGGCTTACTCGAAGACCATCTGATGACTGTCGATGGTTCCCCCGTTTACGTCGACGTTCCTGTGAACTTAAAGCGCTGGCACGACGTCGTCAGCTTCTTCAACGTAAGCTTGAGGGAGCTTACCAAAATGAATGACCCAGCAACCATGCTCGAGGAAAGTCGCAGGGTGTTGAGGGGAGTGTTAATGCAATACGAAGGCATTGATACAAAACGGGCAGAAAAGATCAGGGAGTTCAAGTCTGTCCAGAACTGGCTTGGAGGGAACGATGAGATTCTGCTTGTTATTGTGGGCTGTATTATTGATCTTGGAGAATAACAGACAGGAGGCTTTGACCATTTTGGAACATCTGGCGCACTCTGGCGCAGAACGAGACAGCGGTGATGATTCTCAATTCGGTAGCCTCAACTCCCGATTGCTCCTTGTTTTACAACGTCACAGTTTTCACACAGACTTCGTCTGTCGTTGAAATCATACTGTCTAGATCAATACAAACACATGCAATCTGCTTGCTTGTCCCTCCACACACAACTGTCCCCTCAAACAATTGTACTGTCATATATACATAAGACATTTCAGCACGCACCCCTCCTAATCACACACGCTCCCCACCCCTGACCATGCCACCATCAACACCCCGCGTCATAACCGCCTTCAAACTAATAATGGAAAAGCTCGTCCTCGCACGGCCCCTCAGCGAAGCCAAATCCTCCGGCCGCGAATCCCGCTGGCACCACATCCTCAAGTTCTACGAAGAGGAGCTCATCCGTCTGGAAGACAGGGAGCCGCGCGATGCGCTGCTCACCAGTGCGGGCGCGTTGCCAGTGATTTTACGCGGCTATGCGGGTATTGAGAAGGAAGATGCGATTCGGATTAGTAAGATTGCGTCGGTGCAGAATTATGGGAATGGGAGTGAGGAGGCTATTGAGGCTATGATTGATTTGCTTGTAGATTTGGATGTGCAGTCTAGGGGATGAGTGGTAGGCGACTCTGGGAGGGTGTGGGTTTGGGCTGTGATGGGACGGGATGGTGGGCATGGATTTGAGACGATTGTGGAAAAAGACATTACGCAAAGGACTGAGACTGTGTACTCTGAAAAAGGCTTTTTTTGGACGTCACTGACGTGATCGTCTTTTATATCTCAGCCTGATCACGGACTCTCCCCAATCTGGACTCTCTCCCTACTCCTCTCTACTCAATAAATAAGGGCTACCTTCCCCCTCCATCTCTCCCTCCACTCCCCCCACCACCACATTTCCACTCAACAATACCCACCTCCCCCGTGCCTCTCCCCACCGCCCTGACCCTACCTACTATTCAAATACCTAACATTCCCACGCGGTCGCTGCTTCATAAGATGCGGCGGCCGAGGAATCTTGCGCGTACCAGCATCCTGATGAATCTTCATGCGCTGATTACCCTCGAACATCTCCTCGTACGCCGGGGCATATACATCATCCGGTATTACCTCGATGCGATGACCACACAGGACCCTGCCCGGAAAATTAGGGTGGATGAATAGCTCGCGGGGGCCGGGCATGGGGCCGGTTACGGGCTGAGGCGCGGTGTATTGTTTCGGGTGTTGCATGAACTGAGCAGGAGAGAATTGGACGGTTTGGGAGTAGCGTGCGGAAGGGCCTGGAGGGCCATTGAATTGATAGATGTGGCCGGTTTGGGCTGAGGAATTGCCGTGACGGCTGGATTGGCCGGCATAGGATGAAGGTCCGCCATGGCGGGAACACTGATGTCCATCATGACGAGAAGGCTGCTGTCCACCACGGCGAGAAGATTGACGTGTATCATGGCGGGAAGACTGATGTCCACCGTGATGAGAAGACTGGTGTCCGCTATGCATGTCCGAACCCATTGGGTTGGCCTGCACGGGGCGAGCGTGAGCGTGAGCGTGTCCGGAAGGCAATGCCTTACGCAATTTAGTGGTTGTAATGTATGTGTTTGTGTCGAGTCTTATTGGGATGAGAAGTCGTTGTTGTTGGCCTGTTGGCATCGTTGCCGTGTGGATATGAGGACTGTTGAGAGGGAAGGGAACTGGCGCTTTATGGTTCGAGCGTAGCAGTCGCGTGATTTACTATTGCTAGTGAAGTAGAGCACAACGATGATAAAAATGAGGCAGGTGTCGTGGCGCGTGATCAGTGAGCGATATAGAACAGTATGTGTAGAACATTGTGTATGTACAAATGCAAAAACGATACAATACAACAGATCTCTCGAGTCCAACGCCTGGAATGCCTGGCCATGCAACGCCATACTAATGCAATGCTCTGTGAACGCATAATTCAAAACTTTGATCATCATCTGAGCATATAACCCAGGTTAGGTAAGCCGCTCAATATATCGCGTATAATAGCATCTTCCTCGTTTTTACGTCTCTGCGCAGAACTCGTGGCTCCAGTAAGTGGTTGGATTGGCGGCGTTGGAACTTTTCGAGGTGGTGATCGAGTAAAGGTCTTGGCAGAAGAAGCTGCACTAACAGACCTTTGGCGGCCTTCAAACACAGAAAAGGGGTCCGAACGATCTGGTGTTGTTGGCGCTAGTGGCGCGAGTGGCGCGACCGGCGGTGCAGATTCGAAGAATGAAAAGTCAGCATCAGCCCATGCGTCAATATTGGACTCTACTGTTGCGGCTATAGGTTGCGGTGGAGTCGTTGGCCGCATGACTTGGTGCACAATTGGCGATGGAGGTGTTGCAACTTCTGGTTTTTCGGGCTCTTTTACATGCGGTACTGATGTTTGCCATTCGGAAAAGTCGTCAGGTGTATTGGGTTTCAACACGTCCTCCGGAAGTACGCTTGGCACTTTCTTTAGCTCAATCTTAGGAGCTGTCTTTTCCCCGGTCTCTTTCGCTGTTGCGCTGACTGAACGTTTCGACGGCTTCAGAATTCCCGGTCCTATAGGGCCCTGCTCTGCACCCAGGGGAACGAAGCTCTTAGCCTTGAAGTACGCCGATGTAGGCGATATTGCGCTCTGCAGGCGCACGATTGTGGTGGCAGACATTGCGTCGGGCGATTGGTCCCAGAGTGCTGTCGACTTGACTGATTGCGGAGTTGTTATTGTTGCGGCAGTGTTGTTCTTACTGCTCGTGTCCGTTTGCGATGTAGGTCTCGTCAATGTGGGTGTAGAAATTGTTGGACTTGATACCATTTCACCCCATTCATCGTCATTGTCGGCAGGCACAGTAGAGATGTTATCTTCTGGTATTGGTCCAGCATCGAGGATGTCGAGGCCAGACCATGGATCAGATGAAGGTGCAGCTGTGCTCGATATATCAGGGGAGATTAAGCTCGCTACGGTCGGTGTTTCAGGAGCTGCTGTCAGATTGCGCGCATGTTTCGCAGATCCTGACTTCTGAGACGTGAGGTCCAACGAGGCTGCACGGACTTCCTGCTTGCGTGCATGAATCACGGTAGCAGGCATAGGTGGTGGCGGGACTAAGGGAGATGACGTTGAACGCAACCCTGGATTCGCTTGTTGCCAAGGGTCAGCAGAGGCAGACGCTGAACTCCAACTGAATGCTGCTGGTACATTTGTAGACAGCGGAGGAGCACTGTCTTGTGCCGGCGTAATTGTACTTGCTGTTGCGACAGAAGATCGCTGACGGGTATGCATAGGATGTTCTACGGGTGCAGGCGAATCCCAATAGAAAGATGCTCGCGCGCCAGGACCAGTGCCAGCAATGCGATCCTCGCGCGCCCATCTTCCAACGATATTGTTGACCTCAGATCTGACATGCGAATTTGCCCAAGTGACCCGGATGTAGTTGTCGTCGTCCTCGCCGTGGTTGAATTCCCTCATCGTCTGTCTTCGCGTGAGTCTGTACCAAGCTTTTCGTGCTGGTGTAGAGTATATAGGATCATCTGGCGGAGGTTCCGGCTGCTTCATCTCCTTCTGGGAAGTGAAGAGCTTCTCGAGGAGATCGGTCTCGATCGTAAATGCGCCGTGAGTGGCAGAGCTGGTGAGGGCGGAGGCGGTCGGCGTTTCGAGCGGAGGTTCCTTGGTAGATTCTGGTGATTCAAGAATCTCACAAGAATCGTCAGAGGTACTTCGCACACTCTGCGCGCGTTCCTTGTTGTCCTCCTGTGTTGGTCGAACGTCCTCTAGATCCTCGATCTCGGTGTCTTCACTGTGAATGACCTCATCGTCCTCGGCAAGGAAATTTGGTGAGGTAATACTACCTTGCTCTTCATCAGCTGGGGTGTCCTTTGTAGCTGTGCGTTCCTCTTCATACGAAGTCCGAGGTGATTCGGCTACAGCATCGTTGTGGCTCGCTTCGGATGGCGACGTAGACGTTCGTGCAGAAGAATCGTCATCTGGTTGCAGAGAATTGGAAGCGTCGTTTGATTTGGATTCGGTGTTATCGTTCGCCTGTACGGTAGTTGAAGAGTCCGAGGCTTCCGAAAGCACCTGTTCCTCGTCTCTGGGCGCATCGAGCGTCACACCTCCCCAGTCGCCATGTTCATGGACCGCATGGTGTTGTTTCTCGCTTGCAGCATCCCAGTGTAGCCTGTCCGAACTATGTTCGTTGTGCTCCGTCGGAAAGGTTCCATATATCGGGGTATCTGCGGGCGGCGGAAGTTCCACCTCTTTCGCTGGCGCTGCCGACCAGTCTCCAAAGCTCTCCTCCTCATTGCCCCAACCAGCATCATCGAGAAATCCGCTCAACAGGGCCGGTGCAGGTGCGAAGGTCGGTGGTAATGGTGAAGTCACCGCGTCTTTTGTCGGTGATTTGGCATTGTCGGCCCACGGGTCGCCCCAATTATCCATTGTCGGGCCGAGGTGGTAAGCTTCATAGTGAGCGAGCGGTAGACCAAAGCATCCCTCGCAGTAATTTGGTCAAAGACGCAAAAAGTGTAGTGAAGGCACGATGCCGCTGTTAGTTGTGGGGGTCAAAGCCAGGTCTTCGGAACGCGGAGGCTCGTTCCTGCCAAGACGGATGGCCTGGGAACCCACGGACCACCGGCTTGGACCGCTTGGTTCACACGTCAATTGTTTCAGCGTTCCAACCAAGGTCTGTCCTTTTTGTTAGATCTTCGCATATGAGACGATCTTCGTGGGCGACCTATCACAACAGTTTGCTTCCAAGAATCTACATCACAATCGCCAAGGCAGAATTGAAATTGAAATGATGCTATTGCTGGCGGCATATAATAGGAAGAAGATACAAAGGCTTTTGACTCGCAATGCAAGATGCTAGCATGCATGATAAGGCTGCTGGAAAATGATGTGAGGTCGATGTGCGGCTCCAAAAGGGAGCTACGAGCCAAATGCGAAGTTTCCAGAGATGGACCGGAACGCCTAACAACCATGCAGTGACCTAGACTGTCAAGCTTCATGCCACCAAATTATTACCAGTCGCCCATGCCAAACCCGCTCACGTGAAATTTGGTCGGTACTATCGAACAGACTCAATGACCGAGATGTCATCCACCGCGTTGTCGTCTTCGTCATGATGCAATGCCCTCTTCAGGCCGTTCTCTATTTCGACTGGACCAACATACTCCTTAGGTACCCAGTAAAGCTGGATTATCCCAATAACTGACACGATCGCAAGACCCCACCAAGCGGCTGCAGAACCACCAAGCGAATAGATAAGACCGACCAGGGGCGAGGAAATGGTGCGAGCAAGACAGCATGCGGACATGGCCATTCCGTTTACACGACCCAGAACCAGCGGAGATGGCGTGGCGTTCTTCATGAGGATCAATGCGCATGGGAAAACAATGATACCGAAGAACGCCTGTAGGAGAAGCGAGACATACAGTCCGTACGACTCGAATTCGGTAGGAAGTCCGCTGACGAAGGGGACCATGATGTACGTGATCGGGTATAAGATGATCATCCAGATGTACGAATTCCAGACGCCAACATGCTCGACGAAGATGGGGAAAATGAATCCTTGGACGAAAAGGGTAATGAAGCCATTGATCGCAAGGAAAGCGCCGACATCGTGTAGGGTCATACCGAGTCCGCCTTGGAAGTCCAAGCCCTTTGACTGTGGCGGATCCAGAATGTACACAGGAAGGACCGAGATATATGCCATCTGATGAAACGCGAAAAGCGCCATAGAAAAGATGACCATGGCAACAGTCTTGTTGAACGTCTTACGCGGAACTGGGGCCGGCTGTCCTCGAGTAGGCAGTACATGGTGTGGCTGGATCCTGATCGAGTGCATAGTACCAAAAGACTCGCGACGGATATCGAAGCGCTGGTCGACGATGCTTGGCATTCCTTCCTCGAGGAACGATGCTCGCTTGCGAATCTGCCGCATGCTTCCAGCGACAGACATGGATGCTAATCGCTCACGCGTGAAGCTTGCAATTGAGCCTCGCTCTCGGACTGAGCCAACCATGGATCCACGAACCTGACGGCCGCCTTGAGGTCCATAGCTGTGGGGTTGGCCATGGGGAGGCAAAAGTCGGCTTCGCTCGCTGACTGCATCGTGATGATCTTGATGGATGCCGTTCTCATCTTCCTTTTCTTCACGAACCAAAGTCTCCTCAAGGAAAAGCATTCCTTGCAGGATTGCGGCAAGAATTCCAACAGCCGCTACCAGATTAGGCAGGAGATAAGGGTACTTCGCGAAAATGCCATCCTGGGAAAAAGCACCCGGGTAGAACTTGGCCGGCTGCGCAAGGAAACCGCCCATTGCTGAGCCGATAATACCACCCAGCGTCCAAACGAAGGGTTGCGTTGCATATGCACGTGCTATTGCTGTTAGCGTTTTCGCGCAAGTGAGACGGTGCGCGATTTACTTACGTTCGTGGGCGGGATTCTTGACCATTTCCGCTACCATAGTCTGCATGATAGCAACGTTTCCGTTAAGAGCACCACCAATGAACCGTGCAAGCAGCGCGACCCAGTACGTCTTCGCCATTCCGAAGACGATACTCGACATGGCGACTCCAAGTAGACCAATCAGGGCGACAGGCTTCCGGCCGTAAACGTCCGAGATCATACCCCACCCAGGGGCAGTGATTGCCTCCGCGATGGCATACGCGGAGACCAACAGTCCAGCGTAGAAAGAGGCATCTCGTTCATGAATGCCCAAGTCCTGGACCATCACAAACGAATACGCGAGGATGGAGTTGAACGCCAGTGGCTCGGAGAATCGGCATATTCCTGCCCACATGTTAGTATGGATCCAATCAGCATGACATCACGGAGCAGAGCCGCACGCACCGATGATTATGAGTTGTTTCGTGGGAAACGGGGCATCCTTGGGGTCGGGAGGCATATTAGCGATGTTGTGATTAGATGGCAGAGTGAGTTGAGGCGCTGCACATGGTAGAAGGAAAGGTTTCGAAGATCAAGGTTTTACGGTAGACCTTGGAGGTTGCAGAGCTTATCATAGCGGCGCTAGAAGGCAAGCGCGGGCCGACCAACCACGTGAGACTAACCTTCCCCTCCTCGTGAAATCCGAAGTCGCCCCGCCGTTGTGAGTACGCATTACACGATAAAGGTGCTGCAGCCTTGCCCTGTTCCCTGTACATTCGAGTTACAAACTCGCTTGCTCGGCCGCTTTTCCTCCGTCAACAGGACCCCGGCCGCTTTCTCTATGATTGCCGTAGCTTGCAGCATCGCAGCTTGCCGCGGCCCTGCAGTTTGGTCGAGAACATGAAGTGCGACAGCCGTTTCCATAGCAGTCAAGCTGCTTGACGCATTCCTGGTTGGAATGATGACCCAATCCTTGCCGCAATTCCATACGTCATGACGATATCGGTTGCCAAGCTGCGCAGCCATTCGAGAGGCAAACTTACTGGTACCCTGGCAGCACACTTGCTCACCGTACTTTCCAGCCTTCCACCTACATGCCTGTGGAACGATCACGATCCGACGCAAGCGCTTGTACAACCAATTCATATTGCCGACTTGACGATTTCGTCAATATTTGCTTTGTTTTGGCTACGGCGCTGTTCGGCCAAGCTGTCTGTCAAAGTGAAGGAAATTGTTCGCTGATGTCGACCTCTGCGACTGAGTAACATGTCAAACTAAGCCCAGACGTTACCTTGGCGTCACTGAGTGTCACAAGGCGCCCAAGACGGCGCACCAACATATGCCCTGTAACTACGCCATGATGGACGCTCTGAATTGCAATATCGTTGAGCAACCGTGCCGCCAATGACGTGCGCCCGACATGACATGCATTCGCGAAAGTGGTTGCGCTATCTGCGGGGTGGTTCACGGGACCTTGTTTGAAGCTGGGATTTTATGATTTCTCGATGTTTCCCTCGACAAAAGAACAACCAATCACGACTCTGCGATTTGCACGGCGAGCAGATCTGGTCCAGACGTGGTGTCTCAATCTCTCGGATGAAAGAAACAAGCACGTGATGACGTCCGGCGCCAAGATCGGGGTTTCAATCGGACCGCGGGCATGGGAAATTGGAAATCTCGCCATCGAAACTCAATTCCCATCACGATCATGCCGGACAGAAGATCCAATCTTTCATGCATCTCCGAATCATGCCACCAAATTACGCTCCACACTCCTGCTCACAGAAGTAGGAAAATGAGCCGTCCCTTCCATCTTCATTTCCCGTCGTTCTGTCGCAGACTTCGTTTTTTCCGCCCCAGGTGCCAAACACTAATGAATAGCGTCACGACCACCCGCTCTTATCGAGGCACGCACTAGCGATCTGAAACCGTCATTCGTCTTCGCGAAGCAGCTCTCTGTTCGTTAATCGCGTCTGGATCACGTCAACCGCTTCGTCCATTTGCATCGAAAAGCCTTTTATTCCCAGCTTTCGGTGCTATTGTGCGGGTCAGACAGACGCAGCGTCCCGTTCCGCATGCCGCAGAGATACTTGACCCTGCTTTAAGGGTTTTTTTTTTCCTAACCTGGACCAGCCTCACCCTAGCTTGTCATATTAGCACTTCAGTCAATTTCGTGTTGTCTCCCGTCTCACTTCACTGTCCTGTCGAATCTATGTTTCCAGATTCCTCAGCCATACTCATTGCGGGCAATTCAGTGAAGACGATCTCATGCCGCACTCAACAGAGCTACATCTGCCCTCATTACTCACCTGGGACGAATGCTTCTTTCGCCAGGTCGAGGTCGTTTTCCTCAAGCAACAGCCTCTTGCTTACTGTTTGGTTCGGCCGAAATCGTCGTCAGTAGTATTTATCCGACTCACTAGTGCTGTCGAGAGATACATGGTTGACGGCAGACCAAGCTGAGCGGAAATCTCTACGACCTTGGAGACTTTCCAGCCAGCCCTCAATCATGGAGCAGGAAATGACGCTTTCGGCGTGTGTGAATCGTGCTGTCGCAGAAGGCTCTTACTTCAATGTGCAATTGTATCATACGATAGCTACACTTACAGTTAGAACGACAACACCTCTTTGCACTAGTGGAAATGGCCCTGCTTCATTTCTCCTTATCGAGGGCGTATTTCGTTCAAAGTCGTCAGCTCAATGACATTGCAGTACGGTACATCAGTTCGCCCAGTATTATTGCAAATTTCCATTGTATAGTTCACTTGCTCTTCACTCAGGCCTCCCAGTGTCGGACATAAACTGATCGGGCCCATAGACATCTTAAAGTCTGTAGACGCGTATTTGAGGTTCACAACGGAGCGTCTTAGGTAGACACACGGCCGTCGATCCGCGCCATCATGATTGCGACCCCGATCGAAGAAATGAGTATCTTGGTGTGATGAAGTGTTGTACGTTTGCAGCACGACACCGAGATCAATGAGATCAACAACCCATTCAACCCAAACAAAAGCAGTCGTCATACGATGAAAATTAGCTTTTTTCATTGCTTGGGGCTCAGCTGAACAAGTATTTATATTTTCCCCTGGCCATTCTTCACAGCCAATACCTACGACTTGGTAAACTGCCACCAGTTGAAGTTAAACAGCGAGTCGCTCCCACTTCCAGTGAACTTGAAGAACAGGTCCTGAGTACCCGTCGCTCCACTAATAGGACACGTCACTGTCGTCCACGTCTGCCACCCACCTGTCGAAGCCACCGTACACGTACCAACTAGAGTCCCACTCGTGCTTCCGAGTCGAACTTCAATCTTTCCGCCGCTCCCCGCCGAACTGACGCGCGCACTCAAAGACTTCGCACCAGCGCCAAAAGCAACGCCCTTGACTTTGATGTAATCGTTATTGTTAATGAACGATACCGCCAAACCGCCTTCACTGCACGTCTCCGTCTTCAAACCCGACGAGAAGGCAATAGTCTCAGCTTCCTGCCTGGTATATGGGTTCAAAGTGCCAATCATTGGTGCCCCGGCGTCAGTCATACCGATCGTCGGAATCGTGCCGTCGGAGTTGTAATTGAACTTCTCCACAGCCACGGAGCGCGTGTACCCACTACCACCCGGCAACGCGCCGTTGTGATAGAAGAAGTACGAGCCGCCGTTGTAATCAATGACCGCTGGATGGTTGGTGAAACTCCTGCCTGCTGTCGCCATGACGAGGCCGCGGTACGTCCATGGACCAGTGATGCTTGGGCCAGTTGAGTATCGGATGTCTTCGGAGCAGCAGTTGGCGGCGTACACCATGTACCATAGGTTTCCGCGCTTGTAGACCCATGGGCCTTCTTCATAGGATGTTGCTCGTGAGTTCGTTCCACTTCTGCGCGCACCGAAGGACGCAGTGGTTAACGTTACGCCAACGGTTCCGCCGCTGATGGAGATCATGTCCGAGTTCAACTTTGCGTACCATAGCCCGGGGTTTCCCCAGTATAAGTACGCTTGGCCGCTGTCGTCGATGTAGACGGTCGGGTCGATCTCGTTATTCTCGACTAGAGGCTTGTTGAGTGCGTCTTTGTATGGGCCAAGAATGTTGTCGGCGACTGCGACGCCAATTGCCATACTCCCGCTCTTCTTCTGTACGGGAACGTAGTAGTAGAACTTATTGTTGCGCGCAATGACTTGTCCGGCCCATGCGCGCTCGCTGGCCCAGCTGAATGTCGCGAGGTTCATCACGACGCCGTGATCTTGCCAGTTCGCCATGTCGCTGGAGGTGAAGAGGCGCCAGTCGCGCATGTCGAAGTTCGTCGAGCCATCTTCATCGTGACCAGTGAACAGGTAGACGGTGTTGTTATAGATGAGCGGCGCAGGATCGGCCGTGTAGATAGTCTGAACCAAAGGATTATCGGCGCTCACAGTTCCAGCGAAATTCAAAAAGAGAAGAGACGGCAGAGCAGCTACCGCATAGCGCAGCAGCGCTGTTGAAAAGACCATGATGAAAAAGCTTGACTTGATACCGCTTGGCTCCGCCAACTAAGCACGTCCACCACCCTACTTATATCCCCAATCCTCCAGTTCCATCTCTATCGCGGAATTTTGTTTAAGCGTCGTATTCCCAAACCTACTCTCCAACCTTCGAGTCCAACGCGAATGGAGCCGGACAGGCGTTACTTCGGCGCTTCTGATTGGCCGCATGTTCCGGTGGTTACTCTATTTCAATCACGCGGCGGCCAGCCCTAGCAGATCGCAGTATAGATTTGAGCGGGGAAGGCCCTGGACATCAGCATACGATACTACCTTCGGTAATTGTGCCGCTATGCAAAATGTACCGGGTTCGGACAATTTTTGGATAGATCTTCCGGGGCGATATGTGTGGGGAGGCTAAGACCGGGGTAAGATCGTCCTATAATTTTGTCGCTTCGTATTATGATACGAACCATTCGAGGTTCGGTCTGCGTGCCGAGATCAGAGGGGCGCGGATGGACGTGTTGGAATGCCAGAGCTAGCGGAACGTATCGGGAGGAACCGCGCTGCGGTGAAGACAGGCTGAATAATTCGAATAGATAGCATACCAAATTTGTCTCTGAACATTACTGCATCCATCCTAAATGCTTCGAAATGTTTATGGGTGGTTGCTTCTACTGTGCATTCAACAGATACATCTGCGACAAATGATTTGAGCCTTTTAGGCAGTTAATATGAACACGAAGCACTTCAATACATTCTGAGACTTTTATAATGCAAACCCGATGTAACAGCGAAGAGAATGTCAGTGTTCAAAAGTTCAAACTTCCACGGCTCGATGAAAGCACCTGGTAATGTATAGTGCGCTAGAAGAATGTAAGCACACACATCACACTGGTTAAAGTCAATCAGGAGGTAGTCTCACGTTCTCATCGTCATTCAACAATTTTCATGTTTTCATTCGTGTCAAATGCAAAAAAAAGCTGAAAAGTATTGTACGAGCCATCCCACCAGACTAGGAGCGCATTCATGTACTCCACGATCTCCAAGTCCACCAATACTATGCTATGTCTCCTTCTACCAAACGTACTCCGCCTTGTCCCGACACTTATCAGAAGGGCGTGTGCGCTCACTGCAGTGCGCACACTCGTCCATCCGGAGATCGATTGTGCACTTATAGGCGACGTGCTCGGAAGAGTCGCAGCGGACGCAGGCCGGGACGGTGCAGGCACTGGCGCATTGGCCAGTACTTTCGCAGCGGTGACAGTAGACCAAACAATCCCCGAAAGGCTTTGAGTTGGCCTTGATGCCTTGAGCAGCAGAGGCGACGATGTCGGCGATGTGACGACCAGCGATCAGATCAACTGGCGCATGGGAGTTCTGGGGATGGAGCTTGTCGTTGAGGCTCGCCAGCAGGCCGACCAGGAGCGTCGCAACGGCGTCGTTGCCAACGTTGTGGAGAGCCAGTTCAATCGGGTCGAGGCCAAATCCTTTCAGCAAATTCGGGAGTGAGACACTGCTGCCCTCAGAAACGAGACCAGCGTCCTTGGCGATGTACTTTGACTGGATGACATCGATGACATCCAAAGCATGAAGGTCGATGACACCCAAAGTATGAAGGTTGATGCCGAAACTGCTCTTGACAATCTTGTAGTCTTGGTAGGCACCCTGACCTACCAAGATAATGGGGCGACGCTCGTTACCTAGCTGCCAATTGGCGTCGGAAAACACCTTGGTCAGAAACATCTTCACCTCGTCCTTGTCCGGGAAAGAGGTCGTGCCGAACAAGAACTTCTCTTCAACACCATGCTCAATCCTGTCGCCGCGCCCAACCATATGGCACGTCTGAAGACGGCGTTGGAGAACAAGTCGGGGACGCCTTCGAGAAGAGAGTCGGAGACGAAGAAGGACATCTTCTCCAGACTCTTCTTGGTGTAGTGCTCTTTGAGCACGTCTTTGAGGCCGCGGAAAGCTCGATTCTGCATCTTAGGCATTGCGAAGATGGAGATCAAATCTCTTGTATGATTGGGAAGTGTGGAGGATTGGTGTTGAGTATAGAAAGGATGGGAAGCGGTTGAATTGAGAACCTGGAGCCCAAGTTGACAGTTGAGTTGAATAGGAGAGGCGGTAGTTGAGTGCGTGTGGGAACAATCCAAGAGAGAGCCATCAGTGGGTAGTACTTATACCCTGAAGGTGTGCCACTGCGCCAAACGAAAATTCCTTGGAATGAGACTCTCGGTCACCACCATTACGGCTCGCGGAGCGTGGAGGCCCGGGCCCCTGACTCATCCGGATCATCTTAATGTAATAGAAAGAACGCGGCACGATGGTTTATAAGTACTCCAGCAACTGGATTTGCAATCAACTGGCATATTGCTTGACATACCTGCAGCTGGTTTGACCATTGTTCCCGTTGATGATATGGCATTTTGCTCGAGGTCAAGCTCACCCAATCTTCTATCAAAAACACCTCCTATCGGTTGCGTGATCTGTTATTCGATTGCTCTGCGTCACACGGAGATCTAAGTGAACGAGAGACGAGTTACAACCACGTCATATTCGTTGCAATTGAGTAAACAAACCAAGGCTCACGTGTTTAAAAACAACACCGCAGCTTGTAATAATGTTTTGAATTGTTTATTATGGAATACTGTATTCGTGTGAAATGATCCCGTCTATTTTGTCTCCCACCAATGATGTTTTCTTATTCTTCCTCTATCCCCTCCTACCTCTGCACCTCCTCTGCTTGTTTCTCTCGCTTCTCCCCAGTATCCCCATCTCCCTCTTTGATTCCATACCCACCATCGCCCTAGCTCGCCCGCCAACTGTGCCCATTGACTTGCTCTATAACCGTATTTGACCTTGATCTGCGCCCTAAGCTCGTCCATAGTCCAAGCAGTTGTGGGGTCCCATTCATGCGGATCGGTAGATATGTCAGTGAATCGGAGCGGAATTGTTGAGCATAGTGGTAGAACGAGGCGGTATGACGTCGAGGCATCGCTGATAGCAAGAAGTGATCCACCCGGGTTGATCGCGGAAAAATGGAAAGGTTGAAAGAATGACTTGGCAGAGGCCCCGTCGGTTGTCTTTACTCGGTATTCGAGATCGCGAATGAGTGAATGACCTTGGTAGCTGGGCAAGATCTCTTTGGCTATCTTCGCTGCGGGCTCTGGAAGTGAGTCGGTTTCGAGTAGAAGATCAAGAACCGTAGGTAGAATGGATGTAGGCGTTATTGACGCATTGAGTTGAATCCGGGGGAGATCTGGGTGTACGAACAGGATGGGGATTTGAAAGTTCGCTACATGACCGTTGTTGACTGCAGATTGAGACTTGTCGAGAGAGCTGAAAGCGAGACCATGGTCGCCAGTCATTACTACCAGCGTTTCATCAAGTGCACCCACATCGTACAACATCTGAAAGATCTGTGAAATCCACTCGTCTTGGTACTGAATGGTGTTCATGTATTCGTTGAAAGGATCCGAGGGGCGCCAATGCTGTTGGCTCATATATGTTTCTTGACCAGGCCAGTCCTTGGGCGTCTTGAATGGATGATGAGGCGTGCTCGTGAGATGTGACACAAAAAGGCGCTCGTCTGACTTTTCTGCATCAGCAAAAAGATCGCGAAGGTAGTCGAAGGTCTCGGTTTCCTCGTAGCCGAAGTAGTTGACGAAGGGATGCTTTGGGGGATAATGCTTTGAGGTTGGGTCCGAGATAGTACTTTCTGCGATGACATGGTCAAAGCCCATTTGCTTATCCAATACATCTTGCGAGTCGTACTGATCGGTGACGGATTGTATCATTGTTTCCGCCCAGGGGAACGAGTGGAAATCTTTCTTCTCGTCGTCCTTTACAAGCCCATCCTTTTTCTGGCCGGCCTTTTTGTCGCTCACCACCGAACTCATGTTCTTAAAAATATGAGACAGGCAGTGCTGGTAAATGGTTCCCTTGGTCTCTTCGGCAAAATCGACGGCCAACGGCTCGACACCACAGTGGCTGCTAAGAAGACTTTTCAGCGTGTACGCGGCCTGCGAGACGGCTCCATTCACGTTGATAGCCCCCATACCGTCCTTGAAGGCCGACTTCCAGCTTTCATTCGATGCTTCGGTGTCGTACGCCTCGAAACCGCTAGGTTCTCCAGTCAGAAAGGCTGCAGTCTTTGTAAATCCTCGAAGTTTGTCCTTGAGTTCCATGGTGGCGTTTGTGGAAGCATAGGAGGATAGGACAGTGTCGTATGCGTGACTGTTGTACTTGAAAGGGAACATGTCCTTGCGCGTGCTCTCCATGGTCAGAAGTAGAACATGCCTGATCTTTGGCTTCTTGACTTTGACTTGTGCTGCCAATTTTTCTATTATATCAGCATCGAGATTGGATCCCTCTAACTCGGCCCACATTCGTTTGCTCCAAATGAACCGCCGCCG